TCTAAATTAAAATTAATGTGCCATAAGGTGAATTGCATGTCCACTGAAAACAGAAAAATGCCATGACTCAACTTATGTCCCAAAAACTTTGATTATTCCTGCTCCTGATATATCACAGAACCTAAGAAGAAATTTCAGATTACTCAAAACAAAACTAAGATTCGGTTCTAGAATAAGTGTTGGCCAACCAGAACTTTCAAGCCTTGGTTTTGGTGAGCACTGTAAACAGAGCTAAGCAATGTGATTTGGACAGGTTTACCAATATATAAATAACACATAGCTGAGAGGGTGATAGAGCAGATTGTTACCCCGAGAAAACATTGTCAACAGAGCGAAGCCAAGGTTGACGATGTCTTTTCGAGGGATAACAATCTGCTCTATCACCCTCTCAGATATTTGTTATTTAATTTATTATACTGAATGTTCTGTTATTACTGTCAATTAGATTTCAAATTGAAAGTAATAAACTATGTCATTTTGTAATGTTGTCATTTTAGCGATATATTTTTTAATATTGCCATGTAAGTGGGAAGTTTGGCTAGCCGTAAAACCAGGTTCAACCCACTAATTTTTCTTAAAATGTCCTGTACCAAGTCAGGAATATGGCAGTTGTTATCAAATAGTTCGTTTCTATGTATGGTGGCGTTTGTTTTTGTTGAACTTCAGTGTTCCTTTTGTTCCTTTGTTTTCCACTAAAGTTGATGTTTCCCTCGGTTTTAGTTTGTAACTCGGATTTGTTTTCTCTCAATCAATTTATGGCTTTTAAACACCGGTATACTACTGTTGCCTTTACTTATAAATAACAATCATCCGTATTTATTAAAGCGCACACTTGAGCAAGCATCTCCGAGAAGGGTAATAGAGTATTTGCCATTGGATAGTAAATTGTCTCCCTCGTATTGACCAATCAAAATCTGGCATTTTGACATGAAGTATAATATTCTGTAATGGCGAATATCTGAAAGACATTTTTCTTAATGTTACGATTCAGCCACATTTCTATTAGAAGAGTTTTTTAATTCAGGTAAATTAATGAGTGATAGATTTCTCTTCTAAGAACAAATTAAAAGGTCTTAGTGAATAAACTACACAGAGAACAATAGCTATTGTATTTATTCAATGGGACAATAGAACTGACAAAAGTTTATTGGGAAAGAAATGATACTTTTCCACAGATTCACTTGAAAGTTACCTGTCAATTTAAACTTTTGCAAGTTCTTTTGTCCCATCTAATGAATAATACATTAGCTATTGTTCTCTGTGGAGTTTATTCAATGGGACCTTTAAATTTCTTCTAAGAGAAATCCATCATTCACCGATTAATTTACCCAATAAAAAATTTAACTTTCAATGATGAAAATACATGTACCAATACTAAATAAGGACACACAAAACTGCATGTGATGTTGTATTTTTTCAATATCGATAATACATTTTCAATTTGTTCAATATTAACACCGATTCAAAAATTAAAAGTTGATTTCTGATAAAATTTTTAATATTTTACCTATTGATTTTTTTTTTTGGTGTGTTTGACAAATAAAAACTTGAAAATGATGATGTTTAAATTAAGGCCTTCATATAAGTATTCTTTAACTGAACAACCACAAAAAAAACATGCAAATATAATTGGAACAATACTAAATATTTTGTCAAAATAAACTTTTTATTTTTAAATCAGTGTTTCTATTGAACAGATTGAAATATATTATTGATTTTGAATAAATACAACATCACATGCAGTTTTTTTAGTTTAAACATGTATTTCAATCAACTAAGAAGATAATTTTTTGGTCAGGAAAATTAATCAATGAATGATAGATTTCTCCTAGAAGAAATTTAAAGGTCCCAGTGAATAAACTACAGAGAACAATAGCTATTTTATCTCTTCAATAGCACAATAGAACAGACAAAAGTTTAAAGACCTTGACCAAGAGAAGATGACTCTGTGGAAATGTTACATTTGGTTCACAATAAATACCTTGAACAAGAGGAGATGACTGTGGAAAAGTTTCATTTGGTTCGCAATAAAGAAACTAGAGGCTCTCAAGAGCCTGTGTCGCTCACCTGTATTTACTTATGCTTTGGAAATCATGTAAAATAAGGTTAAAATCATAATTAATAGTATTAGATATTAGATATTATAATGATATCTAAGATAATAACAAATAAACTGTTATCACAGAGATATGTCTCGCCTTTTTGTAATTTTGATAATGCAAATGTTGAAATTAAAATAGCAATACTTTAACATGTAAGTTATGTAAATATTCAAAGTCGATGAACCAAGACTGAAGGTACATGGCTAAACAATCTCAATGGAATGAGATGTGCCAATGCTAATACAACTGCATACCAAATACCATCGACTTATTATAAGTCGTTCCCTTTAAACAAACCTAAACACAACATTAACTTGTAAACTATGTAAAAGTTTCAAAGTCAATGAACCATGATCAGGGATGGGGCTATATAATCTCTATGGAAATGATACTTGCAAATGCCAATACATTTGCATACCAAATATCATTGACTTAACATTAGCAGTTTATCTTAAACTGATCTTATCACAAACTAATACATGTAAACTAAGCAAAAGTTTCAAAGTCAATAGACCATGACTGAGGGGGCGGGGCCAAATATTCTCCATGGAAATGAGATGTGCTAATGCTTATACAACTGCATACCAATTAACATTGGCCTACCACTAATGGTTCCCCTTGAACTGACCTAATCACAAACTAATACATGTTAACTTAGCAAAATTTTCAAAGTCTATAGACCTTGACTGAAGGGATGGGGCCAAATAATCTCCATAGTAATGAGATGTGCCAATGCTAATACAACTGCATACCAAATATCATTGACCTACCACTAGTGGTTCACCATGAACTAGACCTAATCACAAACTAATACATTGTTGAGGCAGCTGCTGCCGCCACCGCCATCGACGCCGGAAACAGCATACCTGTCTCGCTTTTTGACTCCGTCAAAGCGAGACAAAAACTGTAAAATTACTAACTCAGGGGCAACAACCCAACAACGGGTTGTCGGATTCTTCTGAAAATTTCAGGGCAGATAAATCTAAATCTGATGAACATTTTTGCTACCGGTCAGATTTGCTCTAAATGCTTTAGTTTCAGAGATATAAACCAAAAACTGCATTTTACCCCTATGTTCTATTTTTAACCAAGTCGGCCATGATGGTTGGAAGTCAGGGTTGTTGGACAAATTTTTTAAACTAAATACCCTAATAATAATTATGGCCAAGTATGGTTAAATTTGTCTCAGTAGTTTCAGAGGAGAAGATTTTTGTAAAAGATTACAAAAATTTACGAAAATTGTTAAAAATTGACTATAAAGGGCAATAACTCCTAAATGGGTCGACTGAACATTATTGCTGTTTACAGTTTATCTCTATCTATAATAATATTCAAGATAATAACCAAAAAAACTGCAAAATTACCAATTCAGGGGCAGCAACCCAACAACAGGTTGTCAGATTTGTCTGAAAATTTCAGGGCAGATAGATCTTGATCTGATAATCAGTTTTACCATATGTCAGATTTACTCTAAATGCTTTGGTTTCAGAGATATAAGCCAAAACCTACATTTTAATCCTATGTTCTATTTTTAGCCATGGCAGCCATCTTGGTTGGTTGGCGGGGTCATCGGACACATTTTTTAAACTAGATACCCTAATGATGATTGTGGCCAAGTTTGGTTAAATTTGGCCCAGTGGTTTCAAAGGAGAAGATTTTTGTAAAAAGCTAACGACGACAGACGATCGATGCCAAGTGATGAGAAAAGCTCACTTGGCCCTTTGGGCCAGGTGAGCTAAAAATGAGCTGAAATTATGCCATTTTGCTTGTTGATTTCCAATTAGTGTTATACACTTATAGAACCCTATTGAAAATGCTTATTTGGGCAATCCTTGGAAAAATATCAATTTATAGGTGCATTTACGGCTTGTTCCCATAACTTAAGTAATATTTTTTATGTTTCATATGTTTAACCACAATTGTAAATATTTAATATTATTCCTAAATAAATTTTACCGTTAACCTTTTATCCAATTGCAACCAAAGGTGGCTCATTTGTAAAGGACCTTCCTTTCAATATCCTGCCAAGTTTTGTTGAAATTGGACCAATAGTTTAAGATAAAGATGATAAAAAAATTTTTAAGGGTTCTGCGGAACCCAGTGTCTCGCCTACTTTTGCTGTTGTCTATGTTTTCAGTGAGATAGGTAATGCACATAATAGATTTACAGTTTATGAATCTAATAAATGATTTAAAAACTTTAACTGCAGACTGTATGTAATGTTAACTGGAAGAAAAACGAAGTCCATTTATAAGTAATATACAGAAAAACAGAAATAAAATTTTACATACTAGCTTTTGATCATAAACAAGCTTCTGTCCAAGTTTGGTAGAAATCCAGGATACTTTAAGAAATTTTTATTAAAATTTCAAAAACTTTAACCACAGAGTGAATATTTGTGGACGTCGCCGACAGAATGTAGGATCACTATGTCTCGCTTTTGCGACAAAAGTCGAAGGCTGGACAACAATGAATTTCCATAGTTTCAATGCCACAATTGTTGCTATGTTGCAACTTGATCAATAGTAAACAAGTTCTAAGAAAAACTTAAAAGTTAACCAATGAACCAAGCAAGTGGGTCAAGGTCAGATAAACCCTGCAAGAACATATACACCTTACAATAATTCTATACACCAAATATAATTGACCTATTGCTTAAAGTTCCTGAAATACTGACTTGACCCTGAAAACATAACCTTGATCACTGATCCATGTTATGAGGTCAAGATCAGGTGAACCCTGCCTGATGGACTTTGTTAATGATAATGTGAGGTGAAATTTGTAGTATTCTGGCCTGATTGAAAAAAAAATCAACATCTTATGGGCAATTTTAGCCCTTTGAGAATCATCTCCTTTTACCTTTTGGTTCTGGTAAGCCAAGTGCTATAGAAAAACAAGTTTGTTATGAATAAATATTTAATGTTCAATAATGATTTTCACATGAATTTTTAATCTATATATACAATTTCCTTGAAAAAAGTAAAACATTGCATTTCTTTTACTGAGATTTCATTTATACAATTTAGTCAGCATAACTGTAGCTTATATTTAGTCCTTTAATAAACATCTGCATGCTGCTACATTTAACAACTATTTGTATACATCGTGAATGTATCATACAATATATTGATAATTTTGATTGATAGATTGTTGCTTGTTTAATATCCAGTAACTCGATCCTTTTGAATTTCAAATCTACTGTATGGTTATTCAGAAATTCAATTGTTTTCTTATTACTATAAATTCAGAAATTATTTCGAGGTTTTTATTATAGCGAAAAATACGACAGGGTCATAATCGCAATAATTTAAACTCACATTTTGAAATTTTTTATATGAATTTAACAGGATTTTTCTCAATATTGCAAAAATTGAAATCGCATTTGAGTCTAAAATGAAAAAATCGCAATAATAAATGCACGCAATAATTTCTGAATTTACAGTACTCGGTATATTGTATTGCAATGAATGTAAAATAGAACTTTGACATATCAAGGTTCAACTGTAACTGATAATACTCTTTAATTTCTTAATTAATTTTATATTCATATTAGAACTGTTCTCACATAATTTTTAAGTACAAGCAAAATTACACATTTACTAAATTAAGGATACAAGAACTTTTAGAATAAAACTAAAGGTAAATGTAACTAAAATTATTGGTTTCTTTATCTTGTCATTAAACTTTTTCAACTATTTCATAATCAGCAATGAATTCATGTTGATGGTACATTGAAGGTTATAATAATTTAAGAAAGCAATATGAATTTAATACATTATTTCAATAAATTTGTGACAAAAATTGGTATATGAATCTTTACTGAAAAGAGATGACTTGTACAGCACTAATTATTTTGGCACCTACATAACATTCACATATATTCTTAAATAACACACGAATCAATTTAAACATACAATGTATAATAATAAAAATATTGTATACAAATAGAAATATTGTACATAATCTTTGAATGCTCTTCGCGAAAAGTTTCATAAACAATGATGTTTTAAAAATTTCAAATAACTTAATTATATTTATAGCATCAAGGTAAAATTTAATACAATATATTTTGAAATTGCCTCAATTCTATTTCCTAACATACTTTCAGCAACTATCACCTCCATCTTTCATAATCCAATCTTGAATACTAATCTTTTGGATTTGCTTTCAATATTCAGGTAATGATAAGATCACTGCATATCAATGATAAGATCCATATTTCCATACACAATTCACATGATTCATATCAATATCTATCCCATAATTTCACACATCCAACCGATATTAACATTTAGATGAACCAGCTTTGACGGGTGATTCTTCAATTTTAGATTCAACTTCCATCCCTTCTTCTTTCACACTTTCTTCCTCTTCTTGTTTTGGCTCTTTCTGTGCTTTCCATTCAAGACTTTTCTTTAATTCTAAACCAATAGCCCTTCCCATTGGAGGTGGCACTGCATTTCCAACCTATTTATATATTAAAACAGTTTTAATTAGAACAATACATACACTGTCTGCCAAAAAATTGCACAAATGCCAACGCTTTTTTAAATCCTTCAGTAATATATTTGAAAATTATCCTCAAATTAGGATCAATTTTATCCATAAGTATATTTAAGTATAACTAAATTAAACTAATTAAGTGACAGGGATATCAAGATTAACAGTGATTAAGTCTACTTGACTTCACTCCTTAGACAGACACATCTAAATAAATAGAATTTAGGATGTACAAATACATAAATCAGATTGGTGGTTTTCTCGTTTGAATTGTTTAATATTTTGTCATGTCTAGGTTTTTTTATAGCTGATTATACAGTATGAGTTGTGCTCATTTTTGAATACTGTACAGTGACCTTTAGTGGCATACATCCACATCATTTGGAATCAGATGGATAGTTGTCTCATTGGCAATCATACCACATCTTATTCTATAAAGCATATTTGATATCACATTTTAATCAGACATGGAGTGCCTGTCTATATGCACCTTGTTAAAGAATCCCTCAAGCAATCATTAAAAGGATAAATAACTAACCTATTGCAATTGCAAAGTTTCTTTTCTTCCAGTGGCAGTCTACTCTTATTGCCTTTTGTCATAGTTTATACACTTTGCAACTTATTTATCTGTTTGTTTCAATTGTTTTCATCAAGAATATCATTGAAATATTTGACACTGGAAAAATACCAAATTTTTTCTGCAATTCCCATCTCCCTCCAATTTTCGCATAACCCAAAAAGGTCCTTCCTTTTATAGATAAATAAAAACTGCATAAAAAATTTTGAAATTGGTTGATGCCATCTTGACATAACACAACATAGAAGTGCTGAGGGATAGATTAGGTGATTATTATGGGGTTCCACCGACTAGTTGGCAGGGCCTTACAAGTTTTGGCTCATTTCAGCAGTGATAACATCATTCTGATGTCCACCAATTGTCATTGTTTACCAATGGTAAAATCTCTGATAAAAGGCTGCCTTCAATTATTTCTTAAAATAAATTCTGCTGTATAATCTTCTCAGCAAAAAGATAAGTTATTGCAGTTTTTTCTAATTAAATTAAAACTTTACTGTCTTACGGCAAAAAGAGTAAATATCATTGTTTAAAATACCTGTCTATGTCGGTCTAGTATGGTTCCAAAGAATCTGTATGTGTCAGGAAATCCCTGAGATCTTGCACATTCTCGCACACTTACAACTCTGTGCTGTTCTGGATGTAACACACGACCCTGAAGATATATTCATACTGATAATTTAAAATGGGACATTGAACCAACCCCTGATGAACCTTTTTAAGTGGACACATTGGATATGTAGGGTCATTATGATAAAACACATAAAAAGTAGATTCAATTAAAAAGCTTATGTTATAAGTCTCTAAAAATAATGTTGATAATACTCAATAAATTACATACACACAGCCAATGGAAACAAAAAGTCAAAATGCTTTCAAAGTATTTAGTAATATATTTAAATAGCCATTTTCAAATTGTGAGAGAAAGTTTCGCATTCGTTTTTCCTTGAGAATGATTATAGATCACTTGGTTGTTATTTACTAGAGAATACTGTGCAGATAATTCACATTTCTGAATTTCCTGAAAGGACATATTCTATTTTGTGCTGTTACATCACTCTCCCAAGATAGGGGAGGTTTGAGTGCTCACATATATGTTAAACCCTGTTCCAATGGGGAACCTATAACCCAATTGTTGTTAATTACTGTAATGTTCTATTAAATAAGAAAAAATGCATTGGTCATATCAGCAATAATCCTAAAGTTTGTAAAACAATCATATGTATTTTTTTTTCAAAATATGTGGGTTTAAGGTTTTCTGAGCCCAATATGTCATGTCCTTAGAGTGTCATTGTGATTGAAAAAAATTGCCATTTCAAATTGCTCTTAATATGTATTGATAACAATTTTTCCTGTTCACATGTCTTTACAAAATTTATTTTCTAGCCAGTTTCATGCAAGAAATGTAGTTTGTAAAACTTCTTCACAAAAATGTATGGAATAGTATTTACAGTACTTTCAAATAATAAAAATGTGAAAGAGATGAATTAATTACTTTTCTAATTCACTTTGTAATATTTTCGTTCATTTTTTTTTGTACCACTTTATATATTTTTTTCATTTTTTACCACTTTTCAATCAGTAACTATTATTAAACTATCTGATATTTTTTTGTAGTTCATTATTTTCATATTTAAACACTTATTAATCAGATTTAATCTATCCAATCAGCTGTGAAATTGGTGAGTATCACTATTCATTAATTGACAAAATATACTAGTCAAATAATCAAATTATGACCCAAGCTTAATTAACAAGCAAACAATGCTTCCCACCCATGACTCAACATGTAAGACAGACTGACACAAATCTCTCACGTTCATCTTTGTCAAAGTCATCTCTATGTCAGAACTGGAGCAAATCATTTCACAAATAAATATATAAAAACACAATGTTTAAACTGACTGATATCAAAAACCAATTAAGATATTTCAACATTAAATTCAACTGCAATAATTCATAATGGACAGATATCAATCCACTTTAGCTTTGGTGGACTTTGAACAGATGGAGCTTGATGGCTATTCTTCTGGATATGAATCAACACCATCTGACACAGAATCATCCACACCATCACAGAATTTACATAAGGCCAATCAGATACCAGTCAAAAGGGATCCAGTAAAAATCAAAGAAAAGATGTGTTACAGAAATACTCAAGCTCTTACAGAAAACTTGAAGATCATTTCATCAATACCAGAACTTTGTGATGTTACATTTGAAGTTGGTACAGAAAAGGTGAAAGTTCATGGTGTCAAAGCAATCCTTGGCACACGTAGCAGAGTACTCTATAATCTCATCTTAAAGAAGCAGAAGGAAGCTGAATTTCAGAGTAATGTTAACAAAAAAGACAAGAAAAAGAAAAACGCTGTGAAATCCAACAAAGTTACAATAGTTGTGAAGAAGTATGAACCAGAGGACTTTAGAAAGATCATACAGTTCATACACAGTGGTTCTGTAGATATTAATTGTACATGTCTAGCTGGACTTTTATGTGGTGCCTCACAATTTGGTTTGGATGACCTTGAAAGAGCATGCTGGGATTTTGTCAGAAATTTAATTAAATCTGAGAATATTTCAAAACTGATTCCTTCAGCTAAAAGATACAGCCACCACAAGACTGGACAAAGACTTATAGAGAAGATATTCAGCTGTACACAGCAAAGTGTTGATCTATTACTTTAAGAAATACAGCATTAATTGTTATGTTTCAAACCTAGTGCTATAATGTAACTTATTCTATAAATGTCATGCAAATTTGACAAAATAAATGTTATAAAATATCAAATGTCATTTTTGTTCTTATGTTTAAGGTCAAAATTATCGTAATGGAATGAGAAACGAAGAAATCAGGAATTGTTAGAACAGATACATCAGAATCCATACATGTGTTCAACACCTCTCTACCCAGCTCGCAATTTCATTTTAATTTAATCAAGAGCTGTTTTAAAAAAAATGACAGGCATTGAAACCAAAATGACCATATTAGAACTTGGGTAAGTCTAAGTCACCTAAAGCAAACTCAGTGGGAAATCTAGTGACAAAATATTACCTCCCCTGACTCAGTGATCTCCCCAGGATTTTTTTAAGGCGCAAAATTCAAGGGCGCATAACTCTTTTTTAGAGTGAACGTTTGTAATCTGAAGCAATAAGTCATAAATCATGACATGCAATATGAATTATAAATCTTTGTGTTATGTGTTTAATAATGCAGAGTATTAATGAATTACAAGAATATATATATGAAATAAATTGATTTTAAACACAAAAGTTATTTATATTCAGTCAATTAAAGAAGTCAAAATATAAATATTCATCTCTACTCTCTGCTCCTTCTAGGGATATTGTTTCAAGATAGTGTTATTTTGTTGGACAGTCTGTTCCTCAACTTTGTCTTTATCCTCTTCAGGGTTAAAAATTAAACCCCAACTCACAATAACTTTTGCTTATACCCCCTTTAACATTTCTAAGCCATGAAAACTCAGTCAGCCACTTGTCATTGAAACCAGAAACATGGTGCTTGCTTTTATCAATTGCTAAAACTTGAGCTTGGTTGGGATTAGGAGAAGCAATGAAATCTGCTTATACTGACAGTGTAGACGGAGGTGTATTCCCCTTTTCATTAGAAGTCATTGGTCTGAAAAAAACTTCTACTTCCATCATCTACCTTTTGCTTATAATTCACCCCTTTGTTATTTGCAGAGAACATGTTCATTCAGAATTAATAAAATCGAATATGGTTAAGATATTTGGTATACAACTTTTTAAAAACAATTTTTTTTTATAAATGAACAGCTGACCAGTTTCCTTAGTTTCACATTACGCTTCCATGCGTATTATTGTTTAATCCTATTTTGGCAGATAGATATAAACAAAACTTTACAAATTCTTTAAAGTTAAAACCATTGAAATTATTTACCAGTGACATTATACAGAAGCTGCGGCGATTCTGTACCCGTGTTGATTGTCACATATTTCCCGACGCACGGATTCACGATCGATGTTCAATGATCATTTTATTTCTAAAAATATGACAGTTTCAGACGAATTTACCTTGCAAGCAACATTTTTACACTTTCTATAAAAGTAAATCACTCCTCGTTATCTTTAATCAAACTTTATTTTAATTTTTTCAACTACTGATACTTTCATTCATAGTTTTCATCGTAATTATCTTTAGCAATGTGTATTCAAATTTATCATGTGTATTCAACACGTTCATTGGTCGTGTTTAAATAGATTCTTCTTCTCGACCAATGAAAAAATTTGTTATATAAATGGTCAAGTGATCACACACACGATGCGTAAATACAATGTATTTGCGATCTATTTCTTCAATTTCTGCACTGAAGTTTTAAAATTTTTTAATTTTCTTCAAAAAATATCTATCTTCTTGATGATCATTTATGCTATTACCTGATAAGGCTGAGATAAGCGTGGCTCAGGTAAAACTAATTATCAGTTATTGCTTAACACTGACCGACCCATCAGCGGTGATCAGTAACTTGACAATTTTAACCAACATTTATCATGAAAATGTGAAAATTAACACGCTGCGGGATCAAGTATTAAGGGACAGCGGCCAATTAAGACGCTGCGGGATCTACAAAAATATTATGAAGGGGCTGCGGTACCGCAACGTCATATCGGCCTGGGGAGAACACTGGCCTGTAAATACTGAAAACTAGATCTTCTCAATGTTTGTCCCATTTTAGCAAGGACGCTATCAATTATGTATTCACAGGAAAACGTTCTGGTAAAAATAGAAATAAGTTGAAATAAAACCAAAACTTCCATTCAATGTTCCCTCCTTAAGTAGCAAAGGACAAGTACAGCAGGCTATAGAAGCTTGATGTAAAATTGGTTTAAAATATTGCTATGCGAATAAGTTCCTGGACTACCAACTTTAATTTATTTTTCTACTGGCTGTATACCTTTCTGGAACATGCTAATTATCCATATATATATATATACAGCTAGATCAGAGAAAGTCGGGGAAAAAATTCCAAAGGAATCGATTGATATGCAGCAAAGATTGGCACTTTTGAAATTAAGTTACTAAGCAAATTCAAACAGACCTTATCTCGATGTAAACATTGAATGTGAATAGATCGAGAAGACCGCAAATACATGTACAAAAATCGAGACCTTTTTTAAAATTGTATAAAAAATAGTAGAAAGATACCAACTTTATAAAAATAGTAATCTTTAATTTCTTAACCTGCACAGACAGACTTTTAGATTTTTATATTCACGAAAAGACAGTATTTCTCTATTAAATGTACATGTGACAAGAGCAGACCGGTGTGCTCGATAACTTAGGTGTGAAAAAATAAGTATACTTTAGGAACTTGTAACATGCTAAGAACTTTGTGGAACACTCCGAAAATTGGTGACCCGAAAGATCATTAGATTTTGTATGTTCATGATTTTTTCCAATTTTTCTCCCCAATATGCAGCAAAGATTGGCAATTTTTAAATTTCAGTTTCACAAGCTTCTAATGCAATTATCTCGATAAATACTGAACATAAAACATCGTGTATTTGCATGTATATTTCTAATAACACAGTTTAACAAATAATTTCTTTAAAATGAACAATTATCATTTGGAAATAACTTTTGATCAGTATCGTCACCGGCATTGTTTTATTATTGACTTTCTAGACTCTATCATAAGAGTGAATTTTCTTTTGTTTTCGTTCACTGGATATCCCACTGAACTGTTTCCCTGTGCGATGATGTTTCAATACCTTACAAAAGGCTGTCAAAATAACAGTAAACCATTTTTATCAACATTTCTTAATATCACTGTTTTTAGCACTTAAGGATACTAAATCCAGAAAGGCATAATTGAAAATGATAAAATCCACTCTTGACCATTATTTTGTCATGAAAGACAACATATTAAATGGAGAAACAAGAAACAATATATCACAATTTGACATCTTAAGTTATTGCATAAATAGCTGGTGATGCCCACCATTCTACCCCAAATCAGTAACTAGATTTCCATCAATAAACCCAATTAAAAATCTATATATTTGGTGTAGAGGGAATACATATGGTAATTTTTATTTTAGAGGTAAGTTGTCCAGTATACTGGCTATAAACTCTGAAATACTGTGGATTTATTACTTTTGTGGGATACCAATATTCGGGAATTTCAAGGGTTAAAGTTATCCACGGTTTTCAAATGTTCAACGAAGTAGAAATTTTCTATAGGGTTGTATGCAGACTTTGACAAAACCATGAAATCAAATATCCTCGAAAATACAATTTTCCCTCAGTCCATGAAAATAAATGAACAAATGTGAATTTTTTAATCAATTTATTAATTCCCCATAAAATATATGTAACACTTCAAAATGTGTGTATTTTGCCAAAAGTGTCCATAAAGCCCCAAATCGCTCAAATGTGTCCGATAATTGTTATTCGTCAAAACGTGTCCGCTTTAAAACTTTTAGCGCTATTATGTCCTCAGTGACATCAATAACATTTACGGCAATTCAATAAAAGAAGACACGATTGTAGGTGTTGGGTTTCGATTGGATTCTAAAAAAAAGATTAAAGTCGCTATCAAAGGACTTCCCCACATTGTCATTGGAGAAATAAAATAAGTGTAAGAAAAAAAAATTGTATCAGAAATAAAAATTGAATCATAATTTCATGTCAATATGCACATCTACATAGTATGTCCTTATTATCTACACAGTTTCATGAAATTCTGTTGTGTGGTTTGAGAGGAGTTGCGATGACAAAAGGTTGCAGTAGTATATTGGGCAAATAAGTTCAAAGGGGCGTAACTCCTGGAAAAAAAATTGAATCGTAATTTCCTGTCTATATGCACATCTACGTAGAATGTCCTTATTATCTGAAAAGGTTTCATGAAATTCTGTTGTGTGGTTTGAGAGGAGTTGCGATGACAAAAGGTTGCAGTAGTATATTGGGCAAATAAGTTCAAAGGGGCGTAACTCCTGGAAAAAAAATTGAATCGTAATTTTCTGTCGATATGCACATCTACATAGTATGTCCTTATTATCTGAAAAGGTTTCATGAAATTCTGTTGTGTGGTTTGAGAGGAGTTACGATGACAAAAGGTTGCAGTAGTATATTGGGCAAATAAGTTCAAAGGGGCGTAACTCCTGGAAAAAATATTGAATCGTAATTTCCTGTCGATATGCACATCTACGTAGTATGTCCTTATTATCTGAAACGGTTTCATGAAATTCTGTTGTGTGGTTTGAGAGGAGTTGCGATGACAAAAGGTTGCAGTAGTATATTGGGCAAATAAGTTCAAAGGGGCGTAACTCCTGGAAAAAAAACTGAATCGTAATTTCCTGTCGATATGCACATCTACGTAGTATGTCCTTATTATCTGAAAAGGTTTCATGAAATTCTGCTGTGTGGTTTGAGAGGAGTTGCGATGACAAAAGGTTGCAGTAGTATATTGGGCAAATAAGTTCAAAAGGGCGCAACTTCTGGAAAAAAAATTGAATCGTAATTTCCTGTCGATATGCACATCTACGTAGTATGTCCTTATTATCTGAAAAGGTTTCATGAAATTCTGTTGTGTGGTTTGAGAGGAGTTGCGATGACAAAAGGTTGCAGTAGTATATTGGGCAAATAAGTTCAAAGGGGCGTAACTCCTGGAAAAAAAATTGAATTGTAATTTCCTGTCCATATGCACATCTACGTAGTATGTCCTTATTATCTGAAAAGGTTTAATGAAATTCTGTTGTGTGGCTTGAGAGGAGTTGCGATGACAAACTGTTGCAGTAGTACATTAAATTAACTAAGTTCAAAGGGGCTTAACTCCTAGAAAAAGAATTGAATCGTAATTTCCTATCGATATGCACAACTACATAGTATGTCCTTATCATCTAAAAAGGTTTCGTGAAATTCTGTTGTGTGGTTTGAGAGGAGTTGCGATGACAAGAAACAGGACTGACGGACGGACGGGTCAAAAACATTATACCCTCCGCAACTCATGTAGAGTTTATAATAAAGGCACTCTTCCTACACGAGGTTTTGGATTTAACATCCCCATTCTGACTGGACGTGGCTGCGTACTTTTACATCCCACACAGCCAAACAAATGCCCCACTTTGGGAAGGGTTTTACTGTCGGTTGGAAGAAGTGACCAGATTTCTATTCTGTAGTCACACTTGGGAGTATGACGTTTGGGCGTTCTAAAAAAAAATGGACACGATTGGGCGTTCTTAAAAAGGATAGGTTTTGGCTCCCTTTAGCACCTACACGTTTTGCAGTTCAGTGACGTCATATAAACACATTTGGGGGAATCAGACACGTTCTGAGTGTTACATATATAAAAAGAAATACCTGTTTTCCCATAGGTTCTGGATTGGTTACAGTTGTGCTGAAGAAGCCATCCCATTCCAGCCTGCCATACAGCCCAGCCCAGTGATTATGTCTATTTCCTGTGTGAGGTAAACACCAGGGGACGATAGTATTGAATTGTCTGTCCATAGGATCACACTGTTTCCCCTCAGCACAGGAACAAACTCCTCTCAGGCTTCCGTTCGATGCTTTTCCATTTCTCTTGTCATGATGTGTATATTGCCTGTTAAATATCACACATTCATTAGATACTGTTTATATCAAAATAAATGTATGTAAATTATTGCAGGTGGAGCATAAAAATGTTTTAGACATCATCAATTCTTTAAATTTTAATTCATGCTAAGTTTATAACATCCAACAAAGGCATTCCCAACCGTGGGAGACCCTGCTTGGTAGTCAAGGTCGGTAAACACACATGTGGTAGGAAAGCATCATTTTAATCACACAACGACTTAAGAATTATACTTAGGGCTGTTCCATTAAAACATACAGGAGACCCAGGTTGGAAGGGTGTCAAGTACAGTAAAAATTCGTAAGGGTTCCGCGGAACCCAGTGTCTCGCCTACTTTTGGTGTTAATCGCAGGCTCAACAAAAATGAGGAAAAAAATTAATAAAAATATTCCCCTCTATACTATGTTTTGATTGTAAGTAGCTTCTGTCCAAGTTTGGTAAAAATCCAGGATAATTTATGAATCTAATAAATGTTTTAAAAACTTAAACTGCAGAATGTATGTAATGTTGACTGGAAGAAAAACTAAGTCCATTTATAAGTAAAATACAGAAAAAATGGAACAAAATTTTATCAAAATTTCCTTCTAGATACTAGCTTTTGATCATAAACAAGCTTCTGTCCAAGTGTGGTACAAATCCAGGATAGTTTAAGAAAGTTGTTAAAATTTTAAAAACTTTAACCACAGAGTGAATGTAATGTTAACTGGCAGAAAAACTAAGTCCATATATAAGTAAAATACTGAAAAATGGAATTTTTTTTTTACAAAATTTACTTATGGATACTATCTTATGATCATAAACAAGCTTCTTTCCAAGTTTGGTAGAAATCTAGGATAGTTTAAGAAAGTTATTGAAATTTTAAAAACTTTAACCACAGAGTGAATGTAATGTTAACTGGCAGAAAAACTAAGTCCACTTATAAGTAAAATATGGAAAAAATGGAATTTTTTTTTTACAAAATTTACTTTTGAATATAATCTTATGATCATAAACAAGCTTCTGTCCAAGTTTGGTAGAAATCCAGGATAGTTTAAGAAAGTTATTAAAATTTCAAAAACTTTAACCACAGAGTGAATATTTGTGGACGCCGCCGCCGACGGAATGTAGGATCGCTATGTCTCGCTTTTTCGACAAAAGTCGAAGGCTCGACAAAAATGTAAGTGAAATTTTAAATTTGCCCCTTTGGGTGGTTACCCCATTTTGAAAGTGTTTTCACTGGGTACCATGTATGTTTAAATGGAACAGTTTATATGATTAAGACAAAAAAAATGAATAAAAGAATAATACATATGAAAAATATAAATAATGGCAGTGAAGCTTATTATGAAATGGACAGGATAGAGAAAACTACCCAGTAGACAAGAAACCACAAATAGCTTTGAGCACTATTTACATTAAGACTTTTTTTATTGATTGTATATTGTTTAGTTTCTTAATTTTTAATACTTTTTCAGTTATCTTGAAATACATATTTGAAAACCTACTTTTTCTTTTATTTTCATAAATCCAAAAGGTAATGCAGGACTCCAAAGCTTACAGGAAATATTTTACTATAAAATTGAATACTGAAAAATGTTGATAAAATTGTCAATAAAAAATGTCTAAAGGCCAAAACTAAGCTGGAAATTTTCAGCAAATCACTGCTTGCGACTAGACAACTCTTACCCAGATCTATTCTATACCTGGCAGCCTTAAATAATTCAACTTTACATCAGAAATATATATATAAAGTCAGAAGAATACCACTCCTATTGGAGAGTCAATTGGAAAATGACTGCCTTCTATCCATTGAACTTTTGTTTAAAAGTTAAAATTCTTACAATTGATTGATTGGTGTTTAAAGCCACTTTCAACACTATTGTGCTATTTCATGGCGGTCAGTTTTTATTGGTGGAGGAAGCGGAATGCCCGGAGAGAGAACCACTGACAATCCTAGTCAATTAATATTGGAGTCCTGCCTCGTGCCGGACTCGAATTCACAACCTTGGTGTTGACTGGCTAGTGATACAGTAGTTCGACTACTTAGACCACTCAGCCACCGAGGCCCCTAAATTCTTACAATATCAATGGCATATTAGTTTAGTGGTAGTTAACTTATCATTCTCAAAAATATTCTTCTGGGTTGATTTCTTAATGTTTTGTGTAAATTATTGTGTGGACATTCAAGAGAAGAATTAGTTCAACAATAAATTAATAAATGTTCTGAAAAATAGGTTTATGTAGTCAAGGATAAAGAGCTGATAATTCAGACCCCAATGGAAAAAAAACCCTAATAAAAATCAGAAAGAAACTTGGCTTGCAACAAGCCTTGTATATATTCTTCACGAAGAAATCTTTCTCATCATGAGAAACTTAAGTATAGAGTACCTAAGAATTTTCAAACCTGAAAAAGACTTACAATTTCTTTGACTTAGTCCCATCAGACAGTCTGACCTCAATATTTGGAAGAGATCTCCAGTCTGAACCAGGAGCTAAAGGTATATGCTGCATCCTAGCATGAACTAATGCATTCATATCCTTACAGATATGATCTCGGAGTATTGGCTGGTGTTGTCTACCTCGGATCTACAATTAAAATACTGAAATATTGTAATGATGCACCTTAATATATATTGGTTACATCTTAAACACTAGTAATCTGTGAAGCAAAATGTGTTTATATGCACTTACATCATTTCCTAATTAAGCCATTTTTGGTGGGTTTAGTGTACGAGTACAGCATAACTAGTTTTTGTTTTTAACATTTTTTGTGGGTAAGTCAAGCAATTCTTTATATAAGTTGAGGAAAATGATGATGTTTTCAACAATAGAAATCATGAACACAACTGTTTATGTACTGAAAATATCCAGTCATCCAAATAAAAGAAAAACAATATTTATGGAATCCCCGAACATCAATTTTTATTTTATTTTCAATAAAAGACTTGAGAAAATTTTCACAAACAGACTAACATCAATTTTTATTTTATTTTCAATAAAAGACTTGAGAAAATTTTCACAAAAAGACTAACTATATTCTTCAGAATACTTTTACAATTATACTTCACTGTCAAAGTTCCAGTGAATAATCTTTGTGAACTACTTACAGAGTATCCAAGAAAATACTCAGAATACAATAAACATATTACAATTCAATCTTTGGCCTACAGTAATATAAATAATAAAATAACAGATTAAGTCAATATAACAACAGTCCTTTTACACAAACTAACTATGAACATGCATTTTTATATTCTCAAATTTATTTTGTTTTGTCTTCATTCATAACCCTTGGTAGTTATTTTTATAAAGAAATCATACACCCCTTAGAATTTTATTTTCTGCTCGGACACCATAGTATGTGAAAATTTGAGCATTAAACACTAACATGATATCTTTAGGTTGTTAGGTTACTGTCTCAGTGAAATATACTCCACACCTCCTCCTTCTCTTTTACGAAACATACTAACCAGTTTTTGGAAATGTGACTGTGGATCTCCTTGGTAAGATATCTCCTCTGCCTTGGCACCATTCCTTATATCAGGTAAATCAGACATTGTGTCTCTGATTGTTATTGTCTTAAATGGTGCCGATACCATTCTTGTTATGTTAGACATGAACTGCAAAAAAGTATGAATGCAAGTGCAAATAATATGTTATAGTAGATACCAGTAGAAAATAGTCAGGATATTCTTATAGTTCTAAAGAGTGATAATACTGTAAAACTTAATTTTTGCAAGGTTGTATATATCAATACATGTTTTTAATATAAATCCAATTTTTTAAGGCCAATATTCTTGCATTTTTGTACTTAGTGAAGAATTGAAAGCTGTTTTGTCTGCAAAGTTACTACTTTTTCAATACGTCCTATGTACAACCTTTGACACAAAAATTGTTAAAGAAGCCCTCCCTTCACAAGGATTTGTATACTGATGAAATTAGGAAAGACTATTTGGTGTGCATCATACTACCATGTTTTGACTACCCATGAACTCATAGTACTACAACTTTTCTTTTCCAATGCTGTTACTGGAAAAAGGGTGAAACATTCCCTCCATGAATGGGTATAAAAAAAACAACTGATTTCTTGCTGTATTTAAGAAAATACTTGTATTGAAAAATGTTGATATTTAATGAATTTAAAAAATACATTCATTAATTCCCATTGCTATAGTCTTAGCTTCTTACCCTTCTCTCGTCCACCTGAACAGATAATTGCATGGCTCTTGGAGAGAACACATGTTCTGGTTCGGGGTAAAATGGTAGCTTTTCTCCAGGTGCAGCTGCCAAAATTATAGCCCTGTAAATAAAATATTAAAATTTAATTTATATATACGACTTTATTACTTGAAGACACACCACAATGTAATGTTTAATTAAGCAAATCACTGTATCAGCACAGCTGAGTAAATTAAGTGTTTCTGACCATACCTTAACTTTTTTCAAAATATTGAAATCATATATTCTTCATTTTACCTTCAGATGTTAAACAAGCCAATCAATTCTTTTATCATCATTTCAACAATTACTCTTTATATTACCTTCACTAAACAAGAGTGCACACGCCTTCTTTACTAACCATTGATATTATGTTGATAGTCCTAAATGAAAGCTTTACTACAACTATTACATAAACTTAACATGATCCAAGAAAATGAAGTCAAGGTCATATAAACCAAACGAGAAATACATGTACACCTTACAATCATTCAATACACTAAATATAGTTGACCTATTGCTTATAGTTTCTAAGAAACAGACTTAACCAAGAAAACTAAACATTGACCAATGAATCTTGAAAATGAGGTCAAGGTCAGATGAACCATGCCAGGCAGACATGAACAGCTTACAATCCTTCCATACAACAAATATAGCTGACCTATTGCTTATAGTTTAAGAAAAACAGACTGAAACACATAAACTTAACACTGAGCAATGAACTGTGAAAATGAGGTAAAGGTCAAATAAAACCTGCGAGACTGACATGTACATCATAGAATATTTCCATAAACCAAATATAGTTGACTTATTGCATATAGTATAAGAAAAAACTTAACTTTGACCACTGAACCATTAAAATGAGGTCAAAGTCAGATGACACCTGCCAGTTGGACATGTACACCTTACAATCATTCCATACACCAAATATAGTAGACCTATTGCATAAAGTTTAAGAAAAACGGACCAAAACACAAAAACTTAACTATAACCACTGAACCATGACATGAGGTCGAGGTCAAGCGTATAAAAATCCCAATTTTTTTTTCAAGTAGTCACTGAACCATGAAAATGAGGTCAAGGATAATGGACATGTGACAGACGGATTCTTCGTCACATAAGGCATCTATATACAAAGTATGAAGCATCCAGGTCTTCCACCTTCTAAAATATAAAGCTTTTATGAAGTAAGCTAACGCCACCGCCGGATCACTATCCCTATGTCGAGCTTTCTGCGACAAAAGTCGCAGGCTCGAAAAAGAGTAAAAAATGTTATGTCATCTACTTAGTTTAGCACATAACCAATACTTTAAGTAGAAAGAAACATAAAATAAAATTTGTGTTAGAGCTGATTTCCTAATGCATGTAGATTAAGACTTTGGTTGGCTTGCTTGCTTTGTTTGTATAAACGTTTGCTCAAGCATTGTAATCAAGATTGACATCTGCAAACAATATAAATAGGCGGAGTTAAACCTGTATACATTATATTTAGATTTGATTGGACATTGTGAAATAACCAAATTCTACAATATACAGGTTTAACTCTGCCTACTTATATTGTTATCAGATGTCCATCTTAATTACAATGCTTAAGCAAATGTTTATACAAACAAAGCAAGCAAGCCAACCAAAGTCTTAATTGAAATGCATTAGGAAATTAGCTCTTAATACAAGCAACGGTTATATAAAACAGTAGTGTTTCTTTTTTTTTTTATTTATACTGCATAGGATAGGAGTACACACAAAACTTTTTGTTTCTTTAAAATTTGTGCAATACATTAATGACCGCCTTTATTTAGTTGATGGATTTGTATGTATTTAACAAACATTCTTGTACTGTTAAGTACCAATCAGCTAACTGATATGATGATTGTAATATTGACTAGGCTACGGAATTTCATCATCAAATCTAAAGGATCAAAACCTACCTCCTCCTTGTTTGGGCAACTCCATAACTGCCTGCCTGAAGCACTCCAAATGTACATTGATATCCCATTCTTATCAAGCATTGTAGAGCCAATTTCAATACCATACTTCTTTTGAATGAAACAAAATTCCTCACATTTTCCAGTAAGAAAAATTTTGGTCGATAGTAATCACAGTAACTCAAATACGATGAAATTAATGAATTCTGAAATATATTAAACCAAATATTCATTATCAAACCAAGAAGTATAATAATACTGAACCAACTGTTTCTGGGGGAAATAAGCAGCTGTTCCATTATTGTATGATACTTGTCCCTTAGCAGTCAGAACAATACTTTTTATAGGTACAAATAGCAAAACAAACCGGAGTTTTCATCACAGATGAATGTATGCATGCGTGAATAAAAATTTTGTAAGGTTCAATAAATAACTTGTTATTATGAGACATGCATTTAAATTTTTAAACAAGTAAAGTTCCATAACTTCGAGATGAAACATCTAAAAATCTTCAAAATTAAACAGAAGCTTGTCATAATGAAGCTAAATATTGTACAAATTTTTTTTTAATGATCTGTAGTCAAACTTGAGTTATCAAAATTACTATGAATTCATAATTTTTAATGAATAACAGAGCATGGTGTACATGATAAAAAAAGTTTTTTTCAATTTTGAGACCATCAGCAAACTTTATGCTTAGATTTCCTCAAATATTTTACTAATTAGACCAAACAATTTTTTTTTATATTCTGTAGCCAGGAATGGAGCTTGCTTTGCCAATGTTGCAAATGCACTTTTGAATTTCATCTGGCGACAAAAATGGCTGCTGGAGATATTTCTGGTGCCAATGTTTTTTTCCTATGTCAAAATTTTCATGTTTAATTGTAACAGTAATAAAAAATTAATAGTTTTGCAGTAATTCAAGGTCAAAATGTATCACTTCCGGATAAAATGTAAACCAACATGAATGTTCTTTGTGCTTTCAATTTAAGTTACTTTTCAAGTAGACTATAAAGAGCAAACAATCCTTTTTTTATTTAAAAATTCTGCCATTTTTGGTGAAAACTTGTAACAAAATAAAGGAGAACAGTCATAATTCAAAACATAATTTTGCTCTAAAAACAAAAGGGGGATGGGGGTAAGAATAAAGGATTTTTTTTTAATTGTGCCCTTAAAGTTCTCCAGGTTATAAAAGTAGGTATTCAAAGACATTAAGTCGACCTTAAGATGTTGTTTTGTCATTTTATGTTGTAGGGTTGTTGCCTCATTAATCATTAATGTACATCCTACATCTCCTTTGTATCATATTATAATACCTTAAACATGGAATATTCTCTGGAGTTAAATCTATTCATGCCACTGAATCCCTGACATGGGGGTCCACCACACAATAATTCTACTTCTCCCTTCTGTGGCAGCTTTTGTCCCATTCTGTTTGTAGAATCACCCTTAAAAAAAAATGTAATTAATTAACTTTTTAGGTTATGATGTGGTCTATCAAAGAAAATACAAAAAAAAATTTGTCATAACCTCATGCCCTACATAGTAGTTACAGATTAAGTTGACAGGTTAATCAGTGATTTATTACTCATACATTTGTCCCATATGATACTTAGTTGAGCTGTATTTACTTATAGGTGTCAGCATTATGTAAACTTCATATGTGAACACCTAGATCAGACAGAATGTTCTTTTTTTAATAGTAACTATCATAGGTATATGTAACTAGATCCTGGAATTTTCATGCAGATTTTTAGGTATTTCAGTCATGATACATCTTTTTTTTATAGAGAATGATCCATGCTCTTTTTACTTGCATGGCAAGTCTCAGTAAAACTCCTACAGTCATCTGTGGATACATCCTGGGTTGTTCATTGAGAAGACATATTGTTACCGGCATGGTAAGTCTTAATAGCTCATTACAATCATCTGTGAACACTATACATCCTGGGTTGTTCATTGACAAGTCATATTGTTACCGGCATGGTAAGTCTTAATAGCTCATTACAATCATCTGTGAACACTATACATCCTGGGTTGTTCATTGACAAGTCATATTGTTACCGGCATGGTAAGTCTTAATAGCTCATTACAATCATCTGTGAACACTATACATCCTGGGTTGTTCATTAAGAATGTTCATGTTCATACCTGCATGACAAGTCTCCATAGCTTATTACAGTCATCTGTGAACACTGTACATCCCAGGTTGTTCATAGAGAATGTTCATGTTCTTACCTGCATGACAAGTCTCCATAGCTTATTACAGTCATCTGTGAACACTGTACATCCCAGGTTGTTCATAGAGAATGTTCATGTTCTTACCTGCATGACAAGTCTCAATAGCTCATTACAATCATCTGTGAACACTGTACATCCAGGGTTGTTCATGTTCTTACCTGCATGACAAGTCTCACTAGCTCATTACAATCATCTGTGAACACTGTACATCCTTGGTTGTTCATACAGTATGTTCATGTTCTTACCTGCATGACAAGTCTCAATATCTCATTACAGTCATCTGTGAACACTGTACATCCATAATGTTCATGTTCTTACCTGCATGACAAGTCTCACTAGCTCATTACAGTCATCTGTGAACATTGTACATCCTGGGGTATTCATATAGAACTTGCATGATAAGTCTCAATAGCTCATTACAATCATATGTGAACATTGTACATCCAGGGTTGTTCATGTTCTTACCTGCATGACAAGTCTCAATAGCTCATTACAATCATCTGTGAACACTGTACATCCAGGGTTGTTCATGTTCTTACCTGCATGACAAGTCTCAATAGCTCATTACAATCATCTGTGAACACTGTACATCCTGGGTTGTTCAATCGGAATGCCTGTGCTGCAGGTTCTTCTTTTTCTATAGCCCATTTAGAATCAGCTATGCCAGCTTGATGAAATCCTTCTGACAGACCTTAAAGAGATTATTCTTTTAATTTACTTTAATATCTAAATCAGAAGTTTTGTAGAATACTTTTAAAAAAACATTTTACTTTTTTCAAACAAAAATGTATATTGTGTTTAACCTAATACACTTCATACTGTACTTCTCCTTTGATGTGAAGTTTCTGAAATCCATGACATTGTCCTTCTTGAATAAGCAGCAACATTTATCATAGTTGAATGTTAAGTATGCTTAATTTAATTCCAGATTTCCTTCTTTCTTGTTATGTAGTTTAATTTCATAGAGTAACCTTTTTTTTCAACTTTTGTAGCTTTTAAAGTGATCAAAACTTTAAAAAAAAATATATTGTGTTTCTATTGATCAATGTAAAATTCTAAAGTTTAATTATCAAGATATCTTTACTCTGCTCAATAATCAGCATATTTTGATCAATTAGTTTTCAATTTTTATTTGTTGCCAAATACCCAAAATACAATATATTGATAAAATATAATACTATTTAAAACTATTTCCCAAATGTGAGTTAAAAAATAACCATTGAAGATGTCTGATTAAATTTTTTTTTTGCCAGATGCAAAATTTATACATCATTCTATTTTGCCTGATGCAGTGCACTACCTTTTTGTGAGGTTTCATTGAAATTCAGTCTATAGGCTGCTGAAAGTATGATATATATGGAGAGATTGACAGACTGATACCTATGTGCCCCTCAAACTTTGTTTATATAAAGAACACTTTTTAACATTGAATAGCTACCTCCACAACCAGCAAACACATCCAAACATTTGAGTGGTTTCCATTGTATCTTTGTCTCCTCCACATCCTCAGAAGGTGTAGATGATGATTTGCCTTTGCCCTTGCCTTTACCTTTTCCCTTACCCTAAAAGGTCACATTTTCTTTTGACAAAAGTACATTTGTATGTAAGTCTAAAAGTTGAAAGCTACTATTTTGGCAATGAAGTGTTTTAAGGTAGACCGTTTTTTTTTTTTTTTAGAAAATCGTATTCAGCTATCTTTTAAGGAAAACTTGCCAACATAATAATTTAAGAACTTCTAAGAATATTGCTTACCATACAATTTCACTTATTCAAAAGACACAATAAATCTGGGTACAGCCATGATACAAGAAACTTTAATTTCATTTTTGATACAACAAAAGCTATTAGACCATGCATGACATTCTACCCCACTTAATTTTTTGCCTCTGCTACTTGCAATTTTTACACATTTTGTCCATTCAGTTATTTCTGAAGTTGTAAAATTAAGTTCTTTGGAAGTACAAAATGTTTGCACTATAAGTATGGGCTGTGAACTTTTGTTTACTAATATTAACCCCTGTATTAAGTATTTGGTAGACAGAAATTTGATGAGCAATGAAAGTGAAGATGTATAACACGGTATAAAATGCTCACATGAAGCTTGGACTTTTCTGACTTCTAGTTCTTGAGAAAAATGTGAAATACATTTCATACATGTTTATGTGTAAAAATATCTATAAGTATTCAGTAAACCTGAAGTTGATGAAATACTTTGCTAAAGGCAAAACCAAACCCAACAGAAAGATGTATTGACTTACTGAATTTATGATGAATAAAGGACAGCTTTTGCAATATTTTGCATAAAAGGATTTCATTGACTCAAGTATTGTGTTGGAAATAATTGATATGAAGTATAATTACATGATGATGCAATTTATATCTTCACAAGTTGGACAATGGTAATCCACACATCTAAAATGTATCTAACATTATTGAAACAAATTTTATTTTTTTTATTTTTCTTGTCCCAATAGTATAGAGGTGATATATTGTTTCTAATCACTTCCAACATCAGCATCATAAAATGAACCAAGATTATATAATCTGTACATACCTTTCCCTTGCTTCCAAGTAACCTTGCTTTATGTGGAGGTTCTTCAAATGTTTTGTTTTCACTGTCATATGCCTGTAATAGTTTCATAACGTCACTCTTCATTTAGTATACATATTTCAGCAATTGCAAGTTTATGTATATCTTATTTTGTCAGTCTCAATAAAATTCCTGTTTTTCAATGTCTTTTTAACTCTGATGAGTCGAACTTGGTTGAGTTAAAATATTGGCCATATAAAACAAAGCCCCTTCGAAGAAAAATTATCTTATTGCGTACCAAATTGAAACTTTTCCACAAAGTCATCTCCTCTTGGTCAAGGGATTTAAACCTTTGTCTGTTCTATTGTCCCATTGAATAAATACAATAGCTATTGTTCACTGTGTAGTTTATTCACTGGGACCTTTAAATTTCTTCTAAGAGAAATCCATCACTCATTTGATTAATTTACCTAAGAAAAAAATTATCTTCAAAATAGATGAAAATACATGTACCACCTAAATAAACTGTTAACACAGAGATATGTCTCACCTTTTTGTTATTTTGATAATTAATGCAAATGTTGAAACTAAGAGAGCAATACTTTAACATGTAAGTAATGCAAATATTCAATAAACCATGACTAAAGGTACAAGGCTAAACAATCTCAATGGAAATGAGATGTGCCAATGCTAATACAACTGCATTCAAAATACCATTGACTTATCATAAATCATTCCCTTTAAACAAACCTAAACACAAACATTAACTTGTAAACTATGTAAAAGTGTCAAAGTCAATGAACCTTGATGAGGGGCTGGGGCTATATAATCTCGATGGAAATGAGACTTGCAAATGCCAATACATTTGCATACCAAATATTGACTTAACATTAAGAGGTTCATCTTAAACTGATCTAATCACAAACTAATACATGTAAACTAAGCAAAAGTTTCAAAGTCAATAGACCATGACTGAGGGGTAAGGACCAAATATTCTCCATGGAAATTAGATGTACTAATACTTATACAACTGCATAATTTACCCAGATGTGTAGAAAATCTAATTCAAGAAAATTTGGATGGAAAAGTATACAATTTAAGTTTGAAATACTGATTCAGATATTGAAATCGGATGCTTTTATTGTCGATGGAAATGACTTTCCTCAATTAATGCTACATCAATGAATTTGTTTGTACAACAACTGAGATGGCATGGAAAATTGGAAAGCATTAATTTTATAGGAGGCAATTACTGAATAAATTAAGACAAAAGCAGAGAAAATAAATAAGGAATAAAATAATCATTATAATTATAATAAAACTAATATGAGTTAGGTAAAAAGATGAAGACTTGACATTGACAGAAAAGGAGAATGTTGCAAAAATTCTGCGATCATTTGTTTCGTTCTGCAACTACTTCCCCAAATTGTATTAAGTTATCATTGTAAACATAGAAATAAGATGGTGATCAGATGTGAAAAAAATATATCCAAGTTACATTCTGTCTCAAGTTTAAGAAATATTTTTTTTAAATATTCCATGTTATATCGATGCCTATAGATTGGAATATAAAACTTGATTTCACTTTTCACATACCGGGTTGACAATACAAGTTGCTATTTTGAAATTGTAAAATATGTTGTTATTCGCGACCAGCTCATAACTAGGGTTAAGAGGACTCAACCCTTGGATAAGTGGAACAGTTCAGTTGGGTTCCTTCAACTTCAACTTATCAAGGTTCAACTGAAGTTGTATAGTAGACAAAGACTAAATGTGTCCAAACAATAAGATACCAGCATGTTTTTGATATGATTTTAAATTTTAATTCAAAGCAACCTCACCTCTGAGAAGTAAAATCTATTTGGACCGCTAAGGAAATAAGCCTGAAGATCTTGTATATTGTCACTGTAAACCACTTGACATTTCCCTTTTACCAAACTGAAGTCCACTGTGGCCTCTGTAGAATAAGAAATATATATCAATCAAATAAAGATAAATACTACTTTATAATAAATCAAGTAAAACAAAAAGCTTTTCCAGTATATGCAATGTTACAGCAAAAGATAGATATCAAGGAATACAAGTCAGAAATAAAATGTTGGATTCAATAATGAAGAGATTATAGAGCAGACATGTTGAGTGAACATTTCTCCCCATTTCTTTGAAAATTTCATTGTACATATTATTTGATCTTCTCTCATGCAAAAATGCTCATTTCAAATACCCCATATCAAATTTTATTATGAAGTTAAATAATGTTGATATTAATAATCCATGGTTCATCTGGACAACTACAAAAGTTGGATATTTGAGTAAAATGTCACATAAAAAATCAAAGATATATGTCAAATAAAACCAGCCAATTTCTATTTAGATTTCAGAACTGAAAGAGTCCATGAACAGTAGACTGTAAAATAACATATTAAGTTTTATATGTTATATAATCTTGTATTTCCTCTCTAAATGTTCGACTATGTTCTAAGTGTCTATAGAATACTTAATGTTGTTTTAAAGCTTATCTCTACAGCTCTTACCTTCTTCAGACCAGTACAACATATTGAGATCACAATGATATGTAGAAGTAACTCCTTTGTGTGTATCTTCTGGTCTGTAAAAAGAACCAACATTGAATTGCATAGCTTAGTCATACTGCAAATCAACTAATTGTCCTTAGCACTTTATTTATATGTCTGCGAGTAGAAAAATAACTTGAAAAAATAATGTCACAAATTTTGTCAAATTTTTCTCTTCCTTTATATGATTACATAAGAACAATTGGAAAATCACAACACAGTTGGCTAGAAAGGGCCACATGTAAAAAAAAAACTATATGCCAAATAAAGTTAGTTTACAGTATAAATGTATTTAGAGTATATATTTTCTTCAGAGGTATTAAAGTTATTTTTGTGTCTACATCAGATCTTATTCTTGTATACATTCTACCATATCCTTTTTTCCCCCAAGTTTTAAAGGACTGTTAAGTAAAAGGTTAATTGACAAGACTGCTGACTGTTCAGAGCAAAAGTAAATTGTAGGAATACATGATAATCCATGCCAACCAGTCTAAACTATTATTCCTTAATTCGCCTTGCTTTGTGGGGAAATGGCTTAAATACTAATTTTAGTCTTTGGTTTGATCTGAGATAAACAAATCATTCTTCGGCATAGGGAAATGCAGTTATTTAAATTTCTCGCACATCAGGTAAATATAAATATAACATTCAATAAGGTCAACAAAGACACACTAAAAGATTTTTATCACCAAAAAATAAAACACAGCTATCCAACAAAGACAGGTTATAAATCTTAACATTTGTAGTAAAGCTTAGCTTCATTCAATAATCAACAGTCAGGATTCTACTTCATCAAAATTATCTCTCCGTTAAGCCAGTTCATTTTTACAATCGTAAAAATGGAAGCCATTGTAGGGATGACGCGCTGCCAATTTAGCTCTTAGAAACCGATAAATTTATCCGCATAGCACCATTACGATCCTTATATGCCAGTTGTATTTTAAAAGACAAATGTATCTACTAGCTAATGAGCATCAGTTAATGTACTTGTCTGCATTCAGTCAACTTAAAACTATTGTCTGATCGGTTGTCAGGTGGAATTTTCGAAAATTCTTAAACATTTAAAAAAATTCTAATTTAATATTTCGTGGAAGGGCAGACTAAAAATTTTCAGTGGTTGAAGACTATAAATCCTAGATATCACACACAAAAAATGAAGTTTTTTGGAAGATATGCATATACACAAGTTCCAACTTAAAGTCAAGTACTTTTAGTAAAAATTTGCTATTCGAACACACCTACTCTGTTTTTGTGATTCATTAGAAAGGTATTTCACTTGACCTATATATTTCATTTTTTTAGTACTGTGAATTTTCGATGTTACAAAGTCAACCTGTAGCCTTGATATATAAAAATGATAGAATCTGAAGCGAGATGATGTATCAAATACTTTTGCTTTTTACGTTTTCAAGACAAAATATTCAACTCAAACACGCCCTAACATAAAAAGTTGCGCTCGATTTTCTCTTTTCGATGCAATTGTTACCCATTTTTTGGAATTTTTTCTTGAGTCACATAATGGAAGGGCAGAAATGAAAATTAAGGAACAAATAGATTGACATGTTCTCCCTCCGTGGTAATTTTTTTTGAAAAATCGGAGGTTATGCATTTTTTAGATCCAACTTAATAGACACCCATGTCAACGACCTGATATCTAATTGTTCTGCTTAATTATGTAATAGATAAATTGAAAACTTATACAAATTGTGTTTTTATGATAAAATATTTCTTAATTTAGCCAAAAACTGTCATTTTATTTGTTTCTATTAACTTTTAAAATTTTAGTTACTACAGTAAAAATTACAGTAAGCATTTATTGCTTTCTCTAACAAAGAGCTTCGATTCTTTTGTTCTATTTCAACTGGGTTTCCGCCTGTCAATACTAGCTTTAATCTCATAGTAAAATCTTATTGGCCACTAAACATGTGATTTGAGAGATGTTAAGTGTTCCTACCAGTTGCTTTTGCAACAAATATGCAGGCAACACAAGTTACATTTTCTTCCAATTACCTGTAATATTTACAAACTTTTATTCTAATATTTGTCATGTCAGGAAGTTTTGACCCTGGTGATTTTTTACAATAAATTTCCATAATTCTTCCAATTCTGAAGGGTGTCGGTAAATCCTCATTTGAACCTTTGATGTATTCAGATTTTCTGTAGGCCTCTGTGTACAGATTTTCATCTACCTGTAGAAAAATAAATTACTCATTAAAAGCTGCTTATCCTTAAGTATTTTAATTTTAAACAATGAGTGTAAGCAGATGTGGGACGTGTGTCTATGGGGTTCCTTGGTCAATCATTGTAATTCCTTTCACAAGACAAATTGACAGTTTTACCTCAGTCTCAAGAAATGTTATCTATGGACATATAAGTTTTACTTAAAAGTCATTACACATAAATCACAAGTAATATAGGCTCTGTAGACCTTATAACAGACTTTTGCTAGATAAAAAATTCAGTCACAGACTTTTCTCGAGTAGTTTGACAAGGAAAATTTTGGTCAGTTCGACTAAATTGTCTTAAAAAATTTGACAGCTAGCTATGAAACAACAAAAGCTGACAAACAAAATTATAATGAAGATAATTACTGCACTTTGTTTAGTTGACTTTGTTGATTTCTTGACTTGTTTTATTTTGAAATTGAATCCTTCTGGCTCTATGTAACAACCATCGCCAATCTTATAGTCCACACTATCACGACAAACACTATTATAGAATACTCTAGTATCAGTAGAATCTTCTAATTCTTCTCCCAGACTTGGGATTTCTCTCTGTAAAAAAATAATGATAATTAGTAGACTCAGGGTTCACCACAGGCTATCAAAGGGTGGTACCCTTGAATTTTCAGGCACAAAGCTGTATTTTCTAAGCATAAACCTTTAATTTTGGGATTATATGAGATAAATTTAAAAAAAATATTTCCTTGTTTCACTGTATCATCAAATCTTTTTTTTAATACCAACCAAGTAAAAGCATTTATTAGAATACTTTTGAAAAGAATTCTTTCAAAACAAATTGGAATGTCCATGCAAGCATTATGTTGTTTGAAATCTTTGATACTGATCTGAACAACTAAAAACATCTTTAAATAGACTTTGTCGAGCAGCTGGGTTACAAGAAGAAACGAAAAACTCTCAATTTTTTTCATTGAAATGGATGATCATAAGTCAAAAAGTTTGATCAAATTGACAAATGTTGACAAGATTTTCAAACTAATGTAAAATATAAAATTTTTGGAACATGATACAAACTTACCTTTCTAATTTGATTAAGTCTGTAACAACTAATACAATGTTTATGTTTTAAATTCTCAGGAACTTCTACTTCATTTGATGGTGGATCTTCAAATCTGGCTAAATCTGGATCATACCTATTGAGCACAAATCATACAAGTTTGTTAAACTATTGTTTCTATGAACCTTTTTATTTAAAACTAAATTAGTGATTTCTTAAAAGCTATTTTCCTAATGCTTGTAGTTTAAAGGTTTGGTTGGCTTGCTTGTTTAGTTTGTATAAAAGTTTGCTCAAGCATTGTAATTAAGATTGACATCTGCAATCAATATAGACAGGGCTTCATATTGTATATAGTATACTCTGATTTATACTTAACATCCAATAACATTAAATAAGAATAATGTATACAAGCTGAAGCCCCACCTATCTATTGATAGCAGATGTCAATCTTAATTACAATGCTTGAGCAAATATTTAAAGGACGTTAAGCAACCAACAATCAATCAATCAAATATTTATACAAACAAAACAAGCAAGCCAACCAAACCTTTAAACTACAAGCATTAGGAAAATAGCTCTAATGTAGATTTCAAGAAAACCAAATCAATAAGAAAGAGAATTGTTTTGCCATGTTTCAGTCAACTAAATTGAGAATTGTTTTGCCATGTTTCAGTCAACTAAATTAAGAATTGTTTTGCAATGTTTCAGTCAACATAATTGAGAATCGGAAGGCACTTCACTTTTTTTATGGCCATCACCCCTAAAATTGCATTTTACTTTGCATACATAACCACACCATATGAACTGCGTGACCTGCCCCCACCCATACAAAAATGATTAAAGTGCCTTCCAACATCCCCTCCCCCCCCCCCCCCCATGTTTCGGTCAACTTAATTATGAAATGTTTTGCCATGTTTCAGTCAACTTGATTGAGAATGCTTTTTCCATATTTTAGTCAACTTAATTGATAATGTCACTGTAGAAATGATTTCTTTCTTAGTGTGTTTCTTTTTCGCATATGAAGAGTTGACTTATAGAAACAGTCATTTTTAAATAAGATTTCATAATTTACCATTTTTGATAAAAGTAACTTCGGTTATCCTCTGGATCTACCACTCGGTCCACTTCTGGATGCTCAATGCCCCCTAACATGTGCCAGTTGTCTGCTGGGGCTTTATATATAACCTATAAAAACAGCCTAGGTGTTAACAAATTACTCCATATCATTAGTTAATCTAAAATGAAATCAAAAGGGGCAAAAAACAACAACATTTATTATCAAAACATGTCTAATTCACTTGTAGAAAAAAATTTCAATGACTTTCTGTTTGGTTACAAAATTTAAGATCAACATCATCCGAACAATAAGTTACTTTTTGTTGTCACCATTTTCAAGTGTAGAAAGATTTTATCACTAGTTTTTGTTATAAACTTTAACGAATAGAATAAAAGTGCCCCAAAAAATCCAAATTTAGGCACAAAAATTAGTATGTTAAAATAATTACAATTCAAACAAATTTTTCTCCTAGATGAATGTGAGCATGAATAACTACCTTAATTTTACACGTTACAACATCAAACTTGATGTCTTCACAGTCATCTATCATGAACACTTCTTGGTCGTCTGAAGCTTCTCCTAGCACTGTGTCATTACTTCGACTGAAACAAACATACCAAAATTATTACTTAGTTCTCAGATACATGCAACTTATTGTATTTGCAATTCCATCATACAGGTCAATTTAAAGTTACCCAAAAATGTGTGGAATTATTCTTTTAAGATATGAATCCAAAAGTTAAGTTTAGTACTATATACTAAGGTTGAAATTTTTTTGGTAAAAATACCATGACAAGATATTTACCTTTACCTCAGCCATTGAAATGAATGTAATAAATATTTCACACAAAACAAAACCCAGAAAATGAAACACGATTAAAATATTCAATAAGCATGCCTATTGAGCAGAAAAAAGTATTTACCAAAACCAATGTGCATGAAACATTTTCTGTCCACTACTGGTTTCCCACATGTATGCTATTCTGGCTATGTAGACAGGGATACCAGTGTCTTGTGGTTTTACTGCTACACAGTCATTCACCTTAATCTGAAAAAGGAACCACTAAGTTAACATTTTTTTCCTTTCTACAATTCTGACATGAATTATTTGTTATTATTTGTTTCAAACAACATGTTGAAAAACTTTTTCAATTTTCATACAATTTGAATTTTAACTTTGCAAAAGTTCCATGATTAAACACATGTAATAGCATGCAAATCAAATTAAGTTTCAATTTCACTGAAGAATAACTGTTAGCATTGACTTTTTCTGTATCAATATTTTAACAATAGTAATTATCCTTCAAAGCATTCATTAAAAAAAATATCAGAAATTTATTAAAAAAAAAAACAATGTGAAAGAAAATGGCTTACAATATCATCATCTAGTCTAATAGCTTCATAGTAGGTGTTTCTTCCATCAACTTTGATAGGTTCCTCTCCTTCCCATTTCAGTTTTGCCTTAAACAAAAATTTATATTATTTAAAAGTGCAAACAGAAATGTTTATTTATTCAGTTTTAGATTGGTAGGTCAATAGGTTAAGATAATCAGGTTTTCTACATGTAAAATTTTGTAAAATATCAGACGTGTCATAATAAGAATTAGTTTCAGTGAGTACAGCGAACAAACTTCTTAACTTTAAAGATTCTTATTGTATCAAAGGGCTTAAATTATCACAATATCATAAATACATTTTTTATGCAATATTTATATATCAGCATGTTTAAAACTTATGAAGGAAACCAAACAAAGTCTCTTCTTACTAGATAAATAGCATCAGTTAAAATTATGTCCAATTAATTCTAGGATTACAATTTTTAATTATAAATAATTAAAGGTCTCCCAGGGTTTGATATAGAACTTTCCCTGCATAGGGTAAATTTTGGAATATTGGTCACAAATATTGACAGGAAAAAGTGAATTGTTAAACATTTTTTTTGTGTGATGAAAATTATACATTTAAAACAAGAACTTGTACGTGTGTCCATTGGACACCCTGTCTTGCTCCGAGTCAAAACCTCAATTTGGCATATATTTATGAAATTATAATAAACATGTGTACTAAGTTTCTCATGTAAGGGGCGGGATAAAATAATTCTACAACATAAAATATCATGAACTTTTCTACAAATGAATTACTCACCTTGGCATTAGATGCAGTTTTATGTGTCTTTGTGGGAGTTGTTTCTTTACTTTCACTCTGGAATACATTTTAAGATCAAATAAGCATTAAAAAATAAATGAAAAATCTATTTCAATGCTATTAAAGAGAATCATTCCACCTTAAATATGAAAACTGCTGAAATTGAAATGAAGCCTTTTGACATTTTATGCAATAATCAAGACCTCTGTTTAAACTGTTAACTCCAATATAAATTGTTAAACTTCTTGTCTTGATGAGCACAGCACAAGTTAACAGTCATATTTTGACTGACTTAAACCTTTTTCTGTTGATTTCATTTGGCACAGTACCATTTTCATAGTTGTTACTCTGATTTTACAGGAGTCTTTTATCTTGCAAAATATTAATGGTCTGAAAATTTTTCTATAAAGTTGAATAATGGGATAAATCAAACATAAGCAAAAGTTTCAGCAGCTCAATTGTAAAAGAAATTATTTATAGAGTGTCATAAGAATGTTTCCATGTTGAAGTCAAACCCTCTTTATACTTGTGCAGCTGATATCTAGGAAATTGTGTCCACCTCTCTAATTTTCTAAAGGACCAAAGTTTTTGCATAAGCACAGTGTGAGTATACAATTTTTTTTTTTATCACAAGCAATTTGCAAAAAATCTTTTTTTATAAAATAACATTATTGAAAGATTATGTTTACTGCTTGCTATATTACAAGAATTGTAATCCCAAACATTTTGCAATAACTATAACTGATATATTTTGGCTTGGTTCACATTCATCAGAGGATGTCAGACTCTTATTAGTAATATCTTACATTTAATTTTGAATCATTATCGTCCTCTTCCCAAAGGTCTTCGTCCTCTGCTTCTTTTACAACCATGTTGGGACATCTATAAAAAAAATATATATTTTTTAAACCTCTCAGCCTTTGAGGCCAAAATAGATACGTTTTTAGGATTTCGCAACAGACCCTAATTTTGAGCTCCAACCCTGTTTTTTAAAAAAATTCTATAAAATATTTTCCCCAACATATCAGTTGTTGTAAACCTTGGAACTTATTTGATCAAAATATGAGATATAATTCATTAAAAACATTTTAATTGTTGTCATTATGTTCCATGAACGATTTCATATGACAAACCTCTGACAGGTAAAGTAATATGTACAACACTGCAACTGGATTCAGTGAAGACACAATATTTCCAGATTTTCTGGCTTGTAACCAAAATATATCTGACTGACTATAAAGGAGAACTGTTAATAGCACACATATTCCCTTCTGATAAGCACAAAAAAAATTATCCCTTCTCCCTGATATACAGTATCTGATAGAAAAATAATAATATCATGAGAACTTCACAGAGTTTTATTTTATCTTCACTGATAGTTAATTTACATAAACTGTTGAAACAGAGATATGTCTCGCCTGTATGTAATTTAATAGAAAAATTCAAAAGTTGAAATTGAAATAGCAATACTTTGAAATACAAATTATACAAAATATTCAAAGTAAATAAACCATAGCTGAAGGTATAGGGTCAAATAGTTTCTGTGGAAATAAGATATGCCAATACTAATACAACTGCATACCAAATATCATTGACTTTCATAAGTGATCGCCTTAAACTGACCTAATCACAAACTTTAACATGTAAACTAGGTAAAATTTTCAAAGTCAATAGAAGATAACTGAGGTGGCAGGGTCAAATAATCTCCATGGGATTGAGATGTGCTTATGCTCATACAACTGCAAACCAAACATCATTAACTTACTCTAAGTGGTTTCCCTTAAACTGACCTAATCACAAACGTTAACAATTGTTGACATCGCTGCTGGAAACAGCATATGTAAGTTTTGTTTTTCTTACTCTGTCAAGGCAAGACAAAAATTAAGTTACGTGTCCTTAATGCCTCTTTTTTCCAACTTCATTCCCTTTTTCTGAAATCTACTTGTTAAATTTCACCATGTTTAACCTACCTCCTGTTTACACACGCTTGTTTTGCCCTGCCAGTTCCACCAAATTTCACCATGTCTTTACAAGCATTACATTTACCACAATCTGGTTGCTGACAAGTCTAGTTATTTAAGCAGAAACATATCGTTATTTTTCAAAAATATGATATCCAACAAATCAAAGACGTTTCCCAAACCCACTCCTAAGAAAGTTTTATATACTGTAAATTCAGAAATTATTAATTAAATTAAATTATTGCGATTTCAGGAAATGCTGCAGACAAATAATGCTATCAAATTTAAAATGTGACTTTTTATTTTTGCAACCCTATCGTTGCAATTTTCACAATAATAAAAACATTGCAAACATTTCTGGAAATACAGTATACACTTTATATAGTCCTTACCACAGAAAGAACTAATATACATGTATAATATAAATAAAATAGTGTTACATTGTATATCTCCAAATAAAAGCATGGCCAGTACCTTATATTATATCCAGATGATGAATGCATTTAAAACAAAACATGTCGACAGGACACAAATCCATCCTCCTGCAGCCTAATTAGTGAACTTTTATTTCAGTGATTTAATTCAAAGATGAGGTATTCGAGGAACATACACCATTTGTACACTGGCAACATTGTGTTCATGGATTTAAAATTGGGCTAATATGACCAAACAAAGATATTCATTATTTATTGTTGATAGATAAATAGAGCAAGATGATGGCTTACTGGAAGAATTTTGTATAAATATAATTTCCAAACAAAATTTTAAGAGCAAGAATTGTATTTCTGACTCAATTAAATTGATAACCAGAAATAATATTCATCCTTAAATCCGCAAAGAGTCTGCCAACCAGAAAAGCAAATTTGATCTGTAAGTTATCATTATACACCAATGCACCAAAAAAGTCAGCTCCAGATTGCAGGCTTTGTTGGCATGACACGGGTTATGTTCTTCTCATATATTTTATGATGGTATAATACTAAACCCCTAACAGGAGGGATTGTGCCTGATATTCATATGATGAAGACATAATCTTTCAATCATTTTAATTGAGGTCTGGAGCTGGCATGTCAGTAACTGCTAGTAGTCTGTTGTTATTTATGTATTAATATGTCATTTTGTTTAATTTTCTTTTGTTTTCTATTCGGACATCGGACTCGGACTTCTCTTAAACTGAGTTTTACTGTGCGTACAGTTGTGCGTTTGTTTTTTCTACATTGGCTAGAGGTATAGGGGGAGATGTTGAGATCTCAAAAAAACATGTTTAACCCCACCACATTTTTGCACCTGTCCCAAGTCAGGAGCCTCTGGCCTTTGTTAGTCTTGTATCATTTTTAATTTAAGTTTCTTGTGTATAATTCGGAGTTTAGTATGACGTCCATTATCACTGAACTAGTATACATATTTGTTTAGGGGCCAGCTGAAGGACGCCTCAGGGTGCGGGAGTTTCTCACTGCATTGAAGACCCATTGGTGGCCTTCGGCTGTTGTCTGCTCTATGGTCGGGTTGTTGTCTCTTTGACACATTCCCCATTTCCATTCTCAATTTTATTTATAAACAAGAATGTGTCTATAGTACACGGATGCCCCACTCGCACTATTATTTTCTATGTTCAGTGGACCGTGAAATTGGGGTCAAAACTCTAATTTGGCATTAAAATTAGAAAGATCATATCATAGGGAACATGTGTACTAAGTTTCAAGTTGATTGGACTTCAACTTCATCAAAAACTACCTTGACCATAAACTTTAACCTGAAAAACTTTATCTGAAAAACTTTAACCTGAAGCGGGACAGACGGACGGACGGACAAACGGATGCACAGACCAAAAAACATAATGCCCCTAGGTGGGGCATAAAAAAAAAACATCAGAAAAGTAAATTTTCCAAGAAATTTTGAAGTCCAAGGGCAGTAATTCCAGTAATAGTGTGTCATCATGAACAGAATGCATTCCAAAAATAAGTACAAAATACAATGTTCAGGTAATTTATTAAGTCTAAGGGGCAATTTTTTTTTTTGCAAAGACGTTCAACCAAGACCAAAAGCCAACTTGATTTGCAAATCATTATACAGTAATGTACAAAAAATTAGATCAATATCTGCAGGCATTATGAAATAAGTCTAGGCATCATTTTGATTTCAAAAGGACAGAAGGAAAGAATGATGGACATCAATCAATGCTATGGATACTTAAGTGGTGGGGACAAAGAAATGGAAAAAAAAGATAACCTATCACAATATGAATGTGTGTCAAGGTCTTAAAGTAAAAGAAACTTAATGAATTGAATTAGCAATTCCCTATCAACTTTATTTACCTCACATATACCACATCTTCTACGCTTTGTGCCGTGTCCTGATTTTTCATCCAGCTGACCTTTAAACATACTGTCAAATATCTGGGTCACCAAAGGAGTTGTAGCTGCCATGGTGAAAGCAGGTTTCTTATCTTTAACCTTTGTTTTTCTTAACTCTTTTCTCATTTGTCTCCTGAAATATGAATAATTGGTTTTCATGGAAGAATTGTTTTATATTTTGACATTCCAGGGCCTTTTTATAACTTCCTATACAGTATAGTTTTGCTCGTTGTTGGTTCTAGTTGCTTACATCCATGTTTTTTGGTCTCTGGTGGATATTTGTCTCACTAGCAATCATACCACATCTCTTTATTCTTATATTAATGTAAATTTTACCATATAAATCTAAGTCCTTTAATCAGTGGGGAATAACTGTATGCAGTATCAGCAAAACACCAGAGTGGTTGTGTGCTTGATTTGTATGCAGATTGTAGTGGGTTCAATCTAAGGCTAGGTTAAACAAGACTTTAAATGTCAATCTTATACAAAGCATTGAACTTTAATATTTCATTACCATGGTATTGTCATTCTAGACATTAAACAGCCATTAACCAATTAGAATCAACTTATGGAATCTTTGTACAACTAATCTGTTTTTTATGTTGTGTTTACTAATGCGTGTTTCATGTTTATTCCACAGAGGTCACTTGTGCCACTGATGATATCCTTTATGCTGTAAAATGAAATACCTGCTCGTATTGACACATCCTTACAACGTTATCTCTGTATACAAATGACACTTGTTTAGACAGGTTTTTTTGTCTTGAAAACCAAAATCACAAACTATCATCCCCATAATTTCATAAATTAAACCAGTTTTCCTTGTTTTATTCACATGTTTAAATCAATGATAAATTGAAAATATATTGTCAAATTGCATTGTTAAACTTTAGTAACAATTTGTATGTTTTCTGTGCAAAAATTATCTCTACTCGATCATTGTCAATGCAAAAATAAATGTACTGAAACAAACTGATATTTACTCAGACCTGATGCATTACCTAAAGCTTTGCTAAATAATATTACCTTTTACCAAGAGTAACACCAGCTAGTTTAATTAAAGCTCTCATACAAGGTGTGGCAATTAAGAGATCTTCATCATCTTCAGCTGCTTCATCATAACTCTGTACCTAGAAAAGAAATTATATAATTGATAGTAGATAAAACCAAAGATTTTTATTACCATACATTTTTTAAATGTGTCCAGATATCTGGTCATAAATTGTTTATTATTATTTAGAAACTTTTCTATTTAAAAGGATGTCGTAAATTTTGGAAAACTTCATATTTTTTTTTCAGAAGTTGGCTCCAAATTTTCCTATATATGACTTTCTTCTGAAATCATTTGCAAGATATAAAAAATGCCTAACTTTTGACATCAATGATAAATGTGTTGCATTTGTAGGTTTTGGAAAAAAGTAGACTTTTTATTCTTCATTTGTGAATATTTGTTGTTAAATAAAATAGAAAATTAATGACAGCTTGCTTTTTGTACATAATTTTTCTGGAAGTCTGTACACAGCATGGGTACTTGAATTCTTGTTAAGCATTTTGAATGTAATATAATGAGAACTAACAGCTTTTATGAAGTTAACTAAAACAATGCATACTTTTTTGAATGACTTCTGATCTGTTGAAACTAGTATGGAAATTCATATTTTAAGATGGTGTGAACTAGGGCACATTATGCAGAAATAGAGATTATGCATTATGGCATAGATTTATTCTGTCTGTATTGATCATCTCCAATGTATTGTTCATTACTCACACATGTGTACCTGATTATATACAAAGTAATGGCTGTTTCATTTTGCAAATGAAATTTTGTCTTTGAAATCTTAAATTTAAGAATTTTATCATCGATGAAAGAATATTGACAGCAGCTAAAAATTTTCAAATGCTTGATCAAAACTGTTCAACTGTTTGTCTTAGGTTATAAAACCTGCTGTGCTTATGAAACAACACACAAATGTACAATATAAAAATCAGCTTACAATTGCTCGGATGAAATTCAAAAGGGTATATTGCCTGGAAATTATCTTCTTTTAAATTTTATTTTGTACTTCTTTCCGGTAGTCCACAAAATTTCTTAACTTAAATGTAACTATATATCAAGTATAATCTTCTAATCAAAAAGCACCTTCCACAGTTAAAACTTTTAAAACTTTAATCATTTACTGTATATAAATGCTTTTCTCCTAAATACACTTTAATCAACAAACCTGGTCAACAACAAATTGTGAATGTCTGAGCAAAGAATCTTCTGTCAAGCTATTTAATCCTTGTGGTGGGACAGTTATCTGAATGAAAAAATCCAATACATCAATATATACAGTTAAAATTTTTAAAAATTCTCAACTAATGGCAGTCTTCATGCTAAACCATAGGCCCATCAGCCAAGGCTTCTGAAATTACTATCAGGCTTATAGAATCTATACAAAATTTTTCAATAGTGAGCCCTGTGACTGCAAAAGTGTATCGTGAAGACTGAACTAAAGAAGAACTCTGAAGAGCTCTTTCTATTTGACAAAGTATCAACTAATGTAGTATTCTCTAATTGGAGTTTCATGTCAGGTTACCCAGTTGAAACCATTTCACTCTATCTTTTCAAAAACAAGTTTTTCGTACAGTTTAGAAATCAGAAATGATATTCATCTATCTTGATTGTTTGCAACTGAAATAAGATACAAACTAAAAGCGAGAATGCTATTAAAATTTTTTACAGCCTTTTTATTTTAAAGTACCTTACAAAGTAACCTTATATGCTTTAAGAAACCATATCTTAAAGTTTATGGACCAAAGTGAATTAATTCATTAACACCAGACACAAGTCTGATACAGTCATGAAGTCTGAAGGCACATTTTGAATCTATCATTTTTTCAATAACCAAAATAACTTATGAAGTAAAATGTACATGTATGTAAAAACAAGTCTAGAAGACTTTTAATAAGGTTATATCACATAGTTTGAATTATTTTTTAAAGAAATGTAAATTAAAATACACGTTTAACATAACATTAAAATTCTTAATGCATACACATGCAAGACTGAAATATGCTTATTTGAACTTTTCTGGAACACGACTTCACAATTCTTTACATCAACACTGAAACAACAAGTATTTATGACAGATAATGTAACGCTAAAAACTTACTAAAATTAATTACTACGATCACAGATACTAAAGAAAACTTTGCAAGATTTCAATGCAAAACAATTACTTTTTTGAAATATTTTCCCAATCCCTCCAGGTGACTCTGTACTGAAAGCTTTTGAAATGTGATCTGAAATATTTGACCATATATTTATTTGTATTGTTACCTGAATTTTATTCAGTAAATCTTCATATGTTGCTATAGGGTTGCTCTGTAGGAATTCTATCAACACTTTACTCATGTGAATCTTTTCTCTCATGGTATCCATGAATGGTTTATATGCATCACTAGGAGCCATCAGAATATATTCAGCAAAAGCTGAAAATATGAAATAAATTATAAACTGATTGATTAATTGATTGATTGGTATTTTACTTTAAGAGGGAGTTATCACATGCATATTCAGTAAAAGTTCAGTTAACAAAATTCCGAAATGTACCGTAGAAAGGCTTGTATAGTCCGCGGTTTTATTCTCCAAAATTGGACCTTCCAGACGGGGTGCGGACTATAGAGTACAATAAGCATGAAATAAGAGAAAAATTTCAATTTCGCGGTCGAGGTGGTTTGTTTACGTTCCGCCATCTTTGTTATTTCTATTGTAGAGGGCGCTCTTATCATTTTTCAAACTAATAATTTTAACTCATCCATATTAATAAGTTATTTCTATTCAATATCAAATTAATACTGATAAATATAAAAACTAAACCTTTAATTACAAATTTCTCGTTTCTTTTCAATGCATTGGTTGAAATAAACTGGTATCTGCTCGATTGAAACGATACAAACATAGTGAAAAAGACAACCGTAAACCAGCTTAGAATTTGTAAACTACAAAACGAAATCGGTTATTGTTCGTTCCGTTTTGGTGTTTCATACTGACTAATATGGTTTGTATTAGCTTAAGACCCTTCAAACTTTAATGTGATAGATATATTAAAGACTGTTTTACAAAAGGATGGAACTGTTTTACTTTCAAAGTCGTATTATAGTGATATCTGTTATGTACGGATTTCGACTCTCACGGTTAATTTCTTCTTTTACACGTGCTTTTTAAACTTCCTGTTTAAACATACACAAGTTTCTAAATTGTTTTTTAAGTGAATTAAACTTATTTTAACAATCATGAAGCTTTCTAGAATCATTAACAAGCAGTTTCAGCTTCTGTTTGATGATGGAAAACAGGTTTTTCCAAGAAAATACCGCAAACGACCGCACAGGATTTGAAATTACCGGAGTTTCATTAGACCTTTTCTAACAGTTACAAAAAGTTTTTTTACCTAAAATTTCGTGGGGAGAAGGGGGTGCGGACTATGTACCACTGCGAACTATACAAGCCTTTCTACGGTACATCAAAAATGAGCATGACTGAACAACTGTTAAATGATGCTATATGGGCGAGTGCAGTTAAAATCTTTTCCCAAATGAAGACAAAACTGACAAATTGGATTTAGTAAAGTGTAACTTCTATGTCATTTGGTCTCTGGTGGAGAGTTGTCTCATTGGCAATCATACCACATCATCTTATTTTCATATACTGTGGCGTCAATATTATATGTTAGCCATGAATTTATATGTTCAACTAAGTATAAATTTTCTATAGGCTTGTATGCAGACTTTGGCTAAAACCACTAAATAAAATATCCAATTTAATTTTATTCAATCCATGAAAATTGGTCGCCACAAATTTAAATGAATCTACAGTATTGGATTGACAAAGTGGACATCATAAACATTATTCTTAGGTCTTTGGTAATAAATGTTTTTAAGTAAAATTAAAATTTCTATGTAAATATTTTACTTAAATTGTTCATTATCAGTGAAAATATGAAGATGAATTGGTGAAAATATTTCAGCAACAAATACAACATGCATATTTGAACATGTTAATGTGATAGAAATAAATGTTTGTATGAACCTTTCTTTGTTCAAGACAGACCAAGTCCCCCAGATTGTTCATGTGAAAATAGCCTAATAATATAATATTATATACCTGTACTGAATCCTATCAAGGCATTTTCTCCTCCATCAAATCCAGCAGTCCACCATTCATTGATAGGTCCCATGTTTCTGGTAGGGATTCCACCTAAGGCACACAATCAGAAATGAACAAGACTGTTTACACACTGTTCTGGTATGATAAACCTCAATCTTTTAAATTGTTTTGTAACAGAGAGGAAATTTCAATGAACAGATTAAAAAAAATAGGAGGGGAGGTGGAAATCTAAGTGAACACTTTTAATAACCATCAAAAGCAGGTCTTTCTTATAGATTCAGATTTTTTTCTTCATTTTCTTTATTTGAACTGTTTCTATTTGTGTTAAAAAAATTGCATAAATGTTTTTAAAAATTAAACAACAAAAGCTTCGTCTACTATAAAAGATATGAACATACCTTCATTTGCTGGGTTTTCATCATAAATTGGTTTAACATAACCACTGAAATATAATTCTATGTTCTTCTCTATAAGGCCTGTGTCAAATGGACACAGATGTGTATTCTTGTCATAAGCACTACAATAAAATCAACATAAACATGATGAGTTAAGCCCTTTACAATGTCCCAGATTAAAAAAGCGTTGGCGTGTCCTCAAACATGTTTAAACATGTCACACTCTGTACGTGCCTGTATCAAGTGAAGGGCCTGTAATTCAGTGGTTGTCGTTTGTTGCCGTTGATCATATTTGTTTTTCTTAAATTTTGTTTTTTTTTGCATAAATCAGGCTGTTAGTTTTCTCGATTGAATTGTTTAACATTTGTCATTTCAGTTGTTATTTCTGGGCCTTTTATAGCTTGCTATGTGGTATGGCTTTTACTCATTGTTGAAGGCCATGTGGTGACCTATAGTTGCTAACCTTATGTGTCATTTGGTCTCAGATGGAGAGTTGTCTCATTGGCAATCACACCACATCTTCTTATTTTTATATAAATAACAATTCAATACAAGAGTGCATATGCTGAAATGTCTCACCTTTTTAACTGATCATGATTGAATTTATGTTGAAAGTCTTGGAGAAAAAACTTGTACAAGTATTATATAAAATTAACATTATCAATGATACATGTAAATGAGGTCAAGGTCAGATGAAATCTGCCAGACAGACATGTACACCTTGCAATCATTCCATACACCAAATATAGTTGTTCTACCGCTTAAATAATCTGAGATACAAAAACTTAACCTTGATCGCTGATCCATGAAATGAGGTAGATGTCAGGTGAACCCTGTCTGATGGACATGTAGAGCTTGCACAGACCCCATTTGTCAAGCAAGAAGTTGCACACATCATGCTAAGCATTAAAAGTAAATTAATGTTCTCTAATAATTCAATTACATAAGCTGTTGATACAGATATGTTTTCCCTGTGCGTACTTTTGATAATATTGTGTTTAAAGATAAGTCAACAATTTTAAAACTTACTAACTGAAAGTGAAACTCCATTTATCATAATCTACCCACTTTTATAATTTGAAAAGCAGATATACTAAACCTTCTCTACCGCATGTCAATGTTACTTGTAAACTGTTTCCATGTTCATATTACCTGAAATTTGTGATTTTATGCTGAGGTCTTTCATCATAACTATGAATTTCTTCCTCATCTCCAGTAAACACTGATAATCTAGGATCTGTTAATGCAACATACTCTTCTACCTAAACAAAAGACAATATAAACAAAACCTACTGTTTGTTTAATTACTATGGATTCATTTATTTAAGTGGATACCAATTGTCGTGGATTGAAGGAAAATGGTATTTTTGTGGATATTTGATTTCGTGGTTTTTATACAAGCCTATAGTCAATTATTACTTTGTTGAACATTTTAATTCATGGTTTTTCCTGTTTCCATGAAATCAACGAAAATTGGTACCCAACTGATATCAATGAATCCACCGTAGGCATGTAGATTTTATCAAATTTTAGCTAAATGGTCTACTTATCTTTGGATTTTAACATATTTGTCAGTAAATATGATTTAAGGATAATTTTTTAATTTTCAGAGGTCTATGTGGCCGAGTGGTCTAGAAAGTTTATCTTTAGTGATAACTTGCCTGTCAACACTGAAGTGGTGAGTTTGAACCCAGCTTAAGGCAGGTGAATTTGACCCATTTCTTAATTGACTAAGATTGTCAGTTTGACTGCCGAAAGTGGTGGTTCTCTTCTGGTTCTTTGGCTTCTTCCACCAATAAAAACTGGCAGCCATGATATAGCCAAGTTTGCTTAATGGTGTTCATATTTTTTTACCTACTGCATCATCAGTATCTCAAGAGAACATTATCAAGCCAGCATTTGATTGGTTATATTTGTTAACTTACTGCATCATCAGTAACTCCAGGCAACATAACCAAGTTAGCATCAGCTGACTTTTTATTGATTGGTCAAATTGTTTTTCTAACTGCAGGGAATATTACCAAGTCAGCATCAATCATTATCAATTAAATGTTTATCGATTTGTCATATTATTTTACTTACTGCATCATCAGTAGCTCCAGGGAACATTATCAGGTCACCATCAATTAACTGTTTACATTCTCTGCACTTTGCTGGTGGTCCTTTATTCACAACTTCTTTAATCTCCATCTCTGAAGAACTAAAGTCATATAAATTTCAATTGACTTAGCTGTCTATTATTAATGTCAATAATAATTTAAATGTGTCTTATGAGGCCATACATGTATAAAAAGTTACATCTGGTTCTCTGAAAAAAAAATGCTGCTGGCCAGGATTTAAAGAAGGTAATAAAATCCTTGAAAAACAAAATAGTTTCACATACAAACATACATTATGTATGCTGTGTGTTTGTTTATTCCACATTGGCTAGAGGTATAGGGAGGGTTGAGATGTCACAAAACATCTTAACCCCATCGTTTTTTGGCACCTGTCCTAAGTCTGGAACCTCTAGACTTTGTTAGGCTTTTGTGTTTTTTTTTAATTTTGGTGCAATTGTATGTTTTATTATAGACCCATTGTTGGCCTTGGGCTGTTTTCTACTCTTTGACACATTCCCCATTTCCATTTCTATTATCCTTTGGTTTTTATGTTCTATTATAATACTGTGAACCGACACAATTTCACATCAGGAATGTTTCAGTTTTTAAATAACAAGTATTCATGTGAATATTATCATATTTTGTGGGAACTTGCTTTCTGTTTTGCAGAAGTACGAATTGTTTGGAGACTAAGTGCAAAAGAGATCTTTATATCTGAACATATATGATGCAATGATTTCATAGTAGTAGCTGAAAAATTTCTGGAATTTCCTGATTAAAAAAAAGGTTGCTGCCTGGGAAACATTTTTGAATTTTGAAAAATGGTCAGTATTCAGCAATAAATCAAATGTGAGGAAGAGCCCTCAGTTTCTTTTATTCGATATCTTCTCTCCATTTTTTCCATATTCACCCAAAAATCCTGTCTATAAAAATATATTTTCACACACAGAATATCAGATAAACCTTTTATTTTCAGTGTCCATTTCCTCGCTTTTTTCTCCATTTTCTACTTTAGCTTTCTTTGTATCTTTTTCTTCTGCTTCTTCTTGCTTCACTTCTTCATCAGCTGTAGATTTCCTCTTTCCTGGACTGTGAAGATTATCATGTTTTAGTAAGTTAGAAGTAAGTAAGTACTTTATTTGCTATAGACATAAAGCTTATGGAATGGTTAAAAAGAAAAAAATAGCGGATAAAGGTTTTTATTCAAATTGTTTGAATTTAATTAATGAAACTTAACAGATTGGAAAAATGCAATTATATGGAGATATTCTGATTACTTGAAAAGCAGACAGGAAATTTCTAAAGTCTTACATTTAAGTTTAAGGAACAAATTAATAAAATTGTTATTATATTGATCAATACTATATAATGGAAAGTCAACTTGATTGTACCTAGTTTAAAAGTTGAAACTGAAAACTCAGATAATAATCCTTACTCCTTGAGAGGTGTTACTCAAGGTAATCTGATAGTTCCTATGCCAAAAGCTGAGCTGTTGAAGAATTCTTTTACTTATTCTGGATCAGTGCTATGGAATGGACTACCAAACAAAATGCATAAAGCCCAAAACACTTTTACTTTTAAACAAAGTATCAAGAAGTACTTGACACAGTCCTGATAAGATTTTGTTTTCTACAATGTATTATTTTGATTTGTATATTTTTTTATCTTATTTTGATTTGATTTTTTTTTATTTTTACATATCTCTTATCATGTTTATAATAATACATTGAACTACTTGACTGTAAATTAACTATGTGTAAATATTTGTTTTTGATTGTATTGTAATTTGTATGTGAGGACCCAGGGAAGATTAGTTTATTGTGTTTATCCTCTTTAAATAAAGAATTTATTATTATTATTGCTAGTTTCCAAATTTCAATAAAAATACAATTATTCTTTTTGAATACTAGTCGGTATTTATAAGTTTAAGTCATTTTTAATCTATTGTAAATGCCTTTTACAGATGTTATTTAGATTATTCATGTACAGTATAACAAAATAAATTGGTCTTTGGACTAAGGTGTATCTATTTTGATCAGAAATGATGTCAATGCATTTGATTTTCTCTGTATCTGGCAACAAAACTGCTAGACTAAAATTTGTGACACAAATTGCATTCAACTCTTAAATTTTTGCATTTTATCAATTTTATTTTTTCCTTATTTAATTTTGTTCCAAGTCATTATAAGACATTTTTTTTTCGATATGTACATTTGTATCTAACACTACACACAAGATGATTCAGTTGATTCTCTCTTGGTGATGAAACTTTGCAGTGAATGCTAGCCATGCATGGTGATTAAAAGGTGATTCACTCAGAAATCTATCTCTTTTGTATTCTATAAAGAATGTTACTATGTACAGTATGATTCGAGTCTAAATTCTCCCTATAATCAAATATTGAAGGGTAAGTGTATATTGTGTTTAACTATTCACTGGAAAAATACTGTGGATTCATTTATTTTCATGGATTGAGGAAAATTTATTTTTAATATTTAATTTCCTGGTTTTGCAAAAGTCTGCATACAAGCCCATAGAAAATTTGCATTAAAATTTGTGGTTCACCTGTACCCATGAAATCCACTAAAGCTGGTATCCAACGAATAACAATGAATCTACAGTATTATTTTGGGCGACACTTGGGTTTTATTTTAATTTTAACCAAAATATTCTTAAAATTAACATTTTTTTTCCAAAAAATTTGTAAGGGTTCCGCGGAACCCAGTGTCTCGCCTACTTTTTCTGTTAATCGCAGGCTCTACAAAAATGAGGAAGTAAATCAATAAAAATATTGCACTTGATACTATCTTTTGATTGTAAGAAGCTTCAGTCAAAGTTTGGTAAAAATCCAGGATAGTTTATGAATCTAATAAATGTTTAAAAACTTTAACTGCAGACTGAATGTAATTTTATCTGGAAGAAAACAAAATTTCCTTCTAGATACTAGCATTTGATCATAAACAAGCTTCTGTCCAAGTTTGATACAAATCCAAAATAGTATAAGAAAGTTATTAAAATTTTAAAAACATTAACCACAGAGTGAATGTGTTGTTTCCTGGCAGAAAATCTAAGTCCGTTTAAAAGTAAAATACGGAAAAAATAGATTTATTTTTTTACAAAATTTCCTTCTAGATACTAGCTTTTGATCATAAACAAGCTTCTGTCCAAGTTTGGTACAAATCCAAAATAGTATAAGAAAGTTATTAAAATTTTAAAAACTTTAACCACAGAGTGAATGTGTTGTTTCCTGGCAGAAAATCTAAGTCCGTTTAAAAGTAAAATACGGAAAAAATAGATTTATTTTTTTACAAAATTTCCTTCTAGATACTAGCTTATGATCATAAACAAGCTTCTGTCCAAGTTTGGTACAAACCCAGGATAGATTAAGAAAGTTATTAAAATTTTAAAAACTTTAACCACAGAGTGAATGTAATATTTCCCGGCAGAAAAACTAAGTCCATTTATAAGTAAAATACGGAAAAAATGGAATTTTATTTTTACAATATTTACTGCTGGATACTATCTTATGATCATAAACTAGCTTCTGTCCAAGTTTGGTAGAAATCCAGGATAGCTTAAGAAAGTATTAAAATTTCAAAAACTTTAACCACAGAGTGAATATTTGTGGATGCCGCCGCCGACGGAATGTAGGATCGCTATGTCTTGCTTTTTCGACTAAAGTCGAAGGCTCGACAAAAAACTGACAATTTGTAGATTTAATGTCACTTTAATAACAGTCAAATTATGTCATCAAAGCTAGGCTAATTTTTACTATTTTCTAAAAAGCTTTTCTTCTGATGATTAGTAATGGTATTATACAATGTTTCATGTTCCGTGAATATAGTGAATACTTCCAAAAAATTTTCCTTTGTAGGGAATAAATGATAGGTAATCACCCAAATCACCTTATTTCACACTATCACTCAACACCATTACATGTGAAATTTGATTGAATCACCTTGTGTATACTATACTGACCACTTGGCGACATAGTTTGTATTTTAATAACACTCACGTTCTTGAGAACATTGATGATATAGTAGGCTGATTTACATTTGACTTCTTCCCCCTTCTTCCTTTCGACTTCTTACTTGGTGTTTCTGTTGTATTGATAAAATTAACATTCTTAAATACAAATAAAGGCCATTATCATATAGGCATCACCTGTAATTGTTCTGATCTTTACGTTTTGTCTTGACAGGGCCTTTTATAGCTTGTTTATTGTTGAATATAGTTTTTAACCTTTCAATATTTTGTTTGATATAACAAATAACCTATGGGATTTGCAGATTTGTCTGTCAACTCCTGTGCTCTATGTTCCCTAAATGTATGTCTAAAGGCAGTTGAAATCCAGGAGAATTTTGCCAACTTTCAGCAAAATATCTATTTTTGGTCTATTTAAGGTGTAAACGCCAACACTTTTTTAATGTTAATGCATTAACTTGAAACACTTCGAGTCTTGAATTAATGGACTTAATATATAGAACCTTAACATCCCTCTTTTAAAAGCTCTTTTTCAGGCCTTTACCTGGTAATTGTCTTTTCTTTTCTTGAGGTGTTGGAACATTGAAATCAACAGACCAGTGATCTCTACTGCTAATATTTAATAATTTTTCAATTTTTTGAAATGATGACGGCAATGTTTTTGGTGGCAGTGCTTGGATTATGAACCATGGTTCTTGCAAAGTATCATAAAGGGTTTGGAACTTTCTATCTAAATTTTATCTTTAGTAAGTGTTGGATGTCTGTTATCGATTTTTTAGAAATGTGTTTATCATCTGTTATGCAAGATCATTCTCAAAGGGGCTCTCAAATGTATTATTTCCTCAAAGTTTGATAACAATCCCAGCAGGATTTTAAAATTTTTTAAAAGATTTGTTTATGGCTCTACTCTGAATTCATGTTATATTGTCAGTAGAAGCCATGTTGGTCTGTCCACAGAGCTTTTGGATAAACTTATTGTTGTTAACCATATAAGGATGAAGTAGGCCAAGCTTATATGACATTAATTGCAATGAAGAAGATATAATGAATGTCATACCTTCATCTTTTATTTCTTCAACTTCCATAGATTTTTCCTGTAAAACACAAGACGAAAAACCTTTTATGGAAGAAACAAATGTAAATAGTACCACACAGAACAAAGTACAATTACCTGCAAAATACACTTGCGAAAGAAAGGAAATATAAAACAGACGACTATTGGAAACTATTATAGTTTGTTAATATCATAATTCCCCTAACATTAATTGTATTACCTCTTCAATTTCTTGTTTTTCAGTATTATTCTCCTTGGCAACTTCAGATTTCTCCTCTGCTTCAATATCTTCCTCTACCTTGTTTTCATCATTTACTTCTTTTAACTCTTCTTTGTTTTCTATTTTATCATCAACAGATCCATTTTTACCATTTTCTATATCTGCATGGTTACCGTTGTGTTTTGTGATATCGTTAGATCCGTTTTCTTTGACCTCGATATTACTTTTATCTGTGCCATTTTTCACAGAATTGCCATTTGCCAAAATGTTTGATTCAGTGAACTTCTGCAACAACTTTCCTAGTTGCTTAAAATAACCTTTCTGTAAATATATTTGAAAATCAAATTGACTTGAAATTGCATGCAAGTTGTAATTAAACAAAAACATTTTTCAGTTGGTTAATAAAACAAAAACTATTTAGAAATTTTTGTTTATGTTTTTGTGTTGTTATGTTACTGTCTTATTGATATATATGGCACATTGACCTTTATTCACTTTCAAAGATCTGGTTCTTATCACATTGGTTACAAAACAATCATTACTCGTCTCAAACATTTAACTGAACCCATTTACTGTTTTATAGCCTTTCCTTCTATGACAAAAACATTCGTACAACTTATTTTTAACATTATGATAGTGAATAAACCTTAAAAATATTCTTTTAATTCAGGTAGCACTGAAAAATATGTGTATAATCCAATGTAGAAATAATGATTTGAAGTGTTTTTACAATAATAGATATTGATTGTCATTACCTCTGTAACATTTTCATCTTTGAGCTCTATTTCCAGTTCAGTGATATCTCTTTTTACTCCTTCAGGTAAAATGTCATTTAGAACTTTGCATTTCTTTCTCCAGTACCCCTGTTCATAACCAAAAAAAAAACACAAACATTTTTTATCAAGGATGCAGGACTGTCATAACAGCAAAATAGATAAAAAAAAAATCAAAGCAGAAGTGACAACAAATGACATTTCAATTTTCATTACTGCCGACACGTCAGTTTTAAAGGACTAGACTTATTTCACATTGAAGATGATCACAATATGTGAAGCACTTTGGGGTAGAAACTGAGAAACATATAAATGGTCTTTTTTTCCACACACCATCATTCAATGGAACATGCTACCAATAGCCACAGTACAGTCAACCACAGTTGACAGCTTCAGAGCACACCTTACACAAAATGTTCTCTGTCAACTAATTTAATCCAGATGCTAAATTTTGTAAATAATTTTAATCACTTTTGTTTTTTGTATTATCAGATGATTATACATGCCCAAATTGTCAAAATTTATATATTTTTCTTTGGCATTTACAAGATAACTTAAGTTTGGTAAATACCACGCATGCGCAACGACAAGTAATCTTCAGTATCCTGAAGTTTTTTTGTATAACTGAAGAAGAAGAAGAGTTACATTCTATATGAAATTTCACATGACCATGATCTGACATACTCCTTTACCACTTATAAAATTATCATTTAAAAAATTTATTCAATCCCAGTTGAAACCATGACATACAGTACGGGTAGAGACTTAATATTATGGATGTCTTAATCCGTCTAGATGTCAGACTGGCCGGACAGTTGTCTCAGTGTAATTAACACCTGCTGTGATATTAACCTGTACAATATCCGAGTGGAAGGTCGTAAATCAATCTGTACCAGCTTGATTAGAATTAAATTTTACCTGTACAGATATTATAGTATTTATGGAGGATAGATAATAAATGTAAAATATTGTTTTGTATTCAAAGAAAAAAATTACAATAAAAATAAAAATTTAATATCATGAATATGGGATCAACTTTTTTATAACTTGAAAATGAAAGAAAGACGATTTTTAACAATGTACTGTAAAAATGTGTTGCCAATTATAATAATTGTGTTTGTGCCAATAAACTATTTGTATTTGTATTTGTAAACCGTAAATATTTCATTTTATTCAAAATTATAACAACCAGGACTGTTTTCAATCGAAGTTTTAATCAAAATGTTGAGACACCAATCCCGTAAATTATACGAGTTTTCGTTGATGGTTAAAATATTTCCCCCTTTTAACGTCCTGTTCCTTAAAGTTATTAATAGAAACACAATTTTAAGTAATAGGCCAACATATCATATTTATTAAGTATATAAACAAATTGAATATAGGCATTGTGAATAAACTGTTATTTTCCTTTCGATACCACGTTCCCCGTCGGAGCCTCTACATCTATTCATACCTGTCAATCATTTCTCGCAAGTAAAACAATTTGGTCAGCCAGATCATCCGTGCTTTCTATTTTGACATATATTTCCTGTTAATCTCTTTGAAACAATTGTTTTTTTACAATATTTATAACACAGTGATCATTTTTCGATTCCTAGTTTTTATATAAAAAAAACTTTTCATATGCACATCAATATTCTATGATCCAGCATTATTTTAAATTTTGATTGTTAATAAATTTACATATAATGGAAATAACAGATTTGTTGACACTCGTTGTATTATAACAAAGATATTGCCTTTCTATTTCCATGTTTGAAATTTTAATGCAAATCGTGTTTTTTATAAACATATTTTACGAATTGTGTCAATCAATACATGAAGATCAAAGTTTTACACTATTCACGATCAGCCATCTTTACATTTGCGTCGTATTTCTAGCCATTCTCTAAAGCTTGTGCAGTCAGTAAGATTTTGTAAATCGATGTCGGCAGTTTAAATTGTATAATTCCCGAACTTTAAAGGAGGTGTCCGAATAAATTATTTAAATAGGAATCTGGGTGTTGACTAATAAATATAATAAATAAAATAGTTAAAGAAGACTAAAGCTTGTTTTGTTTATAATTACAAGGATTAAATTTTCTATTCTGGTAAATCAATTATTAATGGATCTCGATCAAGAGCCTCAAAACTAACGCACAATACTGCCAATCATTACGTATCAAATTAAATCATGAATGGATTTTCCCACGGTCGGTCAGTAAGGTCACCTTTGTTAACTGTTACGATATTTCCCGCCATATGAAAATCACGTGCATTTGACAAAATTAATCCCAACGCAGACTGAAAATTAAATACAAATGTAGTGTTGTCAAACTAAAACGTATGCAGCAGCACTTTGCACATCATTCAGCTAATCAGTGAGTTTACGTGGAAAATAAATCAGTAAAACAAAAATAACCTTCCAGAAATAAAAAAGAAAATATTTTAAAAACTGTATGCCAACAAATACGAAAAAGATACATAACAAAAACCAGGGAACATAGAAAATAATATTTTGAGGAATATAAACAGCATTTGAAATATAAAAAGCCATAATTAAAAAAATAGGCTATTTTTATTAAAACAAAGTTGTCCCCAGTACTTCACCTGTAAAAATATTTTATGTCAAATACGATGTAGAACTAATCAATAAAGTGACTGAGAGGTTTAAATCACAGGTAACCCGATTCTGAAATCAGTGAAGCGTAATAATCTAGTAGCACGGATTGAGATGAAAGGACAATTATATTACCGTTCACACCTGGATCTGTTGATTAATGACCATACTACCTACCATAAAAAAGTCGGATTATTCATTTCCGACATGTTCCAGTCCGTTATTTATAGTAATAAGTCTCTACCCGTACTGTATTACCATCACTTATCTTACCTTCTCAGTGACATCACCATCTTTATACTCTTCTTCTAAAACTTTTAACCTGCAAACAAATGGATAAAAAACAAAAATATTTACACTAATTGCCAACAACTAAACAAACATATAATAATAAAATTTCAGTTCCTGAATTATTAGTTGGAAGTGCAGTATAAACTTTACAGACACAATAAGGATGATGATGATGGATGGCTGTTAAACGTACAGTGGCATATTAAATGCATATTCAGGATGAGTACATGTTAATGTAATATGAATATTATTATTAATCCTGTTTTGTACTAGACTGTCACCCTGACCCGGATTATTTAACATGCTAGTTTACAAAGTAACAGCCCACAGAAAGATATTTCACTACCAAGACACATTATTCCAACTCAGAGCCAACAAATCTTTGCTCTTACTCCTCACTGCTGTGTGCTTATTTGAACCCACGACCTCCAGCACTAGAGACTAGGGCTGTAACAGTACTACCTAATGATAAGATACATACGATGCAGTCCGGTAAATCTGCCCACATAAGGCTTTGATCGTATGTATATCTGCTTAATTATATACAAATTGTATAAAATTTTAATATAAATCGATTCACTGACAAATCAACTTTGAGTATTTTATCTCATTTCCCAAAAATTATCTGAAATAAATTTTAAAATCAACAAAACAAGTGGGTCATCATGGTCATCCGTGTTTTTATCGGAAATGTGTTTGTCCTGTAAATCTGCCCATGAGCAGTAAATATGTATGGAGGGACAGTTTATCACAAATTTATGAAAGGAAAAGGTGATCTATTTATTAATAGACCACTTATAAAGGGATTCCAGATAATAAAAAAAAAATTTCAAGTCAGAAATGAGTTTTGAAAGCAATAATATGATTATCGTTAGCTTTAGGAACTGTATTATATATATCACTAAATATTTTCATAATAAAGGATTTTTCTTTAAAATTTGACATGCAGTGATGATAAGTAGTTCCTATGAATAAAATAGCAGACGAAATATTCACAGAGGTGACAATTACGTAAGTAAATGGGAGTGGGCGGGTTTACTGGACGGTCGGAATGGAGGTTTCATGTCGATCCGGCCCAAGTCGATCCGGCCCACGTCGATCCGGCCCAACGTTGATCCGGCCCATATTTAAAGTCGATCCGGCCCCAATAAAAAAATATATTTATAAGGAATAGAAATAGGAATATTAATTGTTTATGAATTTTATTATAATGTAAAAGCTAGGTGTACGGTAAAAAAAAATGGCCTTTGACAAATATTATTAATTATGAAAACACATAACACCAAACAAAAGATCAAACTATGAAGACCTTGTTGATTACGTAACTTTAATCAATCAGGATTTGATTGAATTAAGTGATTACGAGTGGCATTACCTTAGTTCACAATCATCAGACAATTGTTGAATAAACAAACCAATTATAGACTAATGATTTGGTGACACTTGAAGTCATTATATGATGAGTTAAATTTTATAGGTTCCATTGGACTGTAAATATTTATTTAGCTATTCTGTGTGTGAATGAAATACAATAAAAATCGCCATGACATTCACAGTTTTCATGGAAAATAACTTCATATTAATATGTTGAAGCTGCTATACAAACAGACACAATCACACTTAGTTTCGTATCGATTTAAAATAATTCTTTGACTGGTACACCAATACTTCACTTACCTGTTGTAATCCATCATCGATACTTTTTGCAAATTCCATTTATACTGTTAGAATTTGTTACAAAATCCTCCAAAGTCAATATAGTTTATTCATATTTTATTATGGGGCCGGATCGACTTTGGGCCTGATCGACGTGGGCCGGATCGACTTGGGACGGATCGACTTTGGGCCGGATCGACTTGGGGCCGGATCGGTTTGGGGACGGAACGACCGGATACCGGAATGGATACCGGACACTACTGTATTGCAATACAATGATGATGTAATGGTACATTTCTGAAAAAAAATTGTGATAAAAACTGCATTCTACCTGAATTGGTCTATCTATCTATATGTTAAATGGTGGATAATACCTGAATTGAGGTATAATCCATCAAGTAATGGTTATTCCTAACCTGTTTACATCCCTCTTTCAGCAATAAAAAGTCTGATTTTTAAATTGGGGGTCGTTTCTGAACAATTTGACAAAAGAAAGCAAACCTTTCATATATATCTGGGTTTTCGTTTTCTTCAATGTTAATTTTTCCTGGCATTTTGTGTTTCCTTTTTCCAGCAATTAGGATTAACAGTGAAATCAACCTTGTGTTTGGTTACTTTCCCGCGAAATATTGGCCTAAACCATTAGGGAAAACTAGACAAGTTGAACTCCTTTTAAAACTCAAATTATATTAATTTAGATATCTTTTTTATTCAGATCGATTTGCTCATGGCTATTATTTTTTCTAAATTGATCATTTTTTATTCATTAGTGTTTAAAAATGGTATAAATGGATTTTTTAAAACGACATACACCTTTTCGTTAAAATGGACTAAACCGGAAGAGAAGAATGTAAATAAAGAACTTGGCGGAAAATATGATCGTTTGCAACTTTGCTAGTTCACAATGTAAAGTTCACAAAATATTTAAGCATTCCTATCCAATCCCTCCATCTCAAAGAGAAGTGATGCTTCTTTCTAAAGAAAAAGAAAAATCTCAAACCTCATTGCAAGTTTATGCCTGGTTTCTTCATTCAATTACAATGATACAATATTACTTAGTTGCAGAGATTGCAGTGAATGTTTTGCCATTTTCCTCTACTATATCTATATTAACACAGAAAATTATTGTCAAAACTAAGAGCATTAATAATAATAATAAATACTGTATTTAAAGAGGGTAACATGTACATCATTAAGTTGTTGTGTAGGAATTAAAACTAATTAAATAAGAAAACCTGAATCCCCTAGGCCCTACAGGTTAATAGAATGATGTTGATTGTTATTCACAGCGTCAAAAGCAGAGCTGAATAATTATAGGCATTAATATGTTACATACATTTGGGACATACAATATATATTACTATTCCCAGCATATATTGAAATGCATTAACGTAACAATAACTTGAATAACACAGCGTAACCGTAGACACAAATATTTTTGTTGATCATTTTTACATTCTTAATCGGTTCCTAATCCAACCAAGCATTCTGGCCTTTAGTGTCCAACGTAACAATAATTTTTTTTTATTGTTACGTTTCAACATAATACACCTTATCCCAATTTATTCCAATCCAGATATAAGATCTGAAATTACACAAAATTTTTCATCCAGTTGAAGCTATCTGGGGCCCTGTTTAAACAATGTATTATGCATAAAACTTTCAAAGGGACATGTTTAAACCATTGTAAACACTTCAAACAAAGCATTTTTATGATTTTAATTTGTGTGTTAAAAAAGTGGATCATAATCTATCAAATTTTCAAAATGTTCGCTTTTTAAACTTTTTCCTACCTCAGCTCATTACTGATGACTTTTGTTTTTGCAACACTCTACTCAAACAGGAAGTTGTCTAAGTGACTGATTGGACTCAAAAGGGATAAGGTGTATAGTAGCCAGTGCCATAATTATATTAAATTAGATATGATTATTACAATGACTCTTTATAATAATAACAAAAAAGACACTTGTACATAATCAAAATGAATATAAAATTATGAACCATAGTACTTGTCTGGACTCTTTTTGTAATGTTGATTTACCAACTTTTGGCAGAATTACAGCTGATCTTTTGTAATTGGTCTGCAGGTGGGGGAATAAATATTAGAGCTTTTTCTTAATCAAAATTTCATTGAATACAGGTACAATTAATATTTAACTTTACGTTAATTTTGAACATGGAATCCTGAGATATTTCACCTTCCCAGATTTTATTCCCTTAGTTTATCATTGTGACCTTTAGTATGGACTCCAATTGACAGCTTATAGGTTGACATTAAGTGTTACCCTTGACCGTCCTTCTGTCCGTCCGTCCCATTTTCGTTTCTGCACTCTAACTATAGTTTCACTCATCCAAAATTTACGAAACTCATGCACAATGCTAAGAACCAAAACACGCAGACAGAGTTCGAATTTGGGCAGTGAGTCACTTACTCGTCTAGAGAAATGCCCGTCTATAACTTGGAGAATTGAGAATTTTTTCGCTTCTACACTCTAACAAGTTTTACTCATCCAAATTTTATGAAACTCATACACAATGCTGAGAACCAAAACTTGCAGACCGAGTTCGATTTTGGGCAGTGAGTCACTTACCATTCTAGAGTAATGCCCCTTTATAACTTGGAAAATTGCAAATATTTTCGTTTCTGCACTTGGTTTACTCATCCAAATTTTATGAAACTCATACAAAATGCTATGAACCACAACATGCAGACATAGTTCGATTTTAGGCAGTGGGTCACTTACTGTTGTAGAGTTGTGCCCCATTATAACTTGGAAAATTGCAAATATTTTTGTTTCTACACACTAACTTAAGTTATACTCATCCAAATTTTTTGAAACTCAAACAAAATGTTAAGTACCACAACACACAGACATAGTTCGAATTTGGGCAGTGAGTCTTTTACCATTCTAGAGTTGTGCCCTTTTTAACTTGGAAAATTGCAAAGCTTGACCGGGGGCATTAGTGTCCTCAGACACATTCTTCTTTTATTCTCATATAATTTATATGATTTTCCAATAGTATTTCAGCATATTGATTCCTTTAAGAACACTTCAAAGTTGGAACACTGGCAATGTGTTATATGAAGAATACTAGCTCGAAATTCAACATCTAATTTTGTAATAATTATTTGTAGATACAAATTAATATAAAACAGGAAACATTACATTTCAGGAAATGAAGTTTATATAGATGTCACAGACAACCTTTCTTGAATCTGTGGTCAGCTGGGACCATCAGAAATGTCAACAGAATGTTGAGGAAGCTCTACCTAAACTTGTTGTATCCTTTGATAAAATTGTCTTCATGGTATGATGGTACACACATATCCATCTCTCTTGAGTTGGAGTAAATGTACTCACTTTTTTCATGATAACCATGATACTTTAACTTTTTCCTAAAACTGAATTAATTTTTCCGCAGGTTTATGCTGCTGGTTTAAATTTCTGTGTGCAGTTTGCCTGGCCTGAATTAATTTTACATACGCACAGAGAAAAGGTGAAAGCATTTAAATGTATAATGTTTATGTATATATACATGATCATTACATGTACATGTAGTCAAAGGATGTTGAACAATTCCATAACAAAATCATATATAATATACAATCGTGGCAACACTGAGGTTAACCATCTCAAAGATTTGAATATAAATAAGAAGGGATGTAGTAAAATTCAGTGAGACAGCAGCCCAACACATAACAATCAAACAAAAAATGTCATGGAAAGTAAATAGGAAAGGCATGAAACAGTTGTTTACATTTTTGTACTTGCATATTCAATGTTAAAATATTTATAAAACTTGTGATGATGTCATTGAGTGTTTTTTTATGAGTTTATAAAGTAATCCCTTATCTTAATTTAACATTTGAAAGCCACAATTACATGGTAAGCCTCATTCACTGATTGTCTCTTAAACATGAAATGCATGTTGTCATTAAAAATGTTCTGACCAGGCCTCTACAATAACTTTTTTTTCAACTTGTCCAGTAGGACAAGTACATACCAAAATTTACTTGTCCGAATGAAATTGTAACTTGTCCAAAAAAAATCTTAATAATAACCTTTTTTGCATTTTAAGTTGATTCAAGGAACAAAATGAATTAAAACAATAGAACAGAACTTGATTTATATCTTTTGAAATACCATTCAAAAATATGAGCCGAATACAACTGAATCTAGTCATGTCACAGGACTTAGGTTCTAGTTCATCGATGCCAGTCTCATCAGATGCTGCACATGAGGCACCGTCTGATAGGCCTGTCAATATACACTCATTGGATTTGTATCCCGGTTTTTTAAGTTGAAAAAAGTTTATTCAAATGCAATCAATAAAAAAAAGAAGATGAGGTATGATTGCCAATGAGACAACTCTCTGCAAGAGACCAAATGACACAGAAATTAACAACTATAGGTCACCGCATTGCAAGTATTGTTTTTTTCTACATATGATCAAATATGATTTTGTGAATTTAATGGTAAATAATTTTTCATTTTTATTTAAAAAATGTTTTTGTTAAAAAAATTACCGGTATGGTATTTATTATAAAGCAACAGAATAAGGTAGGAAAAACAGGTACTGATTTGTCTTGGTCCCGAAATGTCTGCTGCGATATGTCTCCTGCATTGCCAAACTGTTTATTAATCATATCTATTAAATATGTCTCCTACGGTGCCAAACTGTCTATTAAACTTGGAGCAAATGTTTCTGAGCTGGTGACGAACTGTCTTGTAAAGTTACCTTATCTACAAAGCGCATCGCTGATTCGATCAATAAGACTGGTTTCTGAGAATAGTATGCATTTTACCTGTTAAAAAGTACCTGACAAAGAACCAGTTTTAAATTATCCATGTCTTGTTTTCATCTTCTTTTCTTGTTTTTTGTTTATAATTACTTTGTTCATAAAAGTTGGATTAAATTTTTTTTCTGCAGAATAATTTTATTTGTCCCGTCGGACAAGCTTTATATATCTTTTACTTGTCCGACCCTTTTTCCCTCTGGTACCGGACAATCGGACAAGCGTTATTGTCGAGCCCTGCTGACCGTAAAATTTGATTTCTTTGAAGAGGGGTGGAAATGTGCATGATGTAGGTTATAATGAATACATTTGATAGGATTGAGGCTCATATCAACCTTTGGGTTCATTCAAAAACATTTTGTGCATTAATACATTGCTATATTTAAGAAAATATTGGAGATATTTCAGATGTAAAACTGAACCAAAATCAGTGAACAACCTAAATGTACTTATAATGAATGGCAGCTATGTGTCTGAGTTAGTTTCTTAAGAGTCTTCGCAATCTTCTTGATGTACAAATGTAAGGATAAAACTAGTTTCTTACACAAATTAAGTCATTTTGACTTCATGTAGACCTATAATATGTTTCAGTGAAAAGATTAATTATTACGTCGCAGTTCATTTCTCAAATACTAGGAGTAAAAGACCTGCAATTATGTAACTTTATATTAGGATTCCCTCTTTTTCAGTGGCTGACTAATTCATTTACTTTTCAGAACCTACTTAGTGACTATAATTGATGTATTGTTTTATTTGTTCTTATCCCGAGTCGCTGTGTATCATCACCACCGGATATTGGTAAATGTACCCTTGTCCTGGTTCTCTGTTCATTGTCTAAGAAAAACAACATTACTGTACAAATACCAGCGTATAGCTACCTGTGTACCTATATGTTGGTATATTTACAGTAATGTAGTTTTTCTTGGACAATGAACAGAGAACCAGGCCAAGGTTACCTATATCTGGTGGTGATGATACACAGTGTGAGTGTGTATTTTAAAAATATTGCCTCTGTAAAAGTAAACAGCAATCAATCAACCCTCCAAAGGTACATGTAAGGATTGATCACCATTATTGATAGTTTTCTGTAAGGATTGATCCCCGTTATTGATAGTTTTCTGTAAGGATTGATCACCGTTATTGATAGTTTTCTGTAAGGATTGATCACCATTTTTGATAGTTTTCTGTAAGGATTGATCACCATTATTGATAGTTTTCTTTGAACATGCTTTCTTTCAAAGATAAATAGAATTCTTTCCTTAATATACTGTAGGATTTTCTACAGAACGCAGAAATAATTCAAGAAAAAGTTGGTAAGAACAAAACAATAACATGCTTAAGATGCTGAAAGTGTTGGATATACATTGTAAATATAAACGTGAAGTGAAAAAGGAAAAAATATGATACCACATGCAACGAATAATGCAATGAATCATGGGTAAATGGCTTTTAAAGCTTCAATGCATAAAAGAATAATTTTATGAGCATTCATTTTTTATTGATGGGATAATAGGGGATAAGATAGCAAGGACATGGAGGCAATCAAAACCCACAGATCATAGGAAGACTACACTGTGCTAAAAAAAAATGACACTTTAAAGATCAAAAGTAAGAATAGTTGTTAGAACACTGCACTTGTTTCATAGTTTTACAACCTTTCACTTTAAGCAAATGAACTAAACATTTATAGATATAAATGAATCGCTCTGTCCTTCAGTCTGTCTATATGCCTTGTATGTTCAACTAACAAACTGCATTGATCTTGATGAAACTTTACACAGTTATAGAACACTACCTAAGGGTGTGTATAAATGAAAATCATCAAGGTCCACATATTAAAGGGGAGATAATCAAATTTGCTGGGAGGGGGTATCCTTTTGTGAGTTCACTCACAGTTCTAGTTCCTGTATACAAAAAATGTAGTACTCACAGAATTTGAAACAAATCTTATAATTTGAAATTGTTGGGTTGTATTTGGTTTAACAGGAATGAACTTAAAGCATAAACAATAAATACATGTATTTTTAGGTTTATGCATTTTGGTAATTTACTATTTATATTTTAGGAATTTTGAAGATTATATGTCAGTTATTTTTACCATGTATACAGATTGAAGAATCAGAAAATACATTGTTTAGACATATTGTTGAAAAAGTAAGTCATTGCTTAAAATAATAGTACAGTTTCAGAGAATGTTCAAAGTATTTTTGATGGAATTGTTCTTTTTGGGTTCCATCAATGAATCCAATACTAGTGTATCACACTATGGAAAGCTTTACATTAAACAAAGGTATTGTAGATTTACAGGTACACCACTGTTGAAATCATGTTGTCATATAAGTAAAAGTTCAAGATCATGGCTTCTCAAAATTCCTATTGACTTCTTAGAACAGAGGGCATTGATAAAGTTTGCCGAAATGGATTTTTACAATTAAATTTTACATGTTTTGTACATGTATGTATCATAGACAGAAGCTCCATTTCATATTTTAAGGTTTTACAATATATTGGTCCAAAGTTGTTGGTCTTTAAAATAAAGAGTAACTTACGCATGTGTAATGTTATATTGATAAAATTGAGAATGGAAATGGGGAATGTGTCAAAGAGACAACAACCCGACCATAGAACAGACAACAGCAGAAGGTCACCAACAGGTCTTCAATGCAGCGAGAAATTCCAGCACCCGGAGGCGTCCTTCAGCTGGCCCCTAAACAAATATATATACTAGTTCAGTGATAATGAACGCCATACTAAACTCCAAATTGTACACAAGAAACTAAAATTAAAAATAATACAAGACTGACAAAGGCTAGAGGCTCCTGACTTGGGACAGGCGCAAAAATGCGGCAGGGTTAAACATGTTTATGAGATCTCAACCCTCCCCCTATACCTCTAGCCAATGTAGAAAAGTAAACGCATAACAATACGCACATTAAAATTCAGTTCAAGAGAAGTCCGAGTCTGATGTCAGAAGATGTAACCAAAGAAAATAAACAAAATGACAATAATACATAAATAACAACAGACTACTAGTATATTTAACCCTTTCAACGCTATACACGGCATATGCCACGATGACGTACGCTGTCCGCCACTGCTGTTCGCGGCATATGTTGCGATGACTATGGATTTTTCATCCAGACTCTTAACCATTCAGTTTTCATTCGGGTCCTCTCTAATTTTTCCTCGTATGAATGGAGGATATACAAGGTCCCGTTTGCGCTTGAAATCGTTGGAATTTTAATGGTAATAGCATGCAGTAGAAGAAAAATAAAAAAATATTTTGACAAATATTTCAGCACTTCTATGACGAAACTGACAATTAGTAATAGTTCAAAGGTTTCCCATTATCTCAATGTGTTAATTACATTCAATTCGTGTGGGAAATATGATTTGGTCGATCTTTACGAGACGTAGAAAAAGGGGGGAAAACGGAGGTTGACTGAAAATTTTGAGGACGGAGCCACTTATTTGCGCCACGTTTACATTATACGTTGTGTATGGTGCAAATACGCTACAGAATCGAGCAACTGGTTTCTTGTTTATTATATGGCAGATAAAACAACAAAATGAATGAAGATTAAAAGTTGTTTTTATTCAAAATTCAACACAAATACAATAATTTACACCTTTTACCTGTTAATTACCTGGAAATGCAGGTAGCTTGATGAAAATTTTACTAAAATAATTGCATAACATTACAGTTCATACTCTCCTGAGCATTTTTCATGCACTAACTTTGTCTGTATCTCTAATAATAAAAAAGATACAGCAGTCTGAAAAGGAATATACTGTTCTAATGAATGAACACAAAAAAAAGCAGCAGCAGCAGCCATTTTTCTATTTTTTTGTGTAGCGTTGAAAGGGTTAACAATTTTACACTAATGTGTAAATGTCATAAATACACAAATTCCTTTTTTTATTAAGTCTCCCAAACGAAGTTTGGGAAGACTTATTGTTTTTGCTCAGTTCTTATTATTATTATTATTCTTCTTCTTCTTCTTCTTCTTCTTCTTCTTCTTCTTCTTCTTCTTCTTCCGCCGCTTTTAAATTTGAACTTGTCCGCACCCGTTCTCCAAAACCGCTTGTCAGATTAACTTAGGGTTTCACAATATGTTAGACTAACATGTCTAGTGGTGCAATCAGGGTTTTGTTTGTGCAATGGGGTTTATAAAGGGGTACTTTGAGGGGCAAAAGGAAAAGAGGGTTTTACTATAGAACCCTATGGGATTTTATTTTTCTAAATTTTCAAATGATTATAAATTGAAAACCGTTTGTGATAGACACAATCTTTTTAATTGAAAATGTTCTAAATGATAAAGCCCATTAAATGAAATACAGGGTTAGTCCCCAGGGGTCACCCCCACCCCCTGCCATTTAAGAAAGTTCTAATACCTTGTAAGTGGTCAAGATCCCCACCCCTAAACCATATATATTTTGGTTTGTTATGCTAAGATGGTTTGAATGATATACAGGGTAAGTCCCCAGGGGTCACCCCGACCCCCTGCCATTTGAGAAAGTTCTAATATCTTGTAAATGGTTGAGATCCCCACCCCTAAACCATATATATTCTGGTTTGTCATGACAAAGCACATCAAATGAAATACAGGGTTAGTCCCCAGGGGTCACCCCCACCCCCTGCCATTTAAGAAAGTTCGAATATCTTCTAAGTGGTCAAGATCCCCACCCCTAAACCATATATATTCTGGTTTGTCATGCTAAGATGGTTTGAATGATATACAGGGTTAGTCCCCAGGGGTTATCCCGACCCCCTGCCATTTGAGAAAGTTCTAATATCTTGTAAATGGTCGAGATCCCCACCCCTAAACCATATATATTCTGGTTTGTCATGATAAAGCACATCAAATGAAATACAGGGTTAGTCCCCAGGGGTCACCCCCACCCCCTGCCATTAAGAAAGTTCTAATATCTTGTAAGTGGTCAAGATCCCCACCCCTAAACCATATATATTCTGGTTTGTCATGCCAAGATGGTTTGAATGATATACAGGGTTAGTCCCCAGGGGTCATCCCGACCCCCTGCCATTTGAGAAAGTTCTAATATCTTGTAAATGGTCGAGATCCCCACCCCTAAACCATATATATTCTGGTTTGTCATGATAAAGCACATCATATGAAATACAGGGTTAGTCCCCAGGGGTCACCCCCACCCCCTGCCATTTAAGAAAGTTCTTATATCTTGTAAGTGGTCAAGATCCCCACCCCTAAACCATATATATTCCTATTTGTCATGTCTCGAACATTTGAATGACGTATACGGTCAGTCCCCAGGGGTCCCCCCCACCCCCAATGTTCTAATATCTTGTAAATGGTTGAGATCCCCACCCCTAAACCATATATATTCCTGTTCGTCATGTAATGAACATTTGAATGACGTATAGGGCCAGTCCCCAGGGGTTCCTCCCCACCCCCAATGTTCTAGTATCTTGTAAATGGTCGAGATCCCCACCCCTAAACCATATATATTCTGGTTTGTCATGCCAAGATGATTTGAATGATATACAGGGTTAGTCCCCAGGGGTCATCCCGACCCCCTGCCATTTGAGAAAGTTCTAATATCTTGTAAATGGTCGAGATCCCCACCCCTAAACCATATATATTCTGGTTTGTCATGATAAAGCACTTCAAATGAAATACAGGGTTAGTCCCCAGGGGTCACCCCCACCCCCTGCCATTTAAGAAAGTTCTAATATCTTCTAAGTGGTCAAGATCCCCATCCCTAAACCATATATATTCTGGTTTGTCATGCTAAGATGGTTTGAATGATATACAGGGTTAGTCCCCAGGGGTCATCCCGACCCCCTGCCATTTGAGAAAGTTCTAATATCTTGTAAATGGTCGAGATCCCCACCCCTAAACCATATATATTCTGGTTTGTCATGATAAAGCACATCAAATGAAATACAGGGTTAGTCCCCAGGGGTCACCCCCACCCCCTGCCATTTGAGAAAGTTTTAATATCTTGTAAATGGTTGAGATCCCCACCCCTAAACCATATATATTCCTATTTGTCATGTCTCGAACATTTGAATGACGTATACGGTCAGTCCCCAGGGGTCCCCCCCACCCCCAATGTTCTAATATCTTGTAAATGGTTGAGATCCCCACCCCTAAACCATATATATTCCTGTTCGTCATGTTATGAACATTTGAATGATGTATAGGGCCAGTCCCCAGGGGTTCCTCCCCACCCCCAATGTTCTAGTATCTTGTAAATGGTCGAGATCCCCACCCCTAAACCATATATATTCTGGTTTGTCATGCCAAGATGATTTGAATGATATACAAGGTTAGTCCCCAGGCATCACTAATGCATATAACTTTACTGGACCAAACCAATTTTCACTGGAAGTTGCCCAATGTCAGGCGACCCTGGGAATTACGAATTATGGGAGCTTCGTTTGGGAGACTTCGTAACAGCATCCTGTTACATTCATTTCTTGTTCTGATAGATTTTCAAATTGATGTAGCCTTAAATTTCTTAACAATCCAACATCAAATAAAAGCTACCTCTCTCAGTTTTGACTTTATATGCCCCCGCCGTAGCGGAGGGAGCATTAAATGTTACCCTTGTCCGTCTGTTCTGTCTGTCAAAATTGATTTCCGTTCTCTAACTTTAGTTTACCTCAACTAAATGTAATAAAACTTATACACAATGTTTATTACCACAAAATACATATCAAGTTCAAAATTGGGTGGTGTCACTTTTACCGTTCATGAGTAATGCCCCTTAATAAACATAAAAATTGTTGAATTTTTCATTTCTGTTCTCTAAATTTAGCTTGCCTCAAACAAATGTTATGAAACTTATACACAATACTTATTACCACAAAACATAGATCAAGTTTGAAATTGAATGGCATCACTTTTACCGTTCATGAGTTATGCCCCTTTAAAAACATAAAAATTGCTGAATTTTTTGTTTCCGTTCTCTAACTTTAGTTTGCCTCAACCAAATGTTATGAAACTTATACACAATGCTTATTATCACAAAACACAGATCAAGTTTGAAATTAGGTGGTGTCACTTTTACTGTTCTTGAGTTATGCTCCTTTATAAATGGAAAAATTGCTTAATCTGTCGTTTCCGTTCTCTTACTTTAGTTTGCCTCAACCAAATGTTATGCAACTTATACACAATGCTAAATTGCTTATAATCACAAAACGGTCTTAACCACGTGAATCCTGCATCTGTATGTGGAAGTTGACTCGTGCATATTTACAAGCGCCTTTTCTAATGCCTGCATTGAACTGCTCAGCTCTACATGAAAATTTATGTTGATAATAGACAACTTTCAAATTGTGCATTTTCCTGTACCTTTTTGATGTCACAATGCCTTTGTTATTATGCTAGAAATTGGTCTATAGAAAATTAATTAGATTTAAAAAAATCATTGTATCAGTTTTTATTTTCACATTTCCTTTGCTTATTTGCTGTGCTAAGGAGCCAAAAAGCTCAATATTTTGATTCATGACTGATATTTTACAATAATAATCTGCAGAAAATCTTATACAGTATTTCTATTTACACTTTTTTGAGAGAAACTATTTTATTGTTTACAGGCATGTTGTTCTTTTGACTGTATCTTAAATGACATAAAACAGATCAACAAGAACCAGGATATTTCTGTATTGAGTGGACAAGTGCTCAGTTTGTTGGAGGTGAGTCTTGGTCTCTATTTTCACTAACTTGGATGACTGACAGTAATTACACAAAAATATCATGGTACAAAGAACTTCTATTGAAATAAAAACAACAAATCTTTCACTTGATTTTAGGGGAAGTTTTGTGTTCTATGACTGCACCTGTTTGTTGGGAAAATTTGGGTTTAAATTTGATGAATTTACACTCGATCTTTACTAGAGAATTGGGATTCAAAAATTCCCTTTTCATTAATACTCATTTTCAGAAGCTGATATGCATTTTGAAACTTGAACTAGGATCTAATTTATGCAGATTGATAGCAATTAAAACTAGTGTCTTAGCTATAGGAAAAGGTAATCAAACTCAGTACTTATTATGCCCTGCCGACGATAGTAGAGGGACATTTTCTTTCCCAGTCTGTGAATCAGTATGTCCATTCATTAGTTAGACCTATATCTGGTTAAGGTTTTGGTTAAGGTTAGTATGTGGTCACATCAACTTGAAACTTTCTACACATGTTCACTATGAAATGAATTGTTTAATATATATATATATATATAAGAAGATGTGGTATGAGTGCCAATGAGACAACTCTCCATCCAAGTCACAATTTGTAAAAGTAAACCATTTTAGGTCAAAGTACGGCCTTCAACACAGAGCCTAGACTCAATTAAGGGTTTTGACCGACGGTTCACTGAGCATGGAAGTAAGATACTGCAAGCAGAGCATGTTGTCCTAACTTCTGTGTGTGTAAATCTGCAATTAGTTTTGCCTTTTGAGTTTTAACTAGTGCATCTACTGAACAGAAATTGGACTGGCAGGATCCCTCCACAGATTTGTGATAAGGATACTGTGTATGGGGATTGTGCCTTAGTTATTTTTGTGTATATTCATAATTAATTCTCTTGTATTAGAAAGTCTCTCAGAATTTGAAATTGGCTTACTTATCGGAAAACAGGAAATCAAAATAGTTACAGTTTGCATGGATTTTGTAACTCTGACAAAAGAAGAAGGCTTTAAAATCAAACATTTCTGACTGTTTGAGATTTTTTGAATTAAATGTTAAATATATGTACTTTAATAAAACAATGCTGTATTGCTTAAATATATACTCTTTTCATGAATATAAATAAGAAGATGTGGTATGAGTGCCAATGAGACACTTATCCATCCAAGTCACAATGTGTAAAAAGTAAACAATTATAGGTCAAAGTACGGCCTTCAACACGGAGCCTTGGCTCACACCGAACAGCAAACTATAAAGGGCCCCAAAAAGACTAGTGTAAAACAATTCAAGGAAGGAAAACCAACGGTCTAATCTATATTAAAAAAAACCGAGAATCACTTATGAACCACACCAACAAACGACAACCACTGAACAACAGGCTCCTGACTTACATGTAGGACAGGTGCATAAAAATGCAGCAGGTTTAAACGTTTTAACAGGCGCCAACCTTCACCCTAACCTGAAACAGTGGTATAACATTACAACATAAAAAGACACACAATAAAATATCAATTGAAATGGCTTAGCTCAATCAAAAAGACAATACACAAACACAATGAATGGATAGTTAAGTCAGTAAAATGGTGAAATTATTCAAAATCTTGACTATTTGGCTTGTACATGCTTAGAAATAGTAGAGTAAAAACTTTTGCCAAAAAGATATTTAAATAGTAAAGTGTATTTTGTTTGTGTTTATCTTTTCATTGGCAAAAAATGATTTTGGGCTACACTTGTTAATTTAGTAAAAATGTTCTTACAATTAGCCTATTTTTGCTTAAAATCTGACAAATCTTGTCCATGACATCACTTTAAAGACATCAGAGACAAATTGAGTCATCACCGCATGCGTAATATTCACATTTTTGGAAAAGACTTTCTTCTGATATTTGAAAATTGTGATTAGTTATGACATACTGCCAAGACACCAGTTCTAGGAGGGAGACTTTCTCTTTTCTTTAAAAAATATAAATCTCCCCCTTTGAACCTGACACCTACAAGGGAGGTCAAAATCTCTGTACAACAAAAAATCACCATATTTTGCCCTCTTTTCATATTAAAAATACATCCCATCTCATCATGACTGTTGTTTTAACTAAATGAATTCATGTATAGATAATTAAACTTTATCCTGGTGTGCTTAAAATTAAAATGCTTTAATTTGTATCTTAATACAAAATTTAGAATAAAAAATGTTGTTACCCATAATCACTCTCTCCAAAAGTGGAAATATATAGAGATCTTCCTCTTTATAGCTTTGTTGGCAGGTATCCAACTTCCTAAGCAGATCACTCATCGAGTTATTTGAAAGGGTTTATCTCCATAATCCAGTCATTTGAAAAGAAAATAATGATTTACTTGTTCTTTATGTTTGTTTGAGAGTTTTTCCTGTAATTGTTTTCTCTGGACATTCTAGTTTGCCATTTCCTCAAAGTTGCAATAAATTTAGTAAGCAAATCATTTACTTGTAGTGTATTGCTTTGCCTATTCTGTTTTTTTAATATATCTACACATTGTTCTCTAAAAGTTCTAAGTGGAATTTATGATTGTTCATGGGCAATTTTGCATATATTTGTATATTTCATCGTACAAAGTGTGTAATTGTTAAGTGGTATTGAGGCATATCTCAATTAGTGAAATTTTAGTTTCATTTTCATGTGTTCATTATTGTAGTTTACCTTAATTTCTTCCACAGTGGTATTTAGACATCGCTTAGATAATTGTGATTTTACTTTCACTTTCATAGTTTTGTTGTTGACCTATATTTCACCCGCAGATGTATGCAACTCAATTCAATAAAATTCTGGGAAGTGATCAATCAACTTTAAAATGTAATAAGATTGTTATCACTATCTGTGATTTTTTGCCTTACAATTGATTGGTTTGGATTAAAATCAATACCAGTCTGCAATGTGCACAAAAGTGTATAACAAAAATCCATAATTCAATATTCTGTTAGCTTGGTTTTTAAAAGTTTGTTTATTTGAATAGTATTAGCCAAGTGCACAAAAAGTGAAAATATTTAATAAACGATATGTTGAATTGTTTGCATTTTATCATTTACCATGATTTTACTAAAATTTGTAAGCAGTTCAGAAGGTTATCGGGATTGTCCACAAACACTAATGTATGAAGTCCAAAGTTAAAGTTGTAAATTTGTCGTATTTCTTTGGTAAGACAAACATATAAAAATTAATTTTGGTACAGGTCCTTCTTTAAATTCATAGATATGTTATGACAAGAATGAATCTTGTTTTCAATGTTGGTATACTTAAAGCAATTAATTTTTTTTGTATGAAAAACCCATTCAGGAAGTTTTATTGTTGAGTTGCTGTTTCATGCTTATCTAAGCTTTTTCGTTTGCAGTTAGACTTTGAATCAGCTTTATCCATAGTTTCAGTGTAACATTTAAAGTGTCTACATACATGTATAGCAAGTCAGATGTCCTCACAAAAGTCCTGTTCCTGTCATTGCAACTCCTCTGAAACCTCACAACAGAAATTCATGAAATTTTGTCGATAATAAAGACATACTATGTAGATGTGTATATCAACAGGAAATTATGATTCAATTTTTATACGACCATAAAAAAAATTTGCGGTCGTATATTGGTATGACGTTGGCGTCTTCGTCGTCCGAAGATAAATTGGTTTTCGCACAATAACTTTAGTTTAAGTGAATGGATCTCTATGAAATTTTACCATAAGGTTCAATACCACAAAAGGAAGGTGGGGATTGATTTTGGGGGATATGGTACCAACAGTTAAGGAATTAGGGGCCAAAAAGGGGCCAAAAATAAGCATTTTTGTTACTTCCAGACAATAACTTGTGTGTTAGTGTATGGATCTCTCTGACATTGTACCACAAGGTTCCATATCACAAAGGGAATGCTGGGATTGATTTTTGGGGTAATTGCCTCAAAATTTTAGGAATTAGGGGCCAAAAAAGGGGCAAAAAACTATCATTTTTCTAGTTTCATGACAATAACTTGTGTGTTAGTGTATGGATCTTTCTAAAATTATACTACAAGGTTCCATATCACAAAGGGAAAGCTGGAATTGAGTTTGGGGGTAATTGCCCAAAACGTTTAAGAATAAGGGGCCAAAAAGGGGCTAAAAATAAGCATTTTTCTAGTTTCCAGACAATAACTTGTGTTCAAGTGTATGGATCTCTCTGAAATTGTACTGCAAGGTACCATACCACAAAGGGAAGGCTGAGATGGATTTTGGGGGTAATAGCCTCAAAATTTTAGGAATTAGGGGCCAAAAAGGGGCAAAAAACAAGCATTTTTGTCGAGCCTTCGACTTTTGTCGAAAAAGCGAGACATAGCGATCCTACATTCCGTCGGCGTCGTCGTCGTCGGCGGCGGCGTCCACAAATATTCACTCTGTGGTTAAAGTTTTTGAAATTTTAATAACTTTCTTAAACTATTCTGGATTTCTACCAAACTTGGACAGAAGCTTGTTTATGATCATAAGATAATATTCAAAAGTAAATTTTGTAAAAAAAAAAATTCCATTTTTTCCGTATTTTACTTATAAATGGACTTAGTTTTTCTGCCAGGAAACATTACATTCACTCTGTGGTTAAAGTTTTTGAAATTTTAATAACTTTCTTAAACTATCCTGGATTTGTACCAAACTTGGAAAGAAGCTTGTTTATAATCATAAGATAGTATCCAGAAGTAAATTTTGTAAAAAAAAAATCCATTTTTTCCGTATTTTACTTATAAATGGACTTAGTTTTTCTGCCAGTTAACATTAATTCACTCTGTGGTTAAAGTTTTTGAAATTTTAACAACTTTCTTAAACTATCCTTGATTTGTACCAAACTTGGAAAGAAGCTTGTTTATAATCATAAGATAGTATCCAAAAGTAAATTTTGTAAAAAAAAAATCCATTTTTTCCGTATTTTACTTATAAATGGACTTAGTTTTTCTGCCAGTTAACATTACATTCACTCTGTGGTTAAAGTTTTTAAAATTTTAACAACTTTCTTAAACTATCCTGGATTTGTACCAAACTTGGACAGAAGCTTGTTTATGATTAAAAGCTAGTATCTTAAAGGAAATTTTGTTAAAATTTTGTTCCATTTTTTCCTTATTTTACTTATAAATGGACTTAGTTTTTCTTCCAGTTAACATTACATAACAGTCTGCAGTTTAAGTTTTTAAAACATTTATTAGATTCATAAACTATCCTGGATTTTTACCAAACTTGGACAGAAGCTACTTTCAATCAAAAGATAGAATAGAGAGTAATATTTTTATTAATTTTTTTCCTCAATTTTGTTGAGTCTGTGATTAACAGCAAAAGTAGGCGAGACACTGGGTTCCGCGGAACCCTTACAAATTTTTCTAGTTTCAGGACAATAACTTGTGTGTAAGTGTATGGATCTTTATGAAATTGTACTACAAGGTTGCATATCACAAAAGGAAAGCTGGGTTTGAGTTTGGGGGTAATTGCCCTAAACGTTTAGGAATTTGGGGCCAAAAAAACAAGCATTTTTCTAGTTTCCAGACAATAACTTGTGTTCAAGTGTATGGATCTCTCTGAAATTGTACTGCAAGGTACCATACCACAAAGGGAAGGCTGGGATTGAGTTTGGGGGTGATGAATCATAAGGGGGTTCAAAAATTTGGGGGGGGGGGGATTTTTTTTCTATTTTAAGACTTTTATGATGTATTTAAATTGGTAATTATGGTTGCAAACTCCATTGGAAATTTGAATTGAGATTATGACCATATCTTGAGGGAAAGATTTTTTTTTTTTTTGGAAAAGGGGGGGGGGGGGGAGGTGAAAAAAAAATTTAGGGGGGAAGGGGGTAAAAAAAAAGTTGTGGGGGCCATTTTTTTTTTGGGGGGGGGGGGGGGGGGGGGGGGGGATGGTGTCAATACGCAACAGCATAGTATATTTTACAAAAGCAAAAAATTGAATATGAATTCAAATCATATAACCAATTCTAAGTTCTTTGACTACAGTTATTCGGTGTCAGAAACCTATTATGTGTCAAATATTTAATTACAATCCAAATTCAGACCTGTATCAAGCGTGAATATTGTGTCCATTTTGCCCCAACTGTTCAGGGTTGGACCTCTACGGTCGTATCCAGCTGCGCTCAGCGAAGCATTTTATTTTCTAGGAGTTATGCCCCTTTGAACTTAGAATTTTTGTCTAAATATTCTAGTGCAAATTATTTTTCTAAGAGTTATGCCCCTTTGAACTTAGAATTTTGGCATAAATATACTACTGCAACAGTTTGTCATCACAAATTCTCTGAAACAACACAACAGAATTTCATGAAACTTTGTAGATAATAAGGGCATATAATGTAGATGTGCATATCAACATAAAATTTTGATTCAATGTTTTTTGTCGAGCCTTCGACTTTTGTCAAAAAAGCGAGACATAGCGATCCTACATTCCGTCGACGTCGTCGTCGGCGGCGTCCACAAATATTCACTCTGTGGTTAAAGTTTTTGAAATTTTAATAACTTTCTTAAACTATCCTGAATTTCTACCAAACTTGGACAGAAGCTTGTTTATGATCATAAGATAATATTCAAAAGTAAATTTTGTAAAAAAAAAATTCCATTTTTTCTGTATTTTACTTATAAATGGACTTAGTTTTTCTGCCAAGAAACATTACATTCACTCTGTGGTTAAAGTTTTTGAAATTTTAATAACTTTCTTAAACTATCCTGGATTTCTACCAAACTTGGAAAGAAGCTTGTTTATGATTAAAAGATAGTATCCAGAAGTAAATTTTGTAAAAAAAAAATTCCATTTTTTCCATATTTTACTTATAAATGGACTTAGTTTTTCTGCCAGTTAACATTACATTCACTCTGTGGTTAAAGTTTTTAAAATTTTAGCAACTTTCTTAAACTATCCTGGATTTGTACCAAACTTGGACAGAAGCTTGTTTATGATTAAAAGCTAGTATCTAGAAGGAAATTTTGTTAAAATTTTGTTCAATTTTTTCCGTATTTTACTTATAAATGGACTTAGTTTTTCTTCCAGTTAACATTACATACAGTCTGCAGTTTAAGTTTTTAAAACATTTATTAGATTCATAGACTATCCTGGATTTGTACCAAACTTGGACAGAAGCTACTTACAATCAAAAGATGGTATAGAAAGGAATATTTTTATTAATTTTTTTTCTCATTTTTGTTGAGCCTGCGATTAACAGCAAAAGTAGGCGAGACACTGGGTTCCGCGGAACCCTTACGAATTTTTTTCTAGGAGTTGTGCCACTTTGAACTTAGAATTTTGACCTTAATATACTACTGCAACAGTTTTTCAGTGCAACTCCTCTGAAACCACACAGCAGAATTTCAAAATAACTTTTTAGTTAATGAAAACATAATATATAAAATTGAGAATGGAAATGGGGAATATGTCAAAGAGACAACAACCTGACCAAAGAGCAGATAACAGCCGAAGGCCACCAATGGGTCTTCAACGCAGCAAGAAAATCCTGCACCTGGAGGTGGTCCTCAGCTGGCCCCTAAATAAAATAGTGTACTGGTTCAGTAAAAATATATATATATGTGCATATCCACACAAAATTTTGATCAGTTGACTTTTGTAAGAGTTTTGAGTCTTTGAACTTAAGAATCTGGTGAGATTGTTTTGGCCTAGTGACAATTTGGGAGCTAGGGTACGTGAGCGTGCTCACAAAGGTTCTTTCATTTATTAGATACTTTACTTAGTCTTTGACTTATTTTTGTTAAAAAAAATCTTATATTTACAATCTCAGGCTTAAGTTTTTCTACATGTTTACACATAGAAAGTTTGACTAAGGGTTATTTCTCAAAAGAAAATGTAAAGGGTGGTTATTACATTTTTCTCACACTCACCAGCCTTCTTTTAGAAACCAGAATATTTATTTTTTTAGAAATTATTTTTATCCAATCATTCAAACATTATCCATCTTTATTGCCTTATAAATCCCTGTTCCCTTTTCAACTTTAGAAGGACATCTTTGAAAAGATGTAAGTTATAGGTAAATGCACATTATGCACATAGCTACATCAATACATGTGAATTAAAGTGGAGAGAATTGCATACAGGTAATTTTAGGAGAAAAATTCTTTTAAAAGCTTACAAAATATATTTCTACTTTCTTTTTCCATTCTTCCAGAAAATCTGAAGATAAGACCATCCTTTATTTTGGTGGAAAGAAACTATAATTTTCTGGAAATTATATACTTGCTTATATTTTCTTATCTCATTTGAACAGTTACTGACTGATATAGTGGAATGCTATGAAGTTTGTGTGAAGTATGTTGGGTCCACAGAAATACCTTTGGCCTGGAATAAGGTCCAGTCCTTACCAACTGGAGCTGTCCATATACTTAAAGGGACCTATGGACATTGTAAGGTAAGAATGAAATGTTCATTACAAATGTCATTTGAATATTGTTCATCTACCCTGTTTTGACTGATCATTTTGTTTCAGTTTTGAAAATGTTACAAAGACAGGTTAACAAACATTTCCTCACTGTCAGTCACATTGAGTTATTTGTATTGGTAAACTTACTGTGTTTGGGCTGTGATGTTATGGCCTCTGTCCCAAATTAATTGTTTAGCTCCAATTGCTTAAATCCATATTTTCAGAGGTTAACTTTTTGATTGTGATTTTAATTTTCAGGCATGTTTCATCATCATGATCATTTGTAGGCAATATGTTGTTATTTTCTGCAAGTGAACGGTGCAGTTTGAAACAGAATTGGAATTAGACATTTAAAAATATGCATTCTAGGATGAAATACTGTCAATTCAGAAATGATTGTATGGTTTTTATAAATGCGAATAATGCGACTGGGTGAGAAACACAATGATAAGAACTCGCATTCTGATATCTGATACATATATCTGTATGCAGCTTTTTCCAAAATTGCAATAATTAATCTCACATTTTTGTCCATTCTTCAAAAATTGCAAAAATATATTCATGCTATAATTTCAGAATTTAAGGTAGATTTTTGTAGTGATCTGGAAAGTCCAGTACCTTTTCCTAATGACAAGTACCCATCTTTTTCACCATGCTCAACTGAATGTTCCCAATCAGAATTTATCTCCCTTGAAGAAGAGACCATACAATACCAAACAGGGAAAGGACAATCTTGTTTTCCAAAGTATGAATGTTGTGTAAGGAAATTAAATGGTAATATAATCAATGGCATTGTTTTACCTTTACCCATTTTTGTCTATTGTACAAATGGGAAAAGAGAATGAAATTAACTTAAAACATAGCAGATAATCCTGAAAAAGGAATAGGGCATTAACTGTCAACCTAAAATATATTCTATTGGGGGCTTTTGAGTAATACAATTAATTTGAATTAGACAGTCAAGGTTATGACAGAATCTAGCAACAATTTGGCACTAATCAGACCTTTCACCCTCTATTGAAGGCCTCACTGTCAGATGAATAACAGCAGTAGAAGTACCTTTTCCTTTGCTTTTAGTGTTTCAGGTACCCCTACTTGTAGGTTGTCATAAATTATTTCACTAATCTAATCTTTTCCAGTTGGTCTCTCCTTCAGATGAGGCCTAAGAAAGTTTCCACTTCCTTCAGGTGTATGATGTCTTATTTCTACAGTTCGGGTGTATTTATTCTGGAGATAATTTCTTTGCTCGTTATATTTCACTTTTCTGTTTTTGTTTGTTTGTTTTTGGAAAATATTATGCCCTATTCATACATTATTTCATGTCAAGAAAAATTAACAAAGAAATTGATGGGACTCGTAATTGTCTAAATGTTGGTTTTGCTCATTGTTGAAGGCTGTACTGTGTCCTATAGTTGTTAACTTCTACATCATTTGGTCTCTGGTGGAGAGTTTTCTCATTGGCAATCTTACCACATCTTCTTATTTTTATATAGCAATAGAAATATGAAAATGAAATGAGCATGTTTTGCATAAAAACATTTTTGTAATGTGCTAAAAATGAATGAACTTCAACTAAACAGTTTTTTTAAATGCCATAGTACATGTAGTATGTATACAATAAGGCCATGTAGGTTTTTTGCCATAGAGTTGTGTTACTTTTATGAATTTGAAACGGGAGTGATCATCATCACTGCAGGAATGTTTACAAAGAGAAAATACTATCTATGAATCATAAACATTTATTTTACAACTCTTAACATGTTTTACACAATTTTTGGTGTACAAGTACAGGAAATATAATTCATCTTTGGTTTTAAATTGTCAACACATTGAATTTGTCATTATGATAGTCCATATCCTTGTAAATACATACTCATTAATCCATTTATTCACATTCTTAGGTATAAAATAACTTTGAGTTCTCAAAACAAAATAAACTGCCCCATTTTTTCATCTGTTTGTTATCTTGATTTATAGTTCAAATCTAAAGAGTATAAAAAAGTGATAAAAAATGTGCAGCTGGCTCAAATGTTTTTTTGGAACAGATATGAAAGGTCATATTAACATTTTGATCAGAGAAATGTAAAATTGTAACATTATATTTTGAATTTTATTTCAAAATTATGGACTTTTTTGCATGCACAAAAACATCAATATCACAGCACTAAAAACAATTGTGTTAAAAATCTATAATGTGTCCTACTTGTTTAGGAATGTAATTTTCTGTTGAAAAGTTAACTCTCCGTACACACCTACATTAAAGTTTAAAAAAATTATATATGGATATACTTTATATGTATCACAAACTTTTAAAAATGTTGCAATAAAGGCTTGGACTTGTAAAGTGATTCTTTTGTTCAGCCTTAATTTGTAATATTTACAAAATTGTGTTAGTAATTTGTTTCAAAGTGAAAGCAGAAGTTTTTTTATCAATTTGATAAATATTCTTGAGTTGACAAACATCAAAGAAACAGGATTATTCCCTATTATTACATTGGTAGCATTGAATTACATTGATTTCCCAGTCAAATAAAAACCGATAATTTCACCTATGAAATAAACGTGGTTATTTCACTCTCTGACGTCATACAACAATAGGCGTTGTCAAGACGTCGATAACGTTGGATCAAAACAAATTGTGAATGCGTAGAAAAAAGATATAGTTCCTTACATTTTCTACATTAATTTCATTAAAAAAAGCCATTTGCCAATGTAATAAAAAGAATAACTAATCAAAGAATTCAAATATCGAAAAATATTCAACTCGTGACCGAACAACACTGATAATTAACTCATGCGCTACGCGCATTCGTGAATTAATGTGTTGTTCGGTCACTCGTTGAATATTTTTCTCTATTTGAATTCTTCGATTAGTTATTCTATAATTCTAATATGACGTCCTTCTTTCGCTTTGGAAACAAAGCCATGTTCTAATTACAATAAAACATGGGCTGCACGTGATTGACGTCACAATTGAAATTTCAACGTCAGTTGTATTTTGAACAACGCTGGACAGTTTTGTTTGTGTTGCTCGCTAGGCTAGGAAATTAAATAAAATCATTGTAAAAGTAAGTTTACGTATATATGTTAATTTTTTTATCGTTCAACTGTTGATTTTCTATAATTTTTTTGGTTCAGCAAATCAAAATGGATGCCTTTTTAATGTGTATTATATGTCTGCTTCGAAGTACATAAGTTCTAAATATTCCTATCAGAATCGAAATAATTCTATCATGCCATGCTTTATGCTCGGTATAAAGATATTGACAAATATAATGCCTACCCATGTTAAAATGAGCATAAAGCATGGCATGAAAGAATTATTTCTTAAGTATTTTTAAATGTTTGCTGTAAATAAAATAAAAATAATTAGGACAAAGGTTAATAATTGTGATTATCTGTAACATTTATAAAACGATGACTAGTAATAGCAAATAATATCACAGTTTATGTAATGAGTCTATTTACATGTTTAACAGGTCAACAATTCAATAATGATTTAAATACAACACCATCCTTCTGTAAAACACAACATGCAAAAAATATTTGAAAGTAAAAGTTTGGTGTTGTTATACTATTCTTATCATATTTTATAAAATTTGATTAAGCACTTTAAAAGTGACTTTATACCATGATGTTAGTACGAATAAAGGTCAATAAGGCATCAACCCAACAACACAACAAATAAAAAGACATATATGGGTACGTCGTAGTTACCAATACTGTTATATATATTATAACATTTTTTGGTTTTCAGCTTTTTTTTCTTTTTGCCATATAAGAAATGAAATGAAATTAAAATTGATCATGAACTGATTGATGAACTGTCCCCTTAAATTTGTAGGTAGAACAATTAATTCTCAACATTAGTGTGAATGTCCATCTTCTTGATTATAAATCCTGGCCATGTCCTTAAGTAAGAGAAAAAGTGTTAAAAAGACATTTTTTCTTGTATAAAATTGGGTCATACTTTTATTTTATGATTATTTTTTAGCATTTTATTATGATTTATATTTTTTCATGTAAATATGATGATGACCAAATAGACCACTTTCGAGTAATGTCCTTCACCGGAAAAGTTTGTCAATTATGCACGCCTTAATGGCATCAACAGATAGTGGAGCCCGCCTGTATCCCTGCACTATTAAAGTTCATCAAGCGTCTTCGTAATCGTCATTATGCAGGATAAACTAGAAATAATGTTTGTTCCGTAGGTACTTAATCACAATTCCCTAATGACAGCAGTGCTGATTATCAGGGATTCAGGCGGGCCCCTCTATCCCTGCTCTATTAAAGTTCATCAAGCGTCTTCGTTATCGTCATGGAGGATAAACTAGAAATAATTTTGTTCCCTAGGTACTTAATCACAATTCCCTATTGACAGCAGTGCTGATTATCAGGGATTCAGGCGGGCCCCTCTATCCCTGCACTATACAAGTTAATCAAGCGTCTTCGTGATCATCTTTATGCAGGCTAATCTTGAAATAATGTTTGTTCCGTAGGTACTTAATCACAATTCCCTAATGACAGCAGTGCTGATTATCAATTATAAGAATTAAATTTGCAGAATAATTCGTGCAATATAGCATCATATTTTTATAACCGCTTGCTCAACATGGGAAGGAAGTGACGATGCCCCTAAACACACAAATGATGTTCACTAAAACCAAAGTTTTTGACAAAAATGCAACGAACTCGGAAGTGGTCTATTAGATTTTATACTGTTAAAGCAGAAATTTTTCGGTGGGGTTTTAATATCATTTATATCATGGATATATTATATCGAGGAAATTAAAACCCCAACAAATTTAGCCTTCATAGAATATTACTTTCACATACTGAAAACAAAAAGAAAGAATCCCCTTGAAATGAAATTTAGAGACAAAACCACAAAATTTGAAACCCATGAAAATTAATGTTTTTACAGTATTTGACCCGATTTCTTTAATCAGACCGCAGAAATATGCATTGTATGTGCAGTAAATGGAATGAAATAATATGGATCTGTATAATCTGTACTGTCTTTTCCTGGCTCTTCAGGGATGAAATTTCCTTTAGGGTTGAACTGAAGTGGAACACCGCTGAATGAACTTATCTTCCATGGTGGTTTTTCATTGTTATTTCTAGAACGGAAAGTGAAAAATACAGATGTATCTTTCCCAGAATCCTTTATTTTCCATTTCTGTAAAAGTACAAAAGATATTGCATGAAAGTTTACACCCATTTCAAGGAGACTGCATCAGTAAATATCTGGATTATCTTTTGTAAGTTATATATAAAGAAATCTTGTCATTTTTCAATCAAGTTTAGATGTTTAGAGAAAGTAAAATTATTTGAGAATTATGTGTGATTTTCAGAATATTATATTCTTCTGAAATGGGTCTTTTATAATAAATCCTTAGGGTTTCTACCAAAAGAGAATCCCAAATAAGTGCCACTTGAATTGTTAACAGATATAACAGCAGATTGATTACCCCATGAGCTATCAAAAGGCACAGACTACCTTAAATTTTAGCCAAAAAGACCAGTGCTGGCCAATGCTATTACTTGGTTTCTGTCCTTTAAAGTCATCTGCAATCTTCTCTGAAACCACTGATTCAATTGAAATCAAGGACATCTCTAACAAGAAGTTTTAAAATTGTATCAAATAAAGGATGGAGATTTGGTAATCTGCAGTTATATTGTGGACGAGGAGCAGGGCTGCAATTCACAAAAGGACGTATGATTTACATCCAATTGTTTAGTTTTAGGATTAATGACTGTTAATAAGGTGTAATATTTTTTGTGTTATACAGGCCAGGTATTTAGGAATTATAACTTTAATAATCTCTTTCAAAATTGAGTACGACTACCCTGCAGTCTTCTCCATGTGGCTGCCATGAATATATACAGTGAAAGATGTTGAAACCAATCTCTAACTATGTAAACCTGTCTAAACCAAACTTGCTTCAGTCCCTTTATTCAAAATTACAGACATAAATAAAGTTTGAACCTGTATATATAAACAGAACACCTGTCTTAACCAAACAAATTCATCAGTTCCTAACAGAATCCTAAGGGGTTTGGTTCAGACAGGTGTCACTGTATATAAATATCTCATTAAATAAAAGATATGCCCTGTTTATCATTGCAAAGCAAAAGAATCAGTTGGTCTTTACCTGTCCAATAAATACAAAAGCTATTGTTTTGACTCTGGGGAAAGGCTTCATTTCCTTTGCAACAACAAACACCAAAAAATTAGTATAGGAAGGATTGCTGCTTATGTCAGATACTACTCTACATCCAGTTGTCTAATCATCCCACCAAGATTTTTGTCACTCTTTTCTCAGCTACTACTTAACAGAATGACTTCATATTCAGACATTTACTTCCTTTTTGCCGATAAAAATCCTGTTTGCCCATACAAACTGTAAGTTTTCAGTTTTTGTGTTATGATCTTTAAATTTTCTTAACATATTTCTACATTACTACTGAACAGAATGGGAACATATATGGCAAACAGCTGTACTGTGTGATTGCTTTCCAGAACTGTCAGACATCTTCCATTGGGGTATGCATAGCAGGACAACATGTGCATTCTTGTTTAAATAACAGTTTGACAGTCTGTTAGATTCATTACCTTTCAAAATTGTATTGAGCTCTTCAATAGTAGCTCAAAAAAAATTAAGGAATCTCTTGCATACATTTAACAAGTCATATTCATATCAAATTTAAGTTTAATATTTTTGTCACAATTTTTCTCATAAAATATTAAAAAAGATTGACTTCATGTTTTGTCAGCAGCTTGACAAGTGTTAGAACTTTTCAGATCAGTCAGATAGTGAAGATACTCCCTTCCTGTTCACTGAAACTTAGATTAGAATTTTTCAATGTGCTGAATGAACTGAAAATTTGTCATTACATTTTTTTCAAAAATCACTTTACAGAATGACTTTATATTTTGTCAGCAGCATGACAGTGATGCCTTTTAAAGTGTCAGCACTTTTCGGATCTGTCAGATAACTATATCCTGTTTGTGGATACTTTGAACTTCTTAATAAATTAAATGAACTGAAAAATTTTCAACTACTGAACTGACGGACATATTTGGCCAGCAGCCAAACAGTGATGAGTTGTAAAGTATGTGTGCTTTTTGGGTCTGTCAGGCACATAATTCCTATTTTCTGATACTTTTATTTATAAGTTGATTTTATACTTTGCATGAAAATGCTTACATTCTTGTATGCTTTTGAACTTTGTAATGTTGTGGTTTCAGGGCTTCCAGGCAGTCACTTTCAGTTTGATATCACTTTATTTTTCATTATACCAACTGAGTGAGCATGTAATTTTTGTCAATGTAGCATGTGGGAATATGTTTTGCATGATATCACATGTAACTTTTTGTTTTCTTCCTGTTGTAAAATCTCACCTTTGCTTTGAGATCATGATCTACCATGTACAGTATATAACCTTTACAGGGTCCACCTTTGCATATTAAACGATAGCGATCAGTCAGAATGTCATGGACTATATCAAATAAAGCTGGAAAAAAAAATACTCGTAATTATTCTATCAGTACAATTATGACATTCAGGTTTTTTTTCCAAAAATATGTTGGTTGCTTATAACTTGCTATAAACACTGGGATTTACCTTTTTGAATATTGAAATAAGATAACGTTTTTGAACAAGATTATTTTAAAATTTGTGTTTGATTTTTAGAAAGTTTATACTGTTGGTGTATATGTCCTTAAATGATCAGAAATCATTTGTTTTCAAGGTTTTTTGGCACAAAAAAACTTGGTCTGTCATAATTGTTTTTGTTTATAAACCTAATTACTAGTAGCTTAAACCATGCAGTTAGTTTTCTCTGTTAGATTGTTTCACATTATTTTATCTGAGATCTGTATATAGTATGGGTTTTACTCATTGTTGAAGGTTGTAAAGTGACCTTGAGTTGTTTACATAATCGTGTCCTTTGGTCTTTGATGGATAGTTGTCTCATTGGCAACTTTACAACACCTTATTTTTATTTTCTTATTTTGAAATATTGAATTGAAATTATTACAGGTTAGGTTTTGTATTGTAGCTTTGCATTTTTTGCATAAAAAAAATTAGAATTATTCTGCTTAGATGGTATTTTTAGCATAACAAAAATACCCATTCAAAATTTATTTAAAATTTGTTTCTTGCATTTTAAAAGTAGGCTTATTTTGCTGCAATAGGCAAAGCTTCAAAGTTAATATATTTCATTATACTTCATGTCAAAATGCCAGATTTTGATTGGTTAATACGAGGGCACAATTTACTCTATCCCATGGCAAATATTCTATTACCCTTCACGAAGACGCTTGCTCAAGTGTGCGCTTAAATAAATACGGATGATTGTTATGTACAAGACGACATAGTTTATTACTTTGAATTTGAAATTTAATAGACAGTAATAACAGAACATTTAGTATAAGAAATTAAATAACACATATCTGAGAGGGTGATAGAGCAGATTGTTACCCCTTGAAAAGACATTGTCAACCTTGGCTTCGCTTCAGTTGACAATGTTTTCTCGTGGGAAACAATCTGCTCTATCACCCTCTCAGCTATGTTTTATTTATATAATATAAATGGTTGTTAAATTGGTATGCATTGCTTAATTTATACAATTTATGTATTTTTTATGTCCATAGCTGAGGTAGGGGACACATAACTTAAACATTTTGGTTGTTGCTTTGGTGTCTTTCTTTTGGGTTAAGTTTTAGGTTCAGTGAAGTTTTAATAAAGTAGATGTTTATCACATTATTTCTGCACATTACAAAACTGTTTGTATTGATTTATTTTAATTTCCAAAAGTAACCTCCTTTTTTGTCCTCCGCATAACGCGTTGTGGGGGATGGGAAATACCGGGCGTGCGTCCGTGTGTCGGTCTCACAGGTACAATTCTTGCCAGATTTTTATAAAACTTATAGTATAGATTAATATCAGCAATATCTCGGACATGTTTTATAATGGTGGCCGATCAACCTTTTTGTCGAGCCTTCGACTTTTGTCGAAAAAGCGAGACATAGCGATCCTACATTCCGTCGCATGGTCGGCGGCAGCCACAAATATTCACTCTGTGGTTAAAGTTTTTGAAATTTTAATAACTTTCTTAAACTATCCTGGATTTTTACCAAAATTGGACAGAAGCTTGTTTATGATCATAAGATAATATTCAAAAGTAAATTTTGTAAAAAAAAAAATCCATTTTTTCCGTATTTTACTTATAAATGGACTTAGTTTTTCTACCAGGAAACATTACATTCACTCTGTGGTTAAAGTTTTTGAAATTTTAATAACTTTCTTAAATTATCCTGGATTTCTACCAAACTTGGAAAGAAGCTTGTTTATGATCATAAGATAGTATCCAGAAGTAAATTTTTTTAAAAAAAATTTCATTTTTTCCGTATTTTACTTATAAATGGACTTAGTTTTTCTGCCAGTTAACATTACATTCACTCTGTGGTTAAAGTTTTTAAAATTTTAACAACTTTCTTAAACTATCCTGGATTTGTACCAAACTTGGACAGAAGCTTGTTTATGATCATAAGATAGTATCCAGAAGTAAATTTTGTAAAAAAAATCCAGTTTATCCGTATTTAACTTATAAATGGACTTAGTTTTTCTGCCAGTTTACATTACATTCACTCTGTGGTTAAAGTTTTTTTAAATTTTAACAACTTTCTTAAACTATCCTGGATTTGTACCAAACTTGGACAGTAGCTTGTTTATGATTAAAAGCTAGTATCTAGAAGGAAATTTTGTTAAAATTTTGTTCCATTTTTTCTGTATTTTACTTATAAATGGACTTAGTTTTTCTTCCAGTTAACATTACATACAGTCTGCAGTTTAAGTTTTTAAAACATTTATTAGATTCATAAACTATCCTGGATTTTTACCAAACTTGGACAGAAGCTACTTAAAATCAAAAGATGGTATAGAGAGGAATATTTTTATTAATTTTTTCCCTCATTTTTGTTGAGCCTGCGATTAACAGCAAAAGTAGGCGAGACACTGGGTTCCGCGGAACCCTTACGAATTTTTGAAAAGAGTTATGCCTGTTGGAAATAAAATTTATGGAAAATGGCCTCGTTACCGCTCTCATGGGTACAATTCTTGCCAGATTTTTATAAAACTTATAGTATAGGTTAATATCAGCAATATCTCGGACAAGTTCTATAATGGTGGCCGATTGACTTTTTTTTAAAGAGTTATCCCCCTTGGAAATATAAAATATGTGCAACGTGGGGGACATTGGAACTCTGTTTTTTTATAAAAGTTGTATTGATATTAGAATAAATGTTATATCTAAATCGAAAATAAGAAATTTTGCAATAATGAATTGTGTTTAGATGCTTACTTCTTGAGTCATCTTTATTGCCATGGCTACAGACTTTTCCTTCATCTGTTACCATTAGGTATCCATTTTTACAGGGATCCAGAGAGCTACCTATGTGAGTGTTCCAGTATAGTAGTTGTACAGGATATGTTTGGTCATGGTTATCAGACTCAATATCTTGTGTCACTCTCTTCCATTCTTCTGCAGTAGTGATTTCTTTATTCTATAGAAGTTTTAAAAAAAAACCACATAAGTTGCAATTTTCAATTTAATGTATATATAAACTGTAAATTCAGAAATTAATGCATGCATTTATTATTGCGAATTACTGATTACTTGCATAAATGCGAGTTTATAGTACATGTATTGCAAACCTGATACTGTCTTAATTTTCCCAGTGATAAAGATAATCACAATAATTTCTGTATTAACCATGCTTACAGTAGTTATAAATGACTAGCAGAAATATTTTGAAATAAAACAGTGGAAGTACTAACGAGAGGTCTCCAAGTTAAGGCCACTGAAATACAGAAAAGCTATCACCAAATTAGAGTACAGGAAGACAATAATTCAAGTCCATGTACTCATGTTTTATAGTAAAACTTTGCCATTCAAGTTTATTACACATATTCAACTTTTTTATTTATAGTTTGAAGTATCATATGAATTTAATCTATTGGTTGATGTCATCTCAAATATAGTCATTATGTCCTACATTTCATCTCTTTTCACATTGAAGTTTTATGGTATAGAACCACAAATTCAGGACCGGTCGGAAAGAACATACAAGAAAGTAGTACATATTTTAAACAAAATAGTTTCTTAGTACGCATAGCTGTATCTTTGTCAATAGGTTAAATATTTGGGTAGTTTGTGTATCAAATGAAAGCTTGGGGACTTGAGATCACTGTAAAACCCTTGTTGAAAGTTTCTTTTGAATAATAAAGAAGTATATAAAATTTTGATAGGAGGGCACGTTTACCCTGTTGTTCAGATCAGAAGTACCTGTTTTTGTACTATCAAACTTTCGGGAACCAGTACGCTCTAATATGCAATTAAAGGTATGTGGAATTTTTCAGCTCAAGTCAGGATAAGGTATAGTTTTGACATGAAATAACTGCCACTTTATTTGAACTTAAGACAAAGTAGTCATTAATGCTTGAAATTGCAGAATTTAACATAGAAAGCAATGGGGCTATGAATTAGTGGCTTTATACCTATTATCCCCCGTGCAAAAAGGTCCTGGAAATTTTTTCTTAAAGCTTGCTATTTGAGTCACTGCAAGAAACGATTCAATTCTGCTATGTTGTCAAAGTAAATCAAAGCATTTATTAATGAATTAGTATTACTTTCTTCATTTGGGATCAATATAGACTGCATCTGTGTTGCTTTATTGACAAAAAATATATGTAATTCTAAGAAGACAACATGTCCATGTTGAAAATATTAAATCTGATGTATACATTGATTAAAAAGTCTGTACAGTATTGGTTTTCATCACAAAACCTTTTCAGTAAAATATTTTAAAATATATCAACCCTTTGTCAAAAGTGGACGTAATGTTTCATGTTTCTGTTGATGTTGACTATATATGATTGTTGAACCAATATTTTTTATCCTTTCCCATAGGCTTTTGATATTTGTAAAATTGGTGCTGCACCTCAAGGTAAAGTGACATGCAACATTAAATTTAAGATCCACACCCACTAACGATATATATTCTTATTTGCCTTGACAATCTTTCCAGTACTTGAATGTATGTGTGTATTGTGAAGGTAAATCCAGATAAAATGCTTCGCTGAGCGCAGCCTGATACGACCGCAGAGGTCAAACTCTGAACTGTTGGGGCAAGTTTGGACACAATATTCAAGCTTGATACTGTCTGAATTTGGATTGTGATCAAATTTATGACATAATATTGGTTTCTGACACAAAATAAATGAGGTCAAAGATCCTAAAAATCTAATGCGCAATACTGCGCAATTGAAGATTTCTTCTTGAAACTTTTCAAAACATTTGAAATTTCAAAAATTTTGGAAAAAAATGTGAACCCCCCAAAAAATTTGGAGAACCCCCCCCCCCCCCCCAATCTTTTTGCCCCCCCCCCCCCCTTCCCCTTGGAGTAATTACCCCCAAACTCAATCCCAGCCTTCCATTTGTAGTATGGAACCTTGTAATACAATTTTAGAGAGATCCATACACTTAAACACAAGTTATTGTCTGGAAACTACAAAAATGCTTGTTTTTGGCCCCTTTTTGGCCCCTAATTCCTGCATGTTTGGGGCAATTACCCCCATACTCAATCCCAGCCTTCCCTTTGTGATATGGAACCTTGTGGTACAATTTCAGAGAGATCCATATACTTACACACAAGTTATTGTCTGGTTAGTGCTGCCACTAAATTGGTAGTTTTAAGGAAATTTTGCAGTTTTTTGTTATTATCTTGAATATTATTATAGATAGATATAAACTGTAAACAGCAATAATGTTCAGCAAAGTAAGATCTACAATAAAGTTTAATATGACAAAAATTGTCAATTGACCCCTTAAGGAGTTATTGCCCTTTAAAGACAATTTTACACAATTTGTTCATCAAGTTTGCTAACATTTAAAAATCTTCTCCTCTGAAATACAGGTGAGCGATTCAGGCTCTTGAGAGCCTCTTGTATCTTTCCTGAAAGGCAGTATGCGAGACATAGGGATTACTATCCAGTGGCATAAAGTATTTGTATAAAACTTTATTTCAGAAGGTAGAAGACAAGGATGCTTCATACCTTGTATGCAGATACCATATGTTACGAAGTTTCTGTCTGTCATATGTCCATTGTCGTTGACCTCATTTTCATGGTTCAAATTAGTTTTTTTGTCATGTGAATTTCTCACTTATTATGAGTTAAAGGATAACTATATTTGGTATATGGGTTCCTAAGTGCAACATCTACAGTATAAAAATAAGGAGATGTGGTATGATTGCCAATGAGACAACTATCTACCCAAGTTCAAATTAAGTGGATGTAAGCAATTATAGGCAACCATAAGGCCTTCAACTGTGAGAAAAACTCATACTCTGTAGTCGGCTATAAAAGGAACCTGCCATGAAAAATATAAAACAATTCAATTGAGAAAACTAATGGACTAATTTAAAAGAAATCAATTTACAAAAAACAAATATGACAGACATGAACCAATGACAACCACTGAACTACAGGCTCCTGACTTGGGACAGGCACATAAAGAATGTGGCGGGGTTAAACATGTTTGTGAGCACTCAACCTTCCCCCTAACCTGGGACAGTGGTGTAACAGCACAACATAAGAACAAAATATAAAAATCAATTGAAAAAGGTTTAACTCATCAGATCGATACATAGCAGAAAAGCATCAAACAGACGGGACATGGCAGAGTATTAACCCATCCCTCATCTCTAACAACAAAAGAGACACTAAGTACAGATCTAAGAGTACTCACAGTTACTGACAGCTAGTTCAAAGCCAATAACAACTAATAAAAAAAATCATGTATCTAAGACTAAAATATCAATCAGTACACATCCAACATCCAATGGATTTTGTGTAAAGACGTCATTAACAATCAGGGAAAAACATGACCTTGTGCAATACCAAAATATAGGTATCAACATATTGTAGTACCATGAAAGTACATATGTGTATAGCAATGATATTTAGTATGGTTTTAATTTACTGATAACAAAATCAATATTTATACCAATAAAAACAATATTCAAAGATTTAATTACAGTGTTGAATAGGTAACCTTTTAGAATAAATTTATTTAAAGGATTGATAAGTTTACCTCGATCGTATCTAAATTTCCAGGCTCAGTTAACAACATGTCAGACAGGGTTCACCTGAACTCGACCTCATTTCATGGATCAGTGATCAAGGTTACAGTTACATGATTAGGTCCATATCTCAGATACTATAAGCAGTATGTCAGCTATATGTGGTGTATGGAATGATTGTAAGTGGTACATGTCGGTCTAGTCAGTTTCATCTGACCTTGACCTCATTTTCATAGTTCATTGGTCAATGTTAAGTTTTTGTGTTTTGGTCTGTTTTTCAAATACTAATAGAAATAGGTCAGCTTCTTTTGGTGTGTAGAATGATTGTAAGGTGTACATGTCTGTGTGGCAGGTATCATCTGACATTGACCTCATTTTCATGGTTCATTGGTCAATGTTAAGTTTTTGTGTTTTGAACTAATTTCAATTACCATAAGCAATAGGTCAACTATATTTGATGTATAGAATGAGTGTAAGTGTACATGTCTGTCTGGCAGGTACCATCTGACCTTGACCTCATTTTCATGGATCTTAAAAATATTAAGTTATTGTGATACTTGTAGTGAAACCTTTATCTTTAAGACTTTCAACATAAAATCAATGGTCAGTAAAGCAGGCGATAAATTTTAGCCTGTGCACTCTTGTAATAGTGTTATTTTAATTACAAATCAAGTAATCTTTTATTCCTGATTTCCTATTTGTGGCTGAGTTGCATTCTAACAGAAGGGCATTCTTGTTTTCCAAACATGTCTAGTTTTACTTTGATAAGAGACAAACTTTTGTTTGAGTTTGGTAGGGGGTTAATTTTTTAAATCCTAGATCACTGAAAGTTTTTAGTTACTTACAGAATTGATCTGGTGTAAAAATAGATATGATTTTCTACACGTATTATTAAATACCTCTATTTCATTTTCCATTGTAGACTGTTTTGGATCAATAATTCAACTGTTATCCTGTAAAACATTTAAATTCTGTTGAGACATTTGACACATCTGCTTTAGTTTTTGCTGCATTCAAATTTCAAGATAGAGAACAATTAAAATATGTCTTGTGCTTTGAAATCCATGAAAGTAAAAAACATTTAAAGAAATCTTCTAAAATCAGCCTGATTTTGCATATATTTGTGGCAAAAAAACCCACTACCCCACAAAAACATACAGCCTGCCTCAGATATGCCAGTAAAGTTATTGAACATAATTCCCCTTTAATTGCCTCTTTGAATACAGGCAGCTTCCTGGTCTAAATGAGTTCTGAAGTTATTGATTGGTAACTGAAGATGAAACAAATGCAGACAGTTTATTATGTCAGGATTATATTTTACACTTAAACTTGACATTATATTTAAGTATACCAAGAACCTATATATTACTAGTATTACAGAATGTCAGCTGTTTATTGTTGTTTGTTGAACTTAAAGATTTTTTCAAATAAATAATGCCTTCATAATTTTTGTCATTTTGTAAATTAAATTGTCATTAGGAAGTGATTATAGGTCTTAAGACTGTTCATATATACATAACTGTGGCTTAGCTTATCATTTTTCATTCATAAAAATAATTTTATATCATGTGGCTGATGTTTTATTTTCTTAAAATAATTTTTTTTAATCTGAATTCATTAATAAATTCTTTTTTTTGCTTCCTTTTGTATCTTATTAAATGAATTATAAACCACAAGTTTTATTATGAAATATGTTTATAATATTGTCTCATTTCCTTTATAAGAAGTAAATTTGAAGAAATTTAAAATTGATTTTAATTTCATTAAACAAGTCACCTTTTGGGGTCAAGTACCTTTGATGCTTGTAAATATAGGGACATTATATGTGTAAAAGATGTATGATATTTCCAGTCAGACTGAATTTTTACATTCATGTCAAGACCTAATTTTATGAAAATTAAGAATTTTAAGGCTTAGATGAAATAGATAATGCTTAGCTCAAATAATCTTCTGTCCTGATTGAATAAAAAGTTATAAACTTGTAGATGAAAATCTTGGATTTTAACTTTTATATCACCTGTCCAACAGACTTGATTGATCATGCATCTCGGACATTTTATAAGACATTTTATAAGAAAATGAACGATAGATTTTTAATGGAAATGAACTAAATTTCCTTTGTAAAAGAAAGATCATGTGAACAGTTTACTAAATTGTAAATATCAGAGTTCATGTGTTATATTTTCAATGTATATATGGGATTGACCTTGTGTCAAAATATTGCTGCATGTTAATATGTAAATTCAACATTTGTGTTGCATTCTTAACAGTGAATTTCCTTTGTGTGTGAAATAGCAGTTTACCGAACTATTAACCTAAGATATGTTTGTTTACTTAGAATCAGCTGTCATTCATTTAAACTAAACTGTTTATTATAAATAATGTAGTCATGCATTTCGTCTTACCTTTCAACAAAATGTAAATCAATCACAACACTCAGAAATCCTAAGATAATTATTAAATATTTACCTCCAATTCCAACATGCATTGAATGTCCACATGCAATTTAAATGTTAAAATCTACATACAAATATATATTAATTAGAAAAGAAATACACTTGTTTAACCTGTCAATATATACTATGTATTACTACAGATAAGATACTACTACAATCTGATTGGTTGATCTTGAACTGTATGTGGGAGTGCATGGGGCAGTCTTTAAAGGGAATTTCCATTGATAAATGTAGATCCCCAAGATTTATTGAAAATACGTTTTGTGTTACTTCACAATATCTAAATTATATATATTAATTGTACAATTTAATTCTGTAGAAATTTCTCAAGTTGATAACAATAATTGACATGTATTAAATGTCTACTGATAGCATGTAATTGATATATAATGTGTTAGCATGTGGAAAACATGACCATATAAGTTTTTCCCATGGTTTATTAGAAATTCTTTACCTACACATAATGCAATGCATTGATAATATGATATATACATTTTGCAGAAATTGGTTACAGTTAATGACATATTTCACAATCAAAAGTGTGTATAAGAAAACTTCTTTGGGTTTATAAGAAATGCATTTCCATGTGTTTATGCAATTTATGGAAAGTCAATCAATAAAGCATGTATCATGTATGCTCAGGCATTTCCCAGATGATGATGGATGCATTCTCTTTACTATAGCCACAATCATTTCCTCTTTATAAAAATAAGGAAATGTGATATGATTGCCAATGAAACAATTACTATCCACCAAACAAGTTTTATTGTCGAGCCTGCGACTTTTGTCGCAGAAAGCTCGACATAGGGATAGCGATCCGGCGGCGGCGGCGGCTACGGCGGCGGCGGCGGCGGCGGCGGCGTTAGCTAACTTCTTAAAAGCTTTATATTTTAGAAGATGGAAGACCTGGATGCTTCATACTTTGTATATGGATGCCTCATGTTACGAAGTTTCCGTCAGTCACATGTCCAATGTCCTTGACCTCATTTTCATGGTTCAGTGACTACTTGAAAAAAAAGTTCAGATTTTTTGTAATGTTAAATTCTCTCTTATTATAAGTAATAGGATAACTATATTTGGTATGTGCGTACCTTGCAAGGTCCTCATGCCCGTCAGACAGTTTTCACTTGACCTCGACCTCATTTCATGGATCAGTGAACAAGGTTAAGTTTTCGTGGTCAAGTCCATATCTCAGATACTATAAGCAATAGGTCTAGTATATTCGGTGTATGGAAGGACTGTAAGGTGTACATGTCCAACTGGCAGGTGTCATCTGACCTTGACCTCATTTTCATGGTTCAGTGGTTATAGTTAAGTTTTTGTGTTTTGGTCTGTTTTTCTTATACTGTATGCAATAGGTCTACTATATTTGGTGTATGGAATGATTGTAAGGTGTACATGTCTAGCTGGCAGGTGTCATCTGACCTTGACCTCATTTTCATGGTTCAGTGGTCAAAGTTAAGTTTTTGAGTTTTGGTCTTTCTTTCTAATACTGCATGCAATAGGTCAGCTATATTTGGTGTATGGAATGATTGTAAGGTGTACATGTCTAGCTGGCAGGTGTCATCTTACCTTGACCTCATTTTCATGGTTCAGTGGTCAAAGTTAAGTTTTTGAGTTTTGGTCTTTTTTTCTAATACTATATGCAATAGTTCAACTATATTTGGTGTATGGAAATATTTTATGATCTATATGTCAGTCACGCAGGTTTTATTTGACCTTGACCTCATTTTCAAGGTTCATTGCTCAGTGTTAAGTTTTTGTGTTTTCGTCTGTTTTTCTTAAACTATAAGCAATAGGTCAACTATATTTGTTGTATGGAAGAATTGTTAGCTGTACATGCCTGCCTAGCATGGTTCATCTGACCTTGACCTCATTTTCATGGTTCATTGGTCAATGTTTAGTTTACTTGGTTAATGTTAAGTTTATGTGACAGTTGTAATAAAGCTTTATATTTAGGACTATCAACATAATATCAATGATTAGTAAAGAAGGCGAGACATTTCAGCGTGTGCACTCTTGTAATGAAATATGTTTATTATATTGTCATATTTACTTTATAAGTATTTATGAAGAAATTAGAATTGATTTAAATATTATTAGAACCATCGTTTTCACTTTATTTTAGCTCACACTGAGCTATTGCCATCACTTGGTGTCCTTCATCGGTCATCATTTGTCATCATCGTCCATTGCCTTTGACAAAAATCTTTTAATCTGAAACTGCTAGCTGTGCCAAATGAAACCAAACTTAGCCACAATCATTCTTAGGGTATGTAGTTAAAAAATGTGTCTGATGATCCTATCTGTCAACCAACATAGCTGCCAAGGATGGAAATAGTACATATCTGACTTAGGGGTAATATAAAAATCTGACAAGGCAAAATTTGTTCAAAATGACGATATCTAACTACTGTGTGTTTTTTACAAAACTGTCTACCAACTATATAAGTTATTGCCCTTAACTGACAATTTTTTGTCTCACCTGTGACGCAGAAAGCGAGACATAGGTATTACAATCAGTACAATCCAGCGATGGCATAAACAATTTGTATAAAGCTTTATATTTCAGAAGCTAGAAGACCTGGATGCTTCATACCTTGTATGCAAATACCTGATGTTACAAAGTTTATGTCTGTCATATATCCATTAATTGTCATTGACCTGGTTTTCATGGTTCAGTATCTGTTTATAAGTAATAGGATAATTATATTTGGTATATGGGTTCCTTGCAAGGTCTACAAGTCTGTCAGGTAGGGTTCACCTGACCTTGACCTCATTTCCTGGATCAGTGATCAAGGCTAAAGTTATGTGGTCAAGTCCTTATCTCAGATACTATAAGCAGTAGGTCAACTATATTTTGTGTCTAGAGTGATTGTAAGGTTTACATGTCCGACTTGCAGGTTTCATCTAACCTTGACCTCATTTTCATTGTTCATTGGACAATATTTAGTTTTTGTGATTTGGCCTATTTCTCAGATACTATGAGCAATAGGGCCACTTTATTTCTTGTATGGAATAATAGTAAGGTGTACATGTCCAACTGGTAGGTTTCATCTGACCTTGACCTCATTTTCATGATTCATTGAACAATGTTTAGTTTTTGTGGTTTGGTCTATTTCTCAAGATACTATAAGCAATAGGTCAAGTAAATTTGGTGTATGGAATAATTGTGAAGTGTACATGTCTCTCTGGCAAGTTTCATTAAACCTTCACCACATTTTCATGGGTCATTGGTCAATGATAAGTTTTTGTGGTTATGTCAGTTTGTCAGTTACTATAAACAATAGGTCAACTTCAATTGGTGTGGGAATGATTATAAGGTGTACATGTCTGTCTGGCAGGGTTGATATTATCTTGACCTCATTTTCATGGTTCATTGGTCAATGTTACGATTTTTTGGTTTGATCTGTTTCTCTGATACTATAAGAGATAGGACCACTATAGTTGGTGTATGGAATTATTGTTATGGTTTACATGCTGTCTGGCATGGTTTGTATGACTTCATTTTCATGGATCTTTTAGATCTTTGATAATGTTGAGTTTATGTGATAGTTGTAGTAAAACCTTCATATTAAAGACTTTCAATATGAATTCAATCATAAGTAAAGCAGGCGAGACATTTCAGCTTGTGCAGCCTTGTTTATTATACCCCACGCAACGAGTTGCGGAGGGTATAATGTTTTTGACCTGTCCGTCCGTCAGTCCTGTTACTTGTCATCGCAACTCCTCTCAAACCACACAACAGAATTTCACGAAACCTTTTTAGATAATAAGGACATACTATGTCGTTGTGCATATCGACAGGAAATTACGATTCAAATCTTTTTCTAGGAGTTACGCCCCTTTGAACTTATTTACTTTAATGTACTACTGCAACAGTTTGTCATCGCAACTCCTCTCAAACCACACAACAAAATTTCATGAAACCTTTTCAGAAAATAAGGACATACTACGAACATGTGCATATCGACAGGAAATTACGATTCAATTTTTTTCCCAGGAGTTACGCCCCTTTGAACTTATTTGCCCAATATACTCTTGCAACCTTTTGTCATCGCAACTCCTCTCAAACCACACAACAAAATTTCATGAAACCTTTTCAGATAATAAGGACATACTACGTAGATGTGCATATCGACAGGAAATTACGATTCAATTTTTTTTACCAGGAGTTACGCCCCTTTGAACTTATTTGCCCAATATACTACTGCAACCTTTTGTCATCGCAACTCCTCTCAAACCACACAACAGAATTTCATGAAACCTTTTCAGATAATAAGGACATACTACTTAGATGTGCATATCGACAGGAAATTACGATTCAATTTATTTTTCCAGGAGTTACGCCCCTTTGAACTTATTTGCCCAATATACTATAGCAACCTTTTGTCATCGCAACTCCTCTCAACCCACACAACAGAATTTCATGAAACTGTGTAGATAATAAGGACATACTATGTAGATGTGCATATTGACAGGAAATTATGATTCAATTTTTTTTTCTGATACAATTTTTTTTTCTTACACTTATTTTATTTTTCCAATGACAATGTGGGGACGTGGGGTATGTGAGCGCGCTCACTAAGGTTCTTTCATATTTTGCTTATCTAGAAACTAAGTTAGATAAAAGGCAATAAAAGATCTACAAAAAGGTTAGTATGTTGGAAATCATCAGTTGACTCCTCATATGAGTTATTGCCTCTGAATTTATGATTTTATCCATTTTTGGGGCGAAATTGTAGTTCATATGGAGGAACTGTGTATAGCAATAAATGATCATCAGGATAAATCTACAAGAAAATCAAGGTGACCAAATTTTCAGTGGATTCCTTATAGAAATGATTGCCTTTGAAAGTTTGAATGGTGATTTTTGCCTAGCCCTAGGTGTTATTGCCCTTGAAAGCAGATCTATACACATATATATTTTTTTGCAGAAAATATAATAGATAAAGAAAAACTGTCAAAAAGCAAAATGATCAGCAGGAAAAAATCTAATGAATGACAATTTGTACCTATTTTGGGGTTTTTTAACTGGATTTTCAAAGGAAAATATCGGTTATTAATTTGGTGATGTATGGAGGTCTTGCAGGTGGCTGCCAAACAGTGTCTGTGCAATAACTTGAAAATGCTTAGACAAAATCTTTTCAAACTTAGATAGGTTGTTTCCTGTGATGAAATGAAGGTCAAGTTTTATTTTCACGAATTAAGCTTTTATCATTGTTGAGTTATAGACCTTTTAAGTAGTGAAAAATCATACTTAGAGTGTTGTCTGTGCAATAACTTGAAAACACTTTGAAGAAATCTGTGAAAATTTAAATATGTTGTTTTGTGTGACTAAAAGAAGGTCAGTTTGAATTTCATGATTTTAGCTTTTATCGTTAATGAGTTATAGACCTATAAGGACTATGCATGCACTTGATTAAGGCCAAGCTCACATTGATGAAACCACAGACTATCATTCTTCCATTGACCATGCATACATTACAAGACAACAACCATTTGAAAGTGGATTTCTGGAAAGTTATTGGAATGACCACAAGATTCTATAAATAAGTTTACATATTAAATAAGGTTATAATCTCATAAACATGTATACTTCATTATAAAATAAAGATCAGTTTACAAAAATTTCATTGGAAGTTGTTAAATGATTGTATTTATATTACATAATTGGATTGTAGTAGTGCATATAGTTTTAGATATGATCTCCAAAAGTTGAATTGACATAACTGATTGAAATGCTTGAATTATTGAACCTTACAAAGAATGTGTATTAATTACCAGTAAATAGACTATCAAATTCAAGGAACTATAAGATAATTACGTGTTTATTCTGCACCATGTAATAATGTACTTATTTACCTTTAAAGTCTACTAAAGAGATATTGAAAATTTACCTTTTGCTTGTCTGAGTCACAGAGTCGCTTTCGGAAAGTTAATGAAACTTTTGAGTTGAATACACAGATGCATTTCCAATAGAAGCTTGATTTTGTTTGAATATCTTTCTTACTCTGTTTATGGACAAATACTTAAATTTTACCAAAATAAATCAGAATTTCAGTTAGACACCATCTTCAAATATTTTAATATGATTAAATTGTTGTGGCATTATATTGTCATAACCTCAGGGTATATACATGATGTTGTTATACTGTAAATTTCCAAGATTTAAAGATGTTTTTTCACCTTGAAACATAGTTGAGATAGTAGAATTAAGTAAATGTACCCCTCTTATAAAAATAAGGAGATATGATATGATTGCCAATGAGACAACTATCCACTAAAGTTCAAATGAAGTGGATTTTGAACTGTTTAAGACAGCTACTTTCTTTTCTAAGCACGACAATGGGTGCATAGTAATTTTACTAATTTTGTTGTCAGATAGTTGATTTTCACCTGAAAATGAAGGGACATGGGTTAGCCTTTGGTACTTGATAATGTATGATTTAAAGAGGGACATACAATGATGGGATATCTTTGATATTATCTATATAGCTATTGCATTTATTTAAGACTATTGCAATATAAAGCTTGAATGCTCTATAGACAACTGTTGTTAAATGCTATATGTTGATCTTCAGATGTCTTTTGATTTTTTTGTGTTGTAAGTTTGCTGTTTCCTTGACATGTATTTCACATCTATTATTGATATACAAAATACATTCCTGTGATATTTGTAATGAGTAGACATTGTATCAGATATAATGGGATGAATTGGAAGGATAGTCTTATACGGAAAAAATTAACATATAAAATAGAAGCCATTTATTTATAACTTTTAAGGCTGAAATTAGAGGATTTAAATGTAAATTATTTTACACATTATACATATTTTTATGTAGATTGCATGTACATTTAGTTTGACATGTATAGCCTGCAGGTATACAAATTAATTAAAATTAAATGATCCCATAGTGAAAGGATACAGAAAAAAATCATAATAAACTGTTTTGCTGTGTGATCAAATGAAGATATTCACTTTAACCCTGTATAGGAAAATTTAAATAATTATGATTTATAATATCCTTACCAGTTTAATGTTGATCTGTTTGTCCTTTTACTTTACATTTTCTAAATGAAATGCATGCATGGACTTGGTTATATATATTTTTGTCTTTCATTTTACTACAGGCAAGACACTTTATAACTTTTCTTTCCATTCATTGCAAAATAAGCTGAATTTATTTTGCAAGAAGTATATTTGAAGTTTTAGACCTTTCAGTATTTAAGTAACACATTATTAATCATATCTGTTGAGTATTGTGTTATAGGACAACATTATAATTCAGTGTAAACTGAATTTCTAATATCCTGGTTGCCCAGTGCATATGTTATTGTATGATATATAATGATAAATGGTTGCATTTTGATTTGAAAGATATTGTTAATAAATAGTTATTAATTGTGTATTACAGTTGAAAGAGCAAGCTGATCTTCAGAAAATAAAGTTTATTTCTATTTTGAATTGAAGTATAAGTTTGTATTTTTACAGGGAAGCAGTGAGCTGTATGGAGAATTATTGGTTCATGTGTCGGAACCGTTGTCAGCATTGTTTAGAAAGGCCCACAGCTTACAAATGGTACTAAGAAAAAATTGGATTTGGAAAAACAAATATTTTACATACTTGATACAAAAATACCTTCATAAAAGACATTGTTTTTTTTATAATTTACATCATAGATCAAAAAGACATTGTTTTTTTTTTATTATTTACATCATAGATCAAAACATCATTGAAAGATAGTGACAAATAATTGTACTTTCAGATTTTTTATTTTGTTTGAGATTATTAATTACTCAAAAGACATAACATCTGCATGATCTGTAGTTGAAGACTGAACAATAAGCACACATCAATCAACCAAGCCTGTTAGTAGATGCATCTGAGTATATATGGAAATACTTTTTTTTGACAGCTTTGATAAAAAAAAAAAAAAACCAGGATATAGTATCACTTACTTAATAATGAATCAAATCACTTAGTTTTTTCCAGGAAACATTGATGTAATAAACCTATTTTTGGATTTAATGTTTAGGAAGAACAGTATTTACATTCCAAGAACTCTGTTGCTCTTTTGTACCCTAAACAGGTCAATGAATCCTAAAACTGCTGGGTTGTTTTAATTGAAATCAGCATTTATTGACACATATTCCAATTAAAGGACAAATTAGTTGTCCCAAAAATATATAGTGATATTTTAAACAAGTAAAACTATAATTTTTTTTGAAAAATTACAAATTGTGTGTACACTCCATTTAAAAAAAGTATACTACCGGTAAACAACTTCATTAATTTCTTTGGAGTACAAATTTTGATTGTATATAGCTTTTTAAAAACTGATTGAACTGAGTCAAAAAAATTTACACAATATTTCTTCAGTCATAAAAATCAAATTCTGTGAAAATGAAAAAAAAATGATATTTTCAGTTTTGGCTTGTCAAAAATAAAACACAGTTTCAACAACGAACGAAAAATGTTGCCATTTTTGTGAAAACGGAAGTAGTGTTTATCTTTTCACCTAAATACAAGGAAAATTACTTTGATGTTCAGTTCTTAATTTGACTTGATTTCTAATGACCAAAAAATACTATAAGCAATAGGTCAACTGTATTTGATGCACAGAATGATTGTAAGGTGTAAATGTCTGTCTGGCATATATCTTCTCATCTTAACCTCATTTTCATTGTTCATTTTTCAATGTTAAGTTTTCATGGTTTGGTTGATAACTTTTATATTTTACCATTTAGATCCACTATATTTGGAGTATGGAATGATTGAAAGGTGTACATGTCTGTCTGGCAGGTTTTTCTTACCTTGACCTCATTGTCATGGAGCATTGAGTTTATGTGATACTTGTAGTAGAACCTTTGTAATTAAGACTTTCAACATAAAATCAATCATAATAAGTAAAGCAGGCAAGAGTTTTCAGTGTGTGAACTCTTGTTAAATTTTTTGGATGAAATCCCCATTGTCGCCATTAAAATGAAAATTTCCATGTTAACCAATGGACTAATTTCAAGGTTAATCTTAAAGTATACTACAGTTTTACAAATTTTAATCAAAAACAACAAATAAAAATTCTGGATATGGGAAGTTATTTCTGTTGCTGAGTAATCTTAGAATTTTAAAGAAAGCAGAACAGGATACAAGTTTTGCTGCATGTTTGTATACATTTCTGTATATTATGTAGAAAGTAGTTCAACTATTTTTAGAAGTAGGTTCTGAGTTGTCACAAAGCATTGAAATGTTAATAGGGGTAAAAATATCATGTCTGGTCTGTAATATCTGTCTGCTAGCAATATGATAGTACATAAGTAAATGAATACTTGTCATAGTATTAGGCTCTTTTCCAAGATGAAATTAAATCAGTATTGCTAGATTTCAATCATCAATCAGTGTCTTCATTATTTGACCTAACTTCTAAAAAAAATACAGGATAAAATTTAATGGACTATTTACAGTAATGAATAATTTACTTTATAAAAGAGAGACAAAGGTACCAAAGCGATATTCAAACTCATAATTCGAAAACAAATTGACAAATGCCATGGCAAAAATAGAAAAACCATCAAAAGACAAACAACAGTACACAAAACACAATATAGAAAACCAAAGACTGAACAACATGAACCCCACCAAAAATCGGGGGTGATCTCAGGTGCTCCAGAAGGGTTAGCAGATCCTGCTCCACATTTGACACCTTTGGTGTTTTTCCTATGAAATATGTTGATAAGCTGTATCAAGTGATAAGGCATCCCACAAAAGCAGATTTGTAATCAACTCTTATCTAACCGTAAGACATCACCAAATTTGTAAACCATCGGTCATGTGGATTTTCTAACCCTGAAACTTGACCAAGTGTTAAATTTTGAAACTGAAATGTTTTTCATGACAAAGAATAAACAAGATTGTTAACGGTATAAACAACACAGAAACTGAAAAATTAAAAAGGACAAAGAACAACACTTAGAACTAAAGCAAGAGCAACACAAGCCCTTTAAAACAAAAGTAGGGGTGATATATAATATGTCAAATTCACATACATATATTTTTATAGGCATTTCTCAACTTGTTAGATAAATTGACAGTAGATGGAAGTGTCACGGACAAAGATATTGATAATGTTTGTTGTGGTAAGTGTTTCCTGACCAGTTTCTAGCTGTAGCAACACATACGAATCATCAGCCTTACACTTTTGTTAATCAGAAACTCCTTGAAAATGGCTGGACAGAATTCATCGAAACAGATTATTTTCAAGACATACAGTATAAATTGTGCGCTTGCTATTTTGATTTATGATCTAAGTGCTTTTGGATCCCATACTAAACATGGACAACCATTTTTAATTATATTATTTGAAGATGTGAAGCAATACATGTCTTCCTTGGAAGACTCAAAAGACTAGAAAGAAAACTCACATATTTTTAGCAATTTTTTGGGAAATTCAGTACTGTATAGAGATTTAAGCATTTTATCTTTTACTCAAATTTTTTTTGGTCAGGAGATTTTTTATTTAAATGAGATTTTCCTTTATTGGCATATAAATATATCTTTCATAGATTTCATGCCTAGTAATAAGGATAAAGTGGTCAGGACATCTTACCTCATTGATTCATCCAGTAAAAATCATAAATGATTCTTCTGATAGTTGGACTGTTACCTTTGTATTTATCAAAGTATAACAAGAAAATTAATTTAGTATCAAATTGTTATTTTTGGTATTTTATATGCATTCACTTATATAATGATTTTAATTTATATAGACATATATATCTATTCACTTATATAATGAATAATGAAGAGGTTTTTTCAGTTTAATTTATATAGACATATATAATAGATTTCTTTCTCTTTACAGTATGCTATGGATTGTTTGAAGTTTGTCAGATAGTTACCTCCCTTGATGTCAAACTGGTTGTCACATTATGGAAAGCCATTTCAAAGTAATTATGATATGACTAATTATTTCATACATATTCATGATAACAGTAATAATATATAAAGTTATAAATTTTCTTGCTTGTGATGATAGTTACAGAACAGGAGACTACAGTATTTCTTTTCTACTTACAACAGTAGCCTCAATATCCTCAATATCTTATTTCCAATTTCATGTAGAACAGCCAAAAATTGTATAGAGGTATTTCATGATGAGACCTTGTCAGCCAGTCATTGTGGCATGACCATGACCTCATTTTCATGTTGTAGTTGTTATGTGTATTTTTCTTCAGTAACCATACATGATTTTTCAACAATATTTAGTATGTGCATTAGTTGAGAAGAGTTTGTGCATCTGATAATGTCATTTGGCATTTATTGTCTTGGTATTTTTTGGTTTTCAAACAAAAAACAAATTGAGAATTCATTGTTAAAACTAACAATTTAAAAAAAAAAGCTTATTTCATTCTGATAAAATACAGTTCACAAATCCAGGGCTTCCAAAACTGTCATATATTCCGGACTTGACCGAAACTTTCATAAAAAGACCGGCTGCTCTCAGCTTCAAACGGTCAAATAGAATTGGTGTGCCACATTTTGTTATTCAAGGCATTTTCATGAAACGGTCATTTCAATTTTTACCAACTATCGATCGTTAAAAATGTCCGTTTGGGCATTTTAGTTTATAATTGTGGCAATCTATTTCACAAAGATATTTCGGTCATAATTGGGTTTAATAAAACAGAAGCAGCATATTTCAGATACTTTGAAGTGTCTCAGTTAGTCTAATCCTCTGGGTACATAAATGTACGGCTTGGTCTTTAGCTTGTGTACATCAATAAAAAGTAGAAAAAAACACGTTTTCTTTTATTTAAATAACAACAAGCTGTCAAACAATTATCCCTTCAATAAGTTATATTGAAGCCATAAATCATTCACTGATTACAGGTTTGTTACCTTTGATGAGGTGTCCTTAGCTTGTCTTTATCAATAGAATTAATGATGCATAACAATGTACATAAAGGTAATCAGGTAAACGAGGTCAAACATGTAAGCGTGTATGGAACAACATCCTATTTAATTACGCTTTATAGATATTATTTTAAATGAGCATTCAGTTTAAAAAAGTATCCTGATATTTAAAAGTTATTCTTCAAATAAGGATAATTGTAAATGAATAAGTATGATATATATTATTTTATTTAACACTGTACATCGTGTTAAATACTGGGGTACTCTCAAGGGGAAAATTTACTAAAATATATAGGAAAAACTGTACCAAGCTGAGTTGTCCAATAAATAAGGGGGCGTTCTCTAATCTTGTTTTCATATTAAAAACTGTTTTTATAATTAAAATCATAAAGAATAATATCCAATCATGACAATCTCCGACTGTTATAAAGACTTTGTCTCAAATTGAACTTTACAAATCTGCCATCATAGGCAAACGTAAACGTGACGATTCCGATCAAAATTCGAAATCTGCTAGAAGCTTTATTCATAAATGGTTACAACTGTTTTTATGGTTAAGATTTGACAGTATGCTAAATGCCATGTTTTGTGACATTTGTCAAAAACATAAACTTAAAAATAACTTTGTAAAGCCTGGTTCGACAAATTTTCGAAAGTCAGCCGTTGTAGAGCATGCTTATAGCAATGACCACATTCAAGCTCTTAAATTAGAGACAGCTTCCAAAAGTAATCCAATTGTATCAGTATTTGAGAAAGTTCATGAAAAGACTGACAACGGCGCAATGTGCACCTTGTTCCGTAATGCTTACTTTATTGCTAAAGACAACTTACCAATGGACAAATTTCAGTCAATAAATGATTTAACTAAGTTAAATGGTGCCGTGATCACTTCTAAATTATATCAAGAGAACAATATTGCCTCCTCCGAATTTATTCAGACAATTTCCGATGTTATAGAGAAAGAGGTGATGTCCGACGTAAAGTTAAGTCCCGCCGTGGGAATTATGATCGACGAGTCAACTGATCTGGCTACGCAAAAACATTTAATTTTGTACTTATCATTGTACAAAGAAAAATGTTATCACTGTTCAGTAGATTTTACACGGTTTAAAACAATATCCTTCATTGGGCCTCCTCAATGTTATCTAAAAATACCGCATCAGTTGTAAAAGTCACGTGGTCAGGTAATCAATACACAAAAAGAAAAGTATCACGTGTATTGATGATCAAGTTGTACTGCAATTAAAGCCAACATCAACAGTTTCAAATAAGATGGCCTTAATTTACAAAGTGTTAAGTACTCACAGAGAGAAGATAGATTATATAAACAGAAAAAAAACATGAGAACAGTCAGGTACTGAAGCTGATTGATGCAATGATGGTTACTGTATTACAATACACAGAAAAATGACACAATACCGAGGATAATATTTTATTTATTTTTAGAATGAAGAAAACAAAACAGTTATAAATAAATTTATTGCATATAACACTACTAATTATTTAGACACATATATCAATTTATGCATCCTCTCAGTTACATTTAAGTATCCAGCTGATCATTGACCGTCAAAAATATTTCTTTGAAAAATGTCCGGCTGTCGTCAGGAAATTTTGGAAGCCCTGCACAAATCCCTCAGAATTAAAGACTTGCTAGAAGAGATAACTTTTGCACAAAAGTGATAATCAATTTAGGGATAGGGAAAAGAGTGGGGGGGGGGGGGTGGGTAAATAGTCTAGTGCTGCAAAGCAACTATTTTTGAACTTTTAAAAGAATTTAAGAAACCAAGAATTGGTACTAGCCCAAACAAAAAAATTTTGACTGAAAGATATATAAAGAGATCTCTTGAAAATTATATTGATTTCATTTAATAATTATATTCTAATGCCAGCAATTATTTTCTCCTATGTAGTTCATATTAAAATCTTGCAATTTAGAACTTTATTTTCCTTTAAAAGTATGACAATCTATATTTTTAATTAATTTGTTATGGCTCCGCCGACTTAGGTCGCGGACAAATAGATCATTCTGCAATGAACAATATACAGACTTTTATTCTAAACGCCTTATCATATTGAGCTGAATTTTTGTATGTGAGTCATCTATGATGAGTTACAGATCGAGTTTATGTTTGGTTTTGCTCTGCTGATTTTTGCCAAAATAACAGGCTTTGGACTGAAAATTGCATGAAAATAAGTTATATAGACTTTTTTCTAAATGCCTTCACATATTGAGCTGATTTTTAGTATGTGAGTCTATGATGAGTTACATAGGGACTTAAGGTTCTGCTCTGCTGATTTTTGCTGAAATTATGGGCTGCTGACTTTGAAAATTTCAACTCATAAAAATGGCTTCAAGCTTTTTTTGCGAGCGGGGCCATTCGTGTCGTTCCAACACATCTAGTTTTAAATGTCATTGGACAATTCTTTCTGATGTAAATTTAAACATTCATCTTAACTACATAAATTGAATAATCATCAAAATTTTACTTTGTAGACATGCAGTTCAAAAGAAAGATTTATTAAAACATCATCTAGATGTTGATAAGATGATACAGTACCTGTGTTCTGAGATAAGTAATGGTTATACTTATCTGTTCCAGCTGTTGCCACATGTAGATGAGGAAGGAATGGTAAGATTACTCATACTCTAATGACAATTGACTAGGATTGCCAGTTTTCCAGCTGATGATTGGTGGTTCTCTCCAGGCACTTTGGTTTCCTCTACAAATAAAGACTGACTGGCATGATATAGCCAAGAGTGCTGAAAGTGGCATTAAACACCAACACTCAGTTAATCTCTGCCCTTTTCTGGACAGAAAACAAGATAAAATATGTCTAAAATAGTTGTATTAGTGTATTGAAACTAACTGTAGGTTTTGTCTAGTACTGTTAATCCTAGTGTACTTAGTAGATGTAAATAAAATGTGTATTGGTTAATCCCTAATAATGAAGTTTTGTGTTTTCTGAAGAAACGCCGATATTTCTTTGTCTGAAAATTTTACTTAAACCTTGAATGCCTAACACCATGATAGATTTTAGTGAAACTTAAGAAAATGGATATTTCCTGAAGAAATATGACTTGAGTATCACAAATTTGAATGTATTTTAATTTTTTTAACAATGTATCACAATTATATACTTCATTGACATTTGTCATTCATATAGCCATTGTTTTAAAAGGTATTATCCCAGGGTGACGAGAAAGGATTTCAGAAATCGGTGAAGATTTTAGGTTTCCAGATGAAGATAACAGTTACTTTAGTCAAAGAATACAGTGATTACTTATCAGACTGTGGATTAGATGTGTATAAAGTACTTATACATTTACAAAGGTACAGTTACTTTAGTCAGAAAATACAGTGATTACTTATCAGACTGTGGATTAGATGTGTATAAAGTACTTATACATTTACAAAGGTACAGTTACTTTAGTCAGAGAATACAGTGATTACTTATCAGACTGTGGATCAGATGTTTATAAAGTACTGATACATTTACAAAGGTACAGTTACTTTAGTCAGAAAATACAGTGATTACATATCAGATTGTGAATCAGATGTGTATAAAGTACTTATACATTTACAAAGGTACAGTTACTTTAGTCAGAGAATACAGTGATTACTTATCAGACTGTGGATCAGATGTGTATAAAGTACTTATACATTTACAAAGGTACAGTTACTTTAATCAGAGAATACAGTGATTCCTTATCAGACTGGATTAGATGTGTATAAATACTTATACATTTACAAGGGACAGTTACTTTAGTCAGAGAATACAGTGATTACTTATCAGACTGTGGATCAGATGTGTATAAAGTACTTATACATTTACAAAGGTACAGTTACTTTAGTCAGAGAATACAGTGATTACTTATCAGACTGTGGATCAGATGTGTATAAAGTACTTATACATTTACAAAGGTACAGTTACTTTAATCAGAGAATACAGTGATTCCTTATCAGACTGGATTAGATGTGTATAAATACTTATACATTTACAAGGGACAGTTACTTTAGTCAGAGAATACAGTGATTACTTATCAGACTGTGGATCAGATGTGTATAAAGTACTTATACATTTACAAAGGTACAGTTACTTTAGTCAGAGAATACAGTGATTACTGATCAGACTGTGGATCAGATGTGTATAAAGTACTTATACATTTACAAAGGTACAGTTACTACTGTGGATCCATTTATTTTCATTGTTGCTAATTTTTGTAGAAAAAATGCATTTTCGTAGATACCGGATATCATGGTTTTTACTTATTCTGCATAAAATGTATAGGAATTTAAAAAAATTTTTGAACACTAAAATTCATGGTTCATTTACTCCCACATAATTGATGGAAAATTATCACTTTGTTAATAATAATCAATCTACAGAATATGTTTAAATAAAAGGACATGTTGGTTTAAAGTCAATAATGTAGCAACCGACCAGTATATAGATTGGAACAAAAGAAGTACAATGTATAAATATGTGGAGATGTGATATGATTTCCAATGAAACAACTATCATGCAGAGACCAAATGATGAGGATGTAAATAACTATAGGTCACTGTACACCACCATTAATAATAAGCAAAACCAACAACATTAAGTATTCAGCTATAAAAAGCCTTGACGTGACAAAATGTGAAATGACCTGATCTATAATGAATGAAAAACAAATATGGCAGGGAGCAACCAACCACAACCACTGGATTACAGGTTCCAGGCTTTGGACAAGTGCATATAGAATATAACTGGTTTAACATGTTTGTAAGTGCTCAACCCTCCTCATAACCTTGGAACAGCTGTGTAACAGTCTGTTTTTTGTCTCGTGTCGACTAAGTTGAAAATGTTGAAAAAGCAAGACTAAGGCGTGCTTTTTCCAGCAGTGGCGTCAATAATGTACTAATCTGTGAAAAGGTGAAGTTTATTGGGAACCACTAGTGGTAGGTCAATGATAATTTGCATGCAGTTGTATAAGCATTGGCAAATTTCATTTCCATAGAGATTATAGGGCCCAGCCCCTCAGTCATGGTTAACTGACTTTGAAACTTTTGCTTAGTTTACATGTATTAGCTTGTGATTAGGTCAGTTTAAGGGGAACTATTAGTGGTAGGTCAATGATATTTGGTGTGCATATGTATTAGCATTGGCACATCTCATTTAACTTAGTTTACATTTAAAGTTTATGTTTAGGTTAGTTTAAAGGGAACCACTTGTGATAAGTCAATGATATTTGGTATGCAGTGTTATAAGCATTGACATTTCACATTTCAGTGGAGGTTATTTGGCCCTGCACCTTCAGTCATGGATCATTGACTTTGAATGATTGCATAGTTTACATGTTTTGATATTACCATTTTAATTTCAACCTTTGCATTATACCATTAAAATTACAAAATATAAAACATATCTCAGCTTATTTCAGTGAGAGATTTTCAAATGTTAGAGAAAAATTAATTGGAGGCTTAGAACTACTGATATCAGGTGACTTAAGATATACTTTATTTTACATATATCAGAAAATGTGTTGAGATACTTTTACACTTGTAGAATGATGCCACCAAGCATTCACAGACACCAGACTGAGGACCACCATAGCGATGAGATAAGAAGGCAACTTTTGAATGCTACAGAACCATTAGTATCTTGTTTTTTGATCAACACAAAGTTTTTACAATGTTTAGTCAGTTATTCTTCAGGTAAGTCAAGTCATTATAAATTAAAGAACCTTTGTGAGCATGCTCACATACCGCACGCCTCCACATTGTCACTGGACAAACAAAATCTCACCAGATTCCTAAGTTCAAAGACTCATAACTCTACAAAAGTCAACTGATAAAAATTTTCTTTTGGATATGCACATTTACATAAATTGAATCATAATTTCCTGTCGATATGCACATCTACATAGTATGTCCTTATTATCTACAAAGTTTCATGAAATTCTGTTGTGTGGTTTCAGAGGAGTTACGATGACAAACTGTTGCAGTAGTATATTGAGGTCAATAAGTTCAAAGAGGCATCACTCCTAGAAAAAAAATGAATCACAATTTCCTGTTGATATGCACATCTACATAGTATGTCCTTATTATCTACGATGGACTTATTTTTTTACAGTTAACATTTACAGACAGTCTGGGATTAAATTTTTTTGTCATGATAGATTTGTAAACCTTCATGGATTGTTATGAAACTTGGACAGTAGCTTATCTTCAAGACCAAGAAATAGCATTTAAAAAAAAAGTTACTGCCATTTTCAGGCCCTGCCCACTAGATCATGCTCCAGTGACTGCAGAGTTCGTGAAAATCGGCAGTCCTGTCTGCCAAAATGAGGCTCGGACCGGTATTTTGATTGCTAGCGGCGGTCCCGATGACTGATGCAAAAACCGACGTTGCAGTGCCTATGTCAGCATGTTTTTTACATCGTTCATCAGATGTAACTGCAGCTAATTTCCGGTATTAATTTCCAAATTTTATTATAAACAAACCAAAGCGACGAGCTACATGTGGCCTATCAAATTTGAATTTGAATTAGAACAATCAGAAGACCAGAACTGGTCTTTCATTGTAAAATTTGCCTGTGAAGAATAAAACTAATATAAATAAAGTTATTTTTCAATAAAATATGTTATTAATTTTATTTCAGGATAAATTTGACAGATTTTGTAAGACTGACTTATAATGTTGCTTTGTCAGTCCAAAAAAAGTTTTCGTGAACTCTGTGACTGAATTAATAAGCAATGTTGCTGTCCACCAAATTGTCTTTTCTGAATTTTATGCCGATAGGCAAGACATATCTCTATATCAACAGTTTATTTTATAAATGCACCAAAAAATATTTTATTTCTTCATCCAAATGATTTTTGGGGTTTTCTTTCACCACAACATGTACTGTGTCATATCCCCACACTACAGCACACATTTGTATCTGCATCTTCTTCTAAACCTCTAATCAGAATTCAACGAAACTCAATGAATTTTCACTGTCATATTTAGTTTTTTTATCCCTATTATTTTTGTTAGCTCACCTGGCCCATAGGGCCAAGTGAGCTTTTCTCATCACTTGTCGTCCGTTGTCCGTCATCGTCGTTAACTTTTTACATTTTGAACTTCTTCTGGAGAACCACTGAATGGAATGAAACCAAACATGGCATGAATGTTCCTTATGAGGTACTGACCAAGTGTTGTTACTTTGTAGCGGATCCATCATCCAAGATGGCCACCAGCGGGGGACTTAGTTTAACATAGGACCCTATGGGAAATACATACAAATGTCTTCTTTTAGAGAACCACTGAATGGAATGAAACCAAACATGGCATGAATGTTCCTTATGAGGTGCTGACCAAGTGTTGTTACTTTGAAGCTGATCCATTATCCAAGATGGCCGCCAGTAGGGGACTTAGTTTAACATAGGACCCTATGGGAAATACATACAAATGTCTTCTTTTAGAGAACCACTGAATGGAATGAAACCAAACATGGTATGAATGTTCCTTATGAGGTGCTGACCGAGTGTTGTTACTTTGAAGCCGATCCATAATCCCAAGATGGCCGCCAGCGGGGAACTTAGTTTAACATGGGACCCTATGGGAAATACATACAAATGTCTTCTTTTAGAGAACCACTGAATGGAATAAAACCAAACATGGCATGAATGTTCCTTATGAGGTGCTGACCAAGTGTTGTTACTATGAAGGCGATCCATAATCCAAGATGGCCGCCAGCAGGGGGACTTAGTTTAACATTGGACCCTATGGGAAACACATACAAATGTCTTCTTTTAGAGAACCACTGAATGGAATGAAACCAAACATGGCATGAATGTTTCTTATGAAGTGCTGACCGAGTGTTGTTACTTTGAAACTGATCCATAATCCAAGATGGCCGCCAGCAGGGGACTTAGTTTAACATGGGACCCTATGAGAAATACATACAAATGTCTTATTTTAGAGAACCACTGAATGGAATGAAACCAAACATGGCATGAATGTTCCTTATGAGGTGCTGACCAAGTGTTGTTACTTTGTAGCGGATTCATCATCCAAGATGGCCGCCAGCGGGGGACTTAGTTTAACATAGGACCCTATGGGAAATACATACAAATGTCATCTTTTAGAGAACCACTGAATGGAATGAAACCAAACATGGCATAAATGTTCCTTATGAGGTGCTGACCAAGTGTTGTTACTTTGAAGCTGATCCATTATCCAAGATGGCCGCCAACAGGGGACTTAGTTTAACATAGGACCCTATGGGAAATACATACAAATGTCTTCTTTTAGAGAACCACTGAATGGAATGAAACCAAACATGGTATGAATGTTCCTTATGAGGTGCTGACCGAGTGTTGTTACTTTGAAGCCTATCCATAATCCAAGATGACCGCAAGCGGGGGACTTAGTTTAACATGGGACCCTATGGGAAATACATACAAATGTCTTCTTTTAGAGGACCACTGAATGGAATGAAACCAAACATGGCATGCATGTTCCTTTTGAGGTGCTGACCAAGTGTTGTTACTTTGAAGCTGATCCTTCATCCACGATGGCCGCCAGATGGGGACAATGTTTAACAAAGGACCCTATGGACAATACTTACAAATGTCTTCTTTTAGAGAACCACATACTGAATGGATTGAAACCAAACATGGCATGAATGTTCCTTATGAGATGCTGACTAAGTTTTGTTACTTTGAAGCTGATTCTTCATCCATGATGGCCGCCAATGGGGGGACTTCCTTTAACATAAGACCCTATGGGAAATACATACAAATGCTTCTTCTAGAGGTGCACTGAATGGAATGAAACCAAAACATGGCATAAATGTTTCTTATGAGGTGCTGATGAAGTGTTGCTACTTTGTTGCCGATTTACTGTTCAAGATGGCCACCAGGATTTTTTATTAAATTACAGGACCAATATTAAACCAAATTTGGCCTCACTCATTATTAGGGTATCTGTTATGATTTTAATCTATTTTTACATGATTTCCAAAACCAAAGTAGAATCAGGTGAGCGACACAGGCTCTTGAGAGCCTCTAGTTGGTGTTACCCTAATCAAATTATTGCCTTTGCCATTCAAGTATGTGGGGTCTGGGAGTATCATTTTGTAAGCTTTGTCTTTAGTTTTATAATGTGATTTTTTTTCTGTTATTATGAGAAATAGAACAACTGTGTATGTTTTATAGAATCTTTTCAAGGTATATATGTCCGTCAGACAGGTTTTACCTAACCTTGACCTGTGACACCTCTTTGGGTGTAAAGAATGATTGTAAAATGAAAATAACACTTTATAAATATGGTGCGTCTGAAGCACTTTTCTGGATTTACATTAATCAGGAATGATTGTGCCTGATATTCATATGATGAAGACATAATCTTTCAATCAGTTTAATTGAGGTCTGGAGCTGGCATGTCAGTAACTGCTAGTAGTCTGTTGTTATTTATGTATTATTGTCATTTTGTTTATTTTCTTCTGTTTCCTATTCTGACAACGGACTCGCACTTCTCTTATACTGAGTTTTATTGTGCGTTTGTTTTTTCTACATTGGCTAGAGGTATAGGGGGAGGGTTGAGATCTCAAAAAACATGTTTAACCCCGACGCATTTTTGCGTCTGTCCCAAGTCAGGAGCCTCTGGCCTTTGTTAGTCTTGTTTCATTTTAAATTTTAGTTTCCTGTTTATAATTTGGAGTTTAGTATGACGTCCATTATCACTGAACTAGTATACATTTTTGTTAAGGGGCCAGCTAAAGGACGCCTCCGGGTGCGGGAGTTTCTAGCTGCATTGCAGACCTATTGGTGGCCTTCAACTGTTGTCTGCTCTATGGTCGGGTTGTTGTCTCTTTGACACATTCCCCATTTCCATTCTCAATTTTATAAACCCAAAGAATTGTTGAAATGTTAGAATGAATAAATACCTGATTTGTGATGAGCTATATGAGCAAAAGGGATCTAAAAAGAGTAGCTAAATTCATCTAAGGTCAACTTTGTATGAGGGAGTTAGAACATAAGAATGGTGTACATGTCTGTCTGACAAGGTTCATCTGACATCGACCCCATTTTCATGGTTCATTGGTCAATGTTCAGTTTTGTGATTACATCCATTTCTCAGATACTGTTAGCAAAAGGTCAACTGAATTTGGTGTATAGAATGAATATGACTGTAAGGTGTATATCTTACACAGTTTTCTGACTTTGACCTCATTTCACTGCATTGATAATGTTAAGTTTCTGTTAAACCTGTATTTAGACTTTGATCTTAAAGACTTTCTTTATAAAATTCAATCATAATCAGTTACAAAGAGGAGACATTTAAGTGTATACACTCCTATTTATACTCAGTAAGCATGGAATTTTTGTCAATGTCAAATACAAATGATGGTTTTCTTAACATGTCATCTCCTTTGTTGAGTTGTCTTCTTTTTGGTATTTTATATCCTTACACATAAGATGTTCAAGTTTGAAATTGCGATGAAATAAAATGATGAAGGTTTTTATGTTTTTATATAAACCACCTTTGCATAAGTTTTAAAGTGTTGTATTTTTCTACTAGGGATAAAACTGGTTAGGAAAAATCTAAGCATATGAAAAAAAAAGAGATAAGGGGTGTGAATGAGATAGTAACCCAATAACAAAAATAACCGGTAGATATCTAGAGGGCAATATACAGTCTTTAACAAAATACAGGTTCTATGCAA